ATTCTGGTGGTGGTTGTGGGCATCGGGGGCGGGGGCGGGGGCCTTGGCTGTACGCGACCCGTAGGAGGCCGCCCGGTGCACCCCCACATCACCGCCACTAACATCTCTGTTCTGTTGACTAGCTTCATGAGAGTGAGTGTTGGACGAATCAAGGTGTTCCTTTTTGAAGGCATCGGCAACCACTTCAGAGTAATCAGCAGCGGTGCCGGCGCCGCCAGCAGCCCCGATAGAGCTCAAGTGCGGCGTCTGACCGGCACGATCAACGGCCACGTCATCGCCCGCATCCCTGCCTGCCTGTCTGTCCTCGTCATTCATCATATGGTCGACAAACACCCCGGAGTTGGGCCAGCCCATATCTCTACCGGTGGCAGGCACCTGGGTGCGAATGGCACTGGCAGCGCTACCAGAGCCGGTGGCGGCACTGTTGCCGGTGCGAATGTGGCGCGTGGCACCCTCGCTCATGACGATGTCGGCCACACCCCCCAGCGGGCGGTGCTGGATCGGTTTCTGGGCGTAGTAGCCGCCGGAGATCGCCAGGCCGATCACGGAGCTCGCGGGAATGTTGTTCAGAAGATTTTTGTCGGTTTTGTCGAGGTGGGGCGGTGTGGGTGAGTGGTCAACATCATCGTTGTAGAATTGCAGATGGCCGCCAAGGGCTTCCAAAGGCACACCTGTGGGGGCATTGACGGTGCCTGCTTTCTCAGCAACTTTACCCAGGTACTGAGCAGGCTCCGTCGGTTGTTCCTCGGCCTGGCGTTGGTGGCCACGGTTCTCGATGAATCCGCCGTAGCCGTCAACCTTAGAGATCGTCTGGCCGTACTGGTCGGTAACGTCGCCGGTGACGAAATTGATCCGCAATTCACGCAGTAACTTAAGCAATTCCGGGTTCTCACGCTTCAATTGCTCCACTGCTCTCTGGGCAATCTTGGTGGCTTCACTATTATCTTTAGTCCCCTGTACCAGGACAATCACGTCCAGCAGCGGGTCCTTATCGTGCAGCAGCTCAAACAACGCTGTAGACTCTGAGGGTTGCTGGTGCAGCAAACTCAGTCTGTTGTTGTTGTTGTTGCCGCGCTTGGCCTCCTCCAAGTTGGCCATGATCACCGCCTTAGGGTCACGAGCATAGGGACTCACGTTGGAATCGTCTGATTTAGTAGAGGCACGACGCTTAGACGACGGGGAATTGGCACTGGCAGCGCTGGGAGTGCGTTGGTGGCGGTGGTGGCTGCTAGATCCACTAGCACTGCGGTGGTGGCTCGAACCAATGGCAGCGCCGGTGGCAGCACCAACAGCAGCGCCAGCACCCACAGCTTTACCCAGTGGTTTGCGGCCCATAGCACCGACTTCGTTCGCAGGCACCGGGGCGTCGTCGGGGGCAAGCAGCAGGTGGGTGCGCTTGTGCCCAGGCAGATGCGAGAGCGGGTCCACGTAGCGTTCGTCGGCGTTGGAGTGGACGTCACGCTTGACCAGCGGCTGGCGGAAAGCTCCCATCGCCTCAGTAGAGTGGGTGCTACCCTCAGTGCCCTGCAGCTTGCGCGAGGAGTGGCGCTTAGGCGTAGTCCCCGGAGACTTCAGCGTATTTGAGGCAGCAGACGTAGCGGCCACAGCCTCATTAGGAGTCTGTTTGTAGGTGTTACCCAGCAGAGTAGTGGCGTATTCCCCAGCAGTATACGACAGCACTAATGGCAGCGACGGCTGGTGAGCACGAGGAGTGGTCAGCGTCGCCGGAATCGACAGTGCCGCCAGCGTCTTGCCGACACCAGTTTGAGCCGCCTGAGTCGAGGCCGAGGCAGAAGCAGACTGGGTAGAGCCAGGAACATTGCCGGGAGCAGGCAGCACACCGCGGACCAGGTCACCGCCGTACATAGCTCTCGTCAGGGCATTCTCTGCCTGCAGATCCGTAGGCAGTAAACGATGCTCGCGGCTCTTACTGGGGTCAAGCGTCTGGTGGTGTTGCAGTTGTACCGGCACCGGTTGTGATTGAACAGGTGCCTGCTGAACTGGCACTTGTTGTGCATGCGCTTGCTGCGGTGCGCTCCGCGGTTGCTGCTGCTGTTGCTGGTGGTGGGAGTGTTTCTGGTGTTGGTGAGGCAATTGTTGCTGAGGCGACTGCTGCAATTGAGAAGTAGCTTGGGTGGCTTGGGTAGCGGCTCTTGCTTCATCGGCGGTGCCGACGTGGGCATCAATTCCGGCGGCACCGGCGTGGTGGGCGGCGGCATTGGCGGCAGCACTGGCATCCGCACTGGCCACGGGAGCACCGCCACGTTGCTGCTGTGGCAGTGTCGGGGCACTGGCGCTGGCGAGGGCAGCGCGTTTAGAAGTAGATGGCGATTTCGTCACCGAACCGGTAGTATTGGCCGCGGGTTTCGTCGGCAACGGGTCCAATGGCGCCGAGGGAGCTGACCCTGTCACCCGAGTCAGCTGGCTTCGCTTTACGCCTGAAGCAGCTCCAGTGGCTCCGGCACTGGTGGCTGCTGGCGGCTTAAACTGGTCGCCGCGGCCTTCCAGCGTCAGACGGGTGTGGGAGCGGAACGGCTTCCTGAACTTGTCAAAGAGCTTGCCCTTTGAGGAACTCATGTTTCAGAAATCGCCGTTTAGGGGTCAATTGGGGGTGGAAATCAATAACTTTTAAGCGGGGGGTGACGAGTCAGCAATCTCTCGTCGAGCAAAGGTGGTCGCCAGGGGTGGCTTTTTTCCCTCATGTATATATGGCGTCTTTCCTGCACTCCACACAGGAAATTGGCAGCACGATAATGGCGACCAGTCACCAGGGGAAAGCGGAGGCCGAGTGGGGACCGCAGTAATTCTAATTATAAACTTCGGAGTTTATGGAATTGGTAAGAGTAAGCGAAACACTAATAATTCCATAGCTTCTCACTTCGTACTGGTAATTGGAGCTACGACGAGTTTTTGTGGGGATTCTCCTGCGGCCGGCGCGCGTCGATGGTGGTATGGAAGTTTGCTGGCACGAGCATTGCTTTGCGGGTCACGAACTCGAGGCGGTGGGCGACAAGCGGATGAAAAATTGACTCAAATTACCGTATTATTAAAAATTTACCCAAGTAAGCGATGTGTTAATGAAAGAATAGTGGAAGAAAAATGGATTCCAACCAGGGATATAGCCTTGGCTGTTCGTTAGTGTCGTTTAGGTAGGGGTCGCGCCCCCACTACTAAGACATGAAATTTTGGCGTTCGACATTAGCCGGCAACCTCAGTTATGACGTCACCAAGCAGGACGACGGAAATCAATTGTGCCTTGATTTCTCTCATTACGAGTACTCCAGATACACCAGCAGGTGGCACACCAGCTCGATATCGTCGCCATAAACGTTTGAAAACATACTGGAATTGTCAGTGCTGCCAGTGTAGGAGATATCGTAGCCGGGGTAATCCGCCAGGTTGTGTTCCAGGCGAGCCTTTGGCGTGTAGCCATCTCTCCACTGACGCGTTTGACCACCACCCACCATCCACTGGCGCGGGTCAACGTGGCAAATTGCCATTCGGTTGGCATTGCTGATGATACCATTCATATAGTTGATATTGATTTCATCGAGGTATAGTAATTGCGATGAGGGCATTGATTGGACGACCTCGCGTACGGCGATTAAAGCAGCCCGATGATCGTAAGTATTAATCACTCTGAAATAACCTCGGGGGTTAAGACCAGGGTAGCCGATGCAACTCATAGTAATTACTACCTCAACTGGCAGGCCTATTTTGGTATCGTCAACTTCATAAATTGTCAGATCGCGACAGCTATTGCCTAATTCTTGACAAAGCTGGCGAGCCCATACTCCCACCAGTTCACGAACTGCTGCTGGTAATTCCAATTGGATATCAGCATGGTCGTAAACGTCGTTGATGGTGATGTGGTGGCTGTACCGCTTATTAGCAAACAGTGGAATGGCGCGGGGACGATTGGTTTTCAGGTCTGGACACTTGGGCAATGGCTTTGTTTGAGGATAGACGTCGGCATCGGTATTTTCTCGAGGGTCTAATGAGTGTAAGGCTCCTTCACGAGCAGCTACTCGTTCGGATTGGATTGGTGGACACGGGACCATCACCGGGGGGTAATAACTTTGTGGAGGCGCGTACCACTTGGGAGGGTCATAGCACTCTTGCGGGAAGGTAACGCTATGGGGGGACCGCGCCTGGGGCTGGCGGTGCCACAACCGCTTGACACGGGTCTTCACTCGCTCCATAACTCCTGGAAAAGCCTGTGAAAAAGGGGCGGGGAGGGCACCCTTCGCTTAATATACGACAGGATTGGCGGTACCTGCAGAGGTACATGCCGCTCGAGGTCACCTTGCGAAACCGACGTGAGCATATACGAAAAGTAAAAAAATGTCCATTAACCGGGGGGAGGCAGCCGCCCAAACTTTCCAGTAAAGTATTCCCCTCAATGATAATTATATTATGGAAGGGGGAGGAGAAAGCTCGACAAAAGAGGTATTATGTATAAAAATGGCAGGCGAGCATGAGCGAGTAGAGGGCGAACTTGAGGTAAGTCATAGCGTACTCATATTAGAGGAGACGGGCCTGGGACAGTTTTCGGTTCGGAGCCCCGCCCGGTAGTCGTCGTTGAAAAGAGCCGAGGCCAGCCAACACCAAACTTAGACGCGCGCATAGGCGGAGAATGCGACGGCGCTCCAATACGAGGGACCCGCGTGGCATGTTTGTTTACCGGTAGTCAGGGGGGCGGTTCCCCTTGTTGTAGACCAAGCGCAGCACTAACCACTCGAGCGCTTCGCGTAGCCCTTGGTTCTCAAGCACCAGCACCGGCAATAACTTGGAGTCGGTGGCCTCGAGCTCCAGCACCAACTGGATAAACACCCCCGTCTTGAGCTGGACCAAGTCCACGGCCTGGGGCAAGTCCTGCTTGTTGGCCAACATCAAGATGGGCACGTTTACCACACCCTCCCACGCGTTGTGGTGGGCGATATCGACAATGGTATCATAACATTCTTGGAAACGATCGGTATCGGTCAGATCGATGATAAACACAATGCCGTGGCACTGGTCGTAATATCGCAGCCACATCAGTCGCAACAGCTGTTGCCCACCTAAATCCCAGAACTTGAGGAGGATGCTCCGCCCTCCCTTGCCTTTCACCACTTCCAGAGGGTTGGTCAGCTCAAACTTGATAGTAGTGGTATTTTGGCCCACGGTGGGCAATATACGTTTATGCTTCAACGCGTCGACGGTGTCAACTTCGTCGCCCTGTTTTTTCTTGCGGGTTTCCGCCAGCTCGTCGGGGATCTGGTAGAGCATTTTGAGGTGTTCGAAGAACGTTGTTTTGCCGGCATTGTCCAACCCGAGGATTAACACGTTGTACTGCTCACGCTTGGTGTAGTGCGAGTACAACGAGCTCGCAAGGTGAAACATCGGGGTACGGACTCGACGCCACTGGGGGTGTTGTGGTGGTGGCCTGGTTAGGGGTACGGTGGTCGTCACAGATAGTCGCGGAGCCGCAAACGATGGTTACCCGGCCATAGCGCGCGCCTCCCACTATATAGCCACCGGAATTTTTCGCCTTGAGTCCGAAAAGATACCTCATCTTTTAAGCAGAGGAAAAGGTAAGTTACCGTGATGATGAACATGATAGGGACAACTGAAAGCATACGTGTTGATAGTTGTCATTAAAGATAGTAGAAAACCATCTGATACTAACAATTTAGGTCCAATCAGTGTTGATTTAGCCAGTAAATTTCGGCTTGGTCGGAGCCAGCTTCGGCATCGCCGGTGCCGTTTCCCGATGCCTATTGCGAGTGCTGTTGCGCTTGCCATTGTGATAACTCCATGCTCTGTAGATGGCAGCCACCACCTTCTGCTTCAGTAGAGGCAGTGCTGGCTCGTTTAGGCTTGACTGGTATGATCTGGAAGCTAGTGGCATAGTCTGAAAATTATATAAAGGCTGGTAGTCTTGTGTCTGTAAATTTCCTTCAAGGACACTTTCTTCATACACTGCCATTTGACGCTCGATGATGTTCCATTGATAATCACTGCAATTTTAGTAATTATCAAATGTGGAGCATCAGAAGACATTGCTGCCTCTGGAGGTGGCGATATACCTCAAAGTCACTACCTGGGCTGGTTCCCTTTTTTGTAGCGACTGGACAAGACATTGACGAGACACTTGTGGCCTAATTATTTACAATTTATAGAAACTATTTTTACAATAAACACTTTGTCTTTTCACTACGTCATCGCCCAGAGAGAAATCTGCCAGTATCCCAATCGGGATCTCAATCCCACGACACATTTAGTGACCGTGACTAACGGCCATTGACGATGCCAATCTCCGTATGCGGTAACCTGATAGATAGACATGACTTCTAACCCAGCTTGTACCCACGGTTTTGGGGAACACCAAAGCCACCCCCCTTTTTTTTTAGTGGCATGTGAGCCGTAGCCAATGCCACCGAAAGATAACAACTTGTGGAATTGACAAGCCAGAAAGCTAGCATGTCGTCTCATTTCTCAATGGCTGACTTTTTACTTGGTGACCACGCTTGGCTGGCGTTCGTAAATAGCTGCTACTGGGCGTTTACGTTGTGGTTACGAGCATTGCCATAATTTCCCGATCGGGTTTAGACGTCGCCGTAACTTTTTTTTTTTTTATAGAAGTGAGGATTGCGATTATATAATCGAAGGAACCAGCACGGCTCTATCCTCTCAACCAATACTACGTGTCGATTATGCCACAGCCTCGCTTGACTCAAGCCTATTACTTGCAGTCGAGATTGCCTTAACCCCTATTAAAGCCAAAATCACCGCCCAATGACGTTTCTCCCCTCAATTTTCCGCTAGTTCTCAGCCTCTGTTTCTCATCGTGCTACCGTTGGCGCCCATTATCCTTTATGCGCATGCTCGGAGTCAACCAATCACCCCCATAGCCCGAGGCTTAGAGCCAACACCCGCCAGCCCCCGTGCCAGATCCAATTGGCCAAACAACTCTCTAACTATAGTGCATGTCACTTTCCTATTTAATGCCATTGCCGTTGATTCCCGGACGCCGATGGCATCCCCTCTCTCGTATTGTTTAGGTCGACTCCCTGTGCCGCGACGCCTGAGACTCAAACGTGCCACGTCCAAGGTTTTCAGGTTTTTCATCCGAAACACGCGCGCGCATATCCACTATATAGCCCCACCCAAGCCCCATAATTTTTCCCTTCCCCCATTGAGATGTTGGACAACGTCGAATTCATCAAGACGCCGCCGGCGAAGCCGACGCCCCCGGTCTCCACCGAGAGTGGCGTGCGGACGCTGGCGCTGCCGCTGATCCATAACGCCCCGTTGCCCGCCGACGGGCCTGGGCTGAAGCACTTCTCTAACTTGGCCATGATTGGTCTCGTCGCCGGTATCCCCTACTTGGTCACCCGCAAGCTTGGTGGTGGTTTTAAGACGTGGGTGTTCTTCACCTTGGTGTTGGTCATCCCCATCTTGATGGCGTTCTGGACAATCATGTCGCTGTACTCGCCCCGTCTTAACGAAAAGGCTAAGTACCCCAACCGCCCCATCCTGTACTACTTGGAATTCCACACCCCGGAATTGAAGGCTAAGTACGAAACCCTGAACAACGGTAAGGGTACCAAGATCCCCATTGAAACTTTCCAGGAATTGTACTTCGACGGTAAGGTGTCGTTCAAGGGCGACGCCCTCGACATCATCGAATACAAGCACGACTGGGCCAACTTCAGATTCACCTTGTCGTTGTTCCGCTTCTTCTTGTTCGGCATGATCCCCGAAGTCATCTTGCACTCGCAATCGCAAGACGAAGAACAAGTGCGTGACCACTACGACCGTGGTGACGACTTCTACACCTGGTTCTTGGGCCCCCGGATGATCTACACCGGTGGTATCATTGGCGACCCCGACCGTGAAGAAACTTTGGAAGAATTGCAAGACAACAAGCTCAAGGTCGTTGCCGACAAGATCGACTTGCAACCCGGTGAAGAAGTGTTGGACTTGGGCTGTGGCTGGGGTACCTGGGCCACCTACGCCTCGTCGCAATACGGGGCTAAGGTCACCGGTGTCACCCTCGGTAAGAACCAAACCAAGTGGGGTACCGAATTGCTCGAAAAGTATGGTGTCACCCCTGACCAACTGCGGATTGTGTGCTGTGACTACCGTGAAGCCCCCAAATCGCAAAAGCCCAACGGTAAGTACGACAAGATCACCTGCTTGGAAATGGCCGAACACGTCGGTATCCGTCGTTTCACCGCGTTCTTGGAACAAGTTTACGAGCTGCTTGAAGACGACGGTTTGTTCTTCTTGCAATACGCGGGTTTGAGAAAGAGCTGGCAATACGAAGACTTGTGCTGGGGTCTTTTCATGAACAAGTACATTTTCCCTGGTGCTGACGCTTCTACTCCCTTGGCCTTCGTCGCTTCGTGCTTGGAAGCCGCTGGCTTTGAAATTGTTTCCGTCGACAACATCGGTGTCCACTACTCGGCCACCATCTGGAGATGGTACCGTAACTGGTTGGGCAACAAGGACAAGGCTGTCAACAAGTACGGTGTTAGATGGTACCGTATCTGGGAGTTCTTCTTGGCCCAAGCCGTCGTCGCCTCGAGAAACGGTACCGCCACTTGCTTCCAATTTGTCCTTAGAAAGAACCTCAACTCGTACAGACGGGTTGAGTACGTCCCCCGCCAACACGGGGTGTTGGCTCCCTTGGCCTCCGGCACCAAGTGGGCCAAGCCGTAAATGTGATCCATCTGAATCACTACTTAATTTCTTAGCTTATGTATATGCAAAAGTGACATAAACGATAGTATTCTTATCCACTTTCAAATCGACTCCGCATTTTCCTTCTCATCATCGCACTTGCCACTCTCCCCTAGATGATCCATCGCCTCCGGCTACCACACCAGTGTATCCGAACGCTGCGCCGTTACAACGCATCCATATCCCCTGAGCTCAACCAGCTTTTACAGCAGACGATTGATGCCACAACAAATGCCGCCCAACCGCAAGAATCAGGTCCATCATCGCGGGTAGAGTTTGAAGACGATGGCGACGAAGCACCCATGTCAGAGCTGGCTATTGCTAGCGAGCGACAGTTATTCTACAATATCTTCAAGCTGTACATGCAAGAACACCCTGAACGAGAGGCCCAGGCGGGTGTAGCGGGTACGGTGGCAGCTCTGTTGGAGCGTACCAAAAAAGCTAAGACAGTGGCGAAAAGAGTCAAGACTGCCCGCGAACGGATATCCAGTGACCTTAAACAGGGGCTTGAGTCATCAACACTTCAAGCTATTAGCAAGTTACCCCATGTGGGCGAAGTGTGTCGGTGGTTTTTCGCTGATCTTGACCGGTGGAAGAAGATGGTGAGTGATGCCAAACTGAAGCGTGATCAGCGGGCTTTGACCCTCGACCATTTACTTAAACCCGGAGCTGAAACGGAAGCGGAACTGTTTGTTAACTCAGTAATTGCTGAAGCGGAAGCTAACCCTACAACGCCCCCACTTAATGCGTTTACATTACCCATAGTGATTAACGGTTTAATTAAGATGGCCGCTTTTGAACTCCATGATGGCCAAACGGCAATGACCTTATACCACTGGCTCAAACGTGACGTAAACGTTTACTCAGTGGCGTGTAACCAAGAAACTCACAATTTGGTGCTTGCCATTGCTCACTTATATTATGGTAAAGGAGACTTGTACCCAGTGGAAGCTTTATATCATGAAATGAGGAATAGTGGGTTTTCCGGTAACATGGAGACATTCAACGTTCTAAAACAAGTGGTGATTGATTACTATGGTCTCCGTATGGGTAAACTCGACGGAGTTAATGCTACGACGCTGGTGCCATTGTGGCTGAAAGAGGACGACGTCAGAGCCGAGTCCTTTGAACGACACTTAAAGCAACTCGCCCGGAGATTAACTCACTAGACTTCAAACCCACACACGGTTCCAAAACTTGTATATATAAGTATTTATAGATTTTATTTAACGGTCGCAAACGGTCACTTTAGCATGTGTCAGTCGGGGGCACCTGGTGCGAGCGCGCGCACATTTGCTAAGGCACTGATACCAGCCACAATCCAGAATTGATAACTTTCCTCAACGCCAATGTCCGAGTTTAACGGGTTCCGCGACCTGTATTACGACCAACTGACGGGGGCGCTGAGTTCGGCAAACCCCAGTGCCTCGCCGCATACCCTGATGAACATCCCCACCATCAACGTCAAGCGCGAGGACGTCGAGCAGTTTCTCTCGCAATCGCTGGACATCAAGAAGCAATTGCTGGCGTCTTTAGGTGGCGCCGGTGGTAGCTACGGAGGGGTGAACAAGCCGACGCTGCGTAAAGGCCTGATCATCACTATTCGCAGTCAGGAAGATGACGACGACGCCGACCAAGGCAATGAACGCAAACGCCGGGATAATATCAATGAGAAGATCCAGGAGCTTCTTACATTGATTCCTGCCAAGTACTTTGACCCTAAATTGCAAAAGGATGCTAAAAAGGAGGAGGACGTTAAGAACCTGGGGACCAAAGACGGTAAGCCCAATAAGGGGCAAATCCTCACCAAGCTGGTCGACTACCTTCGGGATTTGCAAAACTTGATTGATGAAAACAACCGCAAGGAGGTTGAGCTTCAAATGAGACTCCGCCAGTTGGAAGGGAACACCCAGCAGCAAGGGCCGTCGTACACGAGTGCCGAGCGGGCCTTGGGTGAGATCGGGGTCGGCCCCCTCCTGGAAGAGTACTTCAAGGGAGTGCTTGCCGACGTGTTGCGGAGAAAGCCGTGAAGTGTGTGTGTAATGTTTATGAAGTAATGTTATAAAATGAGTTATTCACGAATTTGTTATCCTTTGGGGTGATCGATTACGCTATATAATATTTGTCTAAGGTATATGTAGTAGTGTCTAGGTCATTAGTCTTTAGTTTGGCCCAGTACCGGGGCCGACTGGTTGGTATTGGTCATGTAGTTGTTATTGGTGGAGTTACCATTACCATTAGTAATGGTGTCGGCGACGTCTCGATTCAGACGCTGGCATTCAGTGTAGCGACACCGGCCTAGCCGTTCGCGAGCATCGGCGTCCTCAGTGAGCATATACGCTGGGGCATAAGTGCCGTCATCTCGCTTTAAAAACGGGTTGGGTACCGTAGTATCACGTCCACCTAGACTGGTATAGCCCTGGTCGTACATCGGACAGTAGTCGATCCCCGTCTCCACGAGGAACGCCCACACATCAACATACGTCCAGTCAAGGATCGGATGTAGCCGGGTGAACCGGGGCCAGTCGCCGTCAGTGGCTTGAGCAAATTTGAGGGTGGCGCCATACGGGTCGGAGCGTCTGATGCCGATGATGATGCGGTTGATATGCGGATTGGCGTCCAAGTACTGTTGGAACCCTTGCTTCAAATGGGCTTTTATCGGCACCAGCCGGAGGCCTAGCCGCTGGTTCAGCTGGCGGATAAACTCGCGTACCTCGGCAAATTCAACTTCGGCGTTAATATAAACCGAATCCAACTGGTAGTTTGGCGGGAGACTCTTAGTGTGGAGCACGGCGAGGATAAGCACGACCATCACGAGACAGTCCTTGCCGCCGTTGTAGGACATGGCGACGTCGCTGACGTCGTCCAACGCGTGGCTGAGCTCGGCCATCAGCTGGCGGATGCGTTGTTTGACCCGTTGTTTAACCGCCGGGTCAGTAACGTACCCGGGCTTGGTCGGTGGCGGGAGCTTATCGTCAAGATACGCCTGCACCAACTGGTGGGCCTGGCGACACTGGTGGGCAAACACTTCCGCGGGCAGCGCTTCCGTGGTCATGGCTTCGTGTAAGGGTAAAGTAGATCGGGGCGCCACTGGTGAGCGCATGTGGTGCGAGACGTTTCGACAGTGGAGACAGGTCCGAAGTGGGGGCGAGACCGCCGTCCGAAAGCGGCACCGCCCTACTGCCAGGGAGACAGCGAGCCTGTGGCTTAATGTCCTTAAGGCCATCTCGCTATCGCCAGGGGGTCTACGATAGAGATAGAGGGGCTCAGGGTGGGTGGGGGTGGCGGGCCGCCATTGTGATAACCAAACGTGACTAGCGCGGGGGAATCCCGAGGCGATAAGATCCGATGATACGGTAGCCCTAGTAGACGTGTAAGTGTCAATATTCGTTGTATGTCACCAGTTTAGCCTCTGAAATATAAAATCGGTTATTGTGACTGGGGTGTCATTTAGGCGTGACTCAAGCGGGCATCGTCAGTCGCGTCGCCTAAAGCCGAACCCGGCAACGGCGAGCGAGGTGAGGGGCCCGCACTGGCACCACAGCTAACAAAATTAGTTAGTGAGGGGGAGAGCCCTTCATTATGACAGAAAATGAGCACTGGCCCGATACGGCAGCCCCGATATCTCCACCCACACCAGATTGCTCAACGTTATAACACCTTCAACCATTCCAACTTGGTTTCTTTTCCTTTCCTATCCCCTTCTTACCATTCTCTAGTTCTCTATGTCACTTGTCAACGGCGACGGCTTTCTCCGCGAGTCCGCGTGTGTGCAATAATCGCACTGTGGTGGCAGAGACTGTTCCCTAGCCATTGTCCTAATCTCGGTCGCACTTAGGGCATCGCCATAGTAATAGCCCCACCCGTCGCAAATTCTAGCCCACAGCCCTGTATTATCCAAATAAAAAGTTATTATATATGTGGTGGTTGCCACTGATGATATTTCACGGTTGCTTATTAATTATCACCCTGAGTACCTCGCGTAGAACTAGATAGAATCAGATATATACCTCCTGCACACAAGCAGGGGCTGCCTCCACTCGATCATTATCGTCGTCGCCACTCTGCGATCACCCACAACTCCGCTTTCCACCGCCAAACCTCGCCCATTTTACTATTGCCGGTTCGCTCGATGATTCTGACGAAGTTGGCGTTGCGCATCGTCGCTCTGGCATCGCCACAAGCGGTCCGCCGGGTGTGTTCACTACGGTACGCTCTGCGGGTGCTGGTGGCCGCCGACCATAACCTGGCGTTGGACGCGCTTATCTCCTCAAAATTGGTGCTGCTCAAGCTGCTGGACGACTCTAACAAGCCGAGCAAGGACCCTGCTCCTGCCCCCGAGCCTGAGGAGAAAAAGGATACCCCAAAACAGCCCGAAGAAGATAAACCCCAGCCGGAAAATGACCCCGTAAAGGATGGGGAACCGGACAAACTGCCACTGCCGGGTGAAGAAGACATTGAAATTGTCGTGGTGAAGCATAAGGGTCCCAAAAAGGGCTCCGATGCCCCCGCCGCCGCCGCCGCTGGTGGTGCTGGTGCCCCGCCGCCTCCTCCCGATGGTGGCAATAATAATAGCCCTCCCAGTCGCCCCGACTCGGAGATTGACCGCATACCGATACAGATCAATCCTGATACTGGCTACTACCCGCCCGTGCTTGCCATCTCGATGAAGGACCGTATTCCGATCCCAGGCAGAGCATTTTCGATCAATATCGTTGACCCTGAAGTGATCTCAGCCGTGCATACTATTATCGATAACCGTGAGCCTTACTTCGCTTTATTCCACGCTAAGGATGAAAGTAACCCCAATACTGACGTGATTGAACTGCGCGATAGTGTATACAATATGGGGGTGTACTGTGAAGTTATCCGTTTACTTCTGCCGAAACCGGGTTGGCTTAACATCGTCGGTTACCCTGTTCAACGGTGTCAATTGAAGGAGCTTAAGACTCGTGACGAAAACCTTACTGAAGTGGTCGACGATAGTGTACCTCTGGGATACCTTAAGGGCTTAAACGTGTCCACTGCCGTCATCCAGCCCACTGCTGACGAACCGTTCGACAAGAACCTGACGGAAATTGCTCTGCTTGTTGAGCTGATTCGTGTGCTTGTCACTCAATTGGCGCTGAAGAACCCGTCGCAAAAAGTGGTCTACCGTGAACTTACGCGTTACTTGGACAAGCCTGATGAGTTGGCTGACTACGTGGGGTCGCTGGTGTACGGTGACGTCAAGACTATCCAAGAATTATTGGAATCGCTTAATGTCGAACAACGGTTGTCTAAAGTGTTTGAATTGTTGAAGGTTGAAGTCAAGGCGCTGATGATTAAGGAAAACACTATCCACAACCTCAGCTCTAAAGCCGACGAGTACCAGACTCGTCTCTTCATTAAGGAGTTCATCAAGGAGTTACAAAAGCGTGCCGGCATCTCGGAGACGGAAAACTCCAAGACCTCCAAATTCGACGCTCGCCTTAAAAACTTGCATATGACTGAAGAGGCCATGGAGGCTTACCAATCGGAAAAGCAAAAGATGGAACTGCAAAACGAACACCTGAGCGAACTCGGGGTTCTGGAGCGGTACTTGGACTGGTTGACGCTGATCCCGTGGGGTATCTACTCCAAGGACCGCTTCAATATTCGTGAAGCTAAACAAATTCTAGACCGTGACCACTACGGGCTTAAAGACGTCAAGGAACGCATCCTTGAATTTATCTCGATGGGCCGTGTCTCCGGTAAAGTCGATGGTAAGATCTTGTGTTTAGCTGGTCCTCCTGGTACTGGTAAGACCTCGATCGCCAAACTGATTGCCGAAGCCTTGAACCGTAAGTACGTCCGTATCGCTATGGGTGGTATCCAGGACGTCCACGAAGTTAAGGGGCACAGACGTACCTACGTGGGGCTGATTCCTGGTCGCATTATCCACGCTCTCAAGCAAGCCAAGACGCTGAACCCGCTCATGTTGATTGACGAAATCGATAAGCTCGACTTGCTGCGCTCGGGTGGTGCGGCGCTGGCGTTCCTCGAAATCTTGGACCCTGAACAAAACAACGCCTTTGTCGATAACTACATCGACGTCAAGGTTGATTTGTCGAAGGTATTGTTTGTGTGTACTGCCAACTACTTGGGCAACATCCCTGCTCCCTTGCGTGACCGTATGGAGATCATCGATGTTAACGGTTACACCAACAATGAAAAGGTTGAAATTACTAAGCGCCATTTGATCCCCGATGCCCTGAAGAAGGCCGGTCTCGAAGGCAACCACGTCAACATTTCCGATGCTACCATCACCAGACTCATTGAAAAGTACTGTCGTGAACTGGGGTTGCGTAACATCAAGAAGCTCATTACGCGGATCTTCTCCAAGGCGTCGCTTAAGATCGTCGAACAAGTGGAAGAACGTGATGTTGATGCCGCCAAGACCGAGGAAGCTGTTGAAGAGACTAAGGCTAAGTCGAAGTCGGTGAAGAAGCTGCCTGAAGCCACTACTGCTGCTACTGCGACTACTAATGCGACTGCGGAAGAACCGGTGGCTAAGGAAGCTGAAACTTCGACGACTACCAAGGAACCGGTGGTTGAGGAAATTGACCAAGAACCCACTACCTCCACCGAGGTGCCGAAGATGACCATCCCTGAAGACATCAAACTTGACGTTACCCCCGAAAATTTGAAGGACTACGTTGGCCCCGAAATCTACACTCGTGACCGGGTGTACGAGTTGCCTCCTCCCGGGGTGGCCACGGGTCTTCTGTACTCGAGCTCGGGTAACGGTGACGCTCTCTACATCGAGTCGATCTTGACCCACTCCATCGCGCTGGGTCTGGGTCAAGCCGGCGTCCACGTCACCGGTTCGTTGAAGGATGTGATGAAGGAACTGGCTCTGATTGCCTACTCGTTTGCCAAGCTGTACATGGTGAAGAACTTCCCCGAGAACCGCTTCTTCGAGGCGGCAGAGATCCACGTGCACTGTCCCGATGGCGCCATTCCCAAGGACGGGCCGCTGGCGGGTATTTCATTCACGTCGTCGCTCATGTCATTGGCGCTTAACCAGCTGTTGCCGCCTACAGTAGCGATGACGGGTGAAATCACCGTCACTGGTCGCGTGTTACCTGTCGGCGGGTTGCGTGAGAAGATCTTGGGGGCCAAGCGTTACGGGTGTGACACCATCATCTTCCCCAAGGACATTGCCAACGAACTTGACGAGATCCCCGAAGAAGTGAAGGAGGGTGTTAAATTCATCCCCGTGGAATGGTACCAGGAGGTGTTCGACAACTTGTTCCCTACGGTGACCAAGGCCAAGGGCAACCTGGTGTGGAAGAAGGAGTTTGACGAGCTTGATGAGAAAAAGAAGAAGAAGGTTAGCGTGTAAATAGATACTATAATAATTTTGATAACAGCATATACACATGGAACATTGTAACCACCACGTGTGTGGGCAATAAACCCTGTTTTTGAGAGGCCGACAAATATCGACTCATCGTCAACACGATCGAAAAGTTGCAAAATTAACGTTTCATGTGCCATGACTACATGAAATAGGGGCTCCTGTGGGACGTTCCCCTGTCAACGCTCAGGGGGGCCCGTTGCTAGCATGCTGATAACAGGTACCAGCAACCCAACACACATACCTCGCGTCCCGATGCACGTGTGGTGGGGGTTATATTACTACAGTAACCTCGACAAACCCCTCACGCGAGCGATCTCCGCATTCCACAATAAGCGGTGCAGCCGGTACCACTACGGTATATTGTTTATAGGCGGGTGGTGTAGTATATAGGGCACTCTTTAGTCGCTTTTGACACAATTTTCACCACTCCATAGTAGTGGAAAAAAAAGTCGGGCTTGACTGCGGGCCTAGCAGAAATGTGTGTCAGGCTACAGGTACATTTACTCAGGGCATACTACACGCAGGACGTTTATCGGTTGCCAATGAAGAAAGGAGTACTGCGTTAATTCGATTGGCGATAGCAACAGATCTCCGCCAGAGAGAGATGCCGATGTATCGGAATACGGGGTGGGACTGAGGGGGAAGGTTTACTTGAAGGGGAGTGAAGATTGATGATGATAGGAGACCATTTTTGATAGATTTGGTGAGCTAACAGAGAGCGTTCGGGGGCACAGTACTGTCATGTCGGGAACGCTTCGGCAACATGGTGCATGTAAACACACTGTAATGCAGTCTATTGTTACCGGGGAAGGGGGAAGCGACCTGCCACGAGGGGTAGGGCGCCGACGCTGAAACATTTCTGCTCTGTGTTTAAACCCTACCATTGTTAACCGTCCACGTGGTTGAGTCGGCGATGAGTAGTATTGAACCGATGAGTTTGTGATCAACGGCAACAATAACCAGCAGATGATATTTAACCGATGAGTTTTGATCAACTCCAGAGGATAACAAGAACCAGCAGATGAAGGTGTTGTTGCCGTTACTCTACGTGGCGTCGTGGGCCTCCGCCCATGTCATCAATGGCCGCCACCTGATCGGGGCTCAGCAGCTTGAAGCTCGGGCCAACAAGGACTTCTCCGTCGCAGGCGTGTTGGGGAACTTGGACCAGGCCGACAACCAGTGGATCGACGACAGATTGCTGGAATTGGCCCGGTACAACGGGCTGGACTGCGACGTGTGCAAGCACACCATCAAGTTCAGTCGGGAGTTGTACGACTCTGACGCTGACCACCAGCATTTGATCAGTCTTATGCTTTTCAAGAAATGTCTCCAGCTGCAAAAAAAACCGTCCAAGTGTAACACCGTCGATTTCTTCGTCACTACCGACTACAACAACTGGACCAAGAAGGATAAGGCGCTGAACCTGAGTATCAACTTCTGGGACAACGACTTCTTGCAGATGCTCAAGCACTTCGACATCAACAACGACGACGACTTGCTGTACTACTGCTACTACAAGCATTCCGTTTGCGATCTTCCCAAAATCGATATCAACAAGTTTGGCATCGACGAGTGGTGGCCGGCTAAGCAGGACAAGCACTACCTGGAGCCTCAGTACAAGCACAAGAACAAGAATGCCCGCAAGCACTTCAACGTGCTCCACATCAGTGACCTCCACTTGCAGCTCAGTTACCGTGTGGGTACGGAAGCTAACTGTACCACCGGTACTTGCTGTGCCGTCAACTCGTACAACAAGGACTTGCCCCTGATCAAAAACTATAACATTTCCGACTACTACGAAGCCATTGGCATCACTCCTCGTGATTTCAGCTTCTACCCTAATGTCACTTACCCTAAGGACGGTACCTACAACAAGGGTGACTATGTCGACTACATTGCCGAGAACGGATGGGACTACGTGCTGACTCCCGCCACTTCTTTTGGTCACTACCTCTGCGATCTGCCTGAAGTATTGCTTAACATTTCCCTCGCTCAGATTGGCCAAACGCAAAAGAAGAACAAGTACGATTTCTGTCTCTTCACCGGTGACTTAGTCGACCACATAATGGAGCTTGCGTCGCCTGAGTCCACTTTACGAGAGGAGACTCGCTCGTTCCAATTGATGAAGGAGTATTTTGAAAACATCCCCGTGCTTCCTGCGCTCGGCAACCACGACACTTTCCCCCACGGGCAAGTGGCGCCGCCTCAGCTTGAACACAACCAAAACTATACTTGGGACGACGATGCCATGGCCGAGTTGTGGATCAACAACGGCTGGATCAACGGGGCCAAGCGTGAGGACCTCAAATCGCACCTGCTGGGCTTCTCCTACGTCACTGAAAGAGGGCTTAAGGTGATCATCCTCAACCTGAACACTTACTACCAGCAGAACTTGTGGGGCTACATCAACTGTACTTCCGACCCCGACTTGTTTGGCACCTGGAAGTGGCTTGTCTCCGAGCTCGTGGCGCTGGAAGCCTCCGACCAAAGAGTGTGGATTGCCGCCCACATCCCGACCAACGTCTACGACGCCAAGGCCTACCAATCGCAGATCTTTGAGAAGATCGTCCAGAGATTCTCGCCTTACACGATCGCCGGGATCTTCTACGGCCACACCCACAGAGACCAGGTGTATGTCGGTTATCAAAACGACCAGCCGGCGGCGTTCGCCTTGGTGGCACCCCTGATCACTCCCGGCACCAATAACAACCCTGGCTGGCGTTATTACGAGGTGGAGGACGAGCTGTTTAACATTATTAACGCCCACCACTACTACCTCGCCTTGAACGAAACGCTTAACAATAACGGTGACTTGCCCCAGTATAAGTACGAGTACCTGTCGCGTGACTTGTACGACCCCAACCACCAGTGGCCGGCCGACGCTCCCCTCAACGCCACCTTCTGGCACCAATACGTCGTCAAGCCCATGAACGACACCCTGGCGATCGACTTCAACCAGGAATACATGGACTTGCAGTACCGGTACTCGCCGTTTGCCCCGAAGTGTCTCTCTAAGACGGGGAACTTGACCAAGACGTGCTTGAAAGAGAACTGGTGCTTGGTGTCGTCCTTCAACCTGGACTTGCTCCAAAAGTGTGTCGATGCTATCAAAAAGTAGATAATATTGTACACAATCGTGTTTTTGTAAAATTTCTCAAATTACAGACTTTGTAGTTTATTACCACACACTCACTTGGCCGTCTTCCTCACCAAAGTAGACCTTCTTGGCCATATTGCAGAACAACCCAGTGTCGACGACACCCACCAACAACTTGATCTTTTCGTGCAATTGCGCCGGGTTGGCGATGGGGCCGAAATCGGCGTCCAAGATCGAGTTGTTGTTGTCGGTGACGACGGGGCCGGCCTTCTTGGGCATGCCGTCACGCAAGGTGACCTTCTTAGCCCCCAATTCGTATAACTTCTTAGTGACAGAGACGTAGGCGCTGGGGACCACTTCAATGGGGACACCTTGCTTCCATTCGGTACCCACCGTTTCCAGCTTTTTACGGTAGTCAGCGACGACAATGAACGTCTTGGCCAGCTGAGCCACAAGCTTTTCTTGGAAAAGACAGGCGCCCCCGCCCTTAATCAAGTTGAGGTTCTTGTCGGCCTCGTCGGCCCCGTCAAAGGCGATGTCGACATCGGGGAATTGTTCGATCGAACCCAAAGTCAAACCGTTTTCGATGATCAAGTTCTTCAGCTGGAAACCGGTGGGGACACACACGAATTGCTTCTTGTTAGGGTTCTGGCCCAAGCGTTCGGCGACGTAGACCACGGTCAGCCCCAGCCCGACCCCGACGACCTTGGCGTCCTGAGGAAGGTTTTCGTCGACGGCACGGTAGGCAGCAAGCTTCTTGGCGGCTTCAACTCCCGACATGTTTTGCAAGCGGATCGAATGACTGGCGGCTCGTCTCGCTATATGGGCCAAAGTCATCGCGGCCTCCGCAACCCCGGGGAGTCGGGGTTGTGTACTGCAGGTAAGCGGGTAACACCCGGAGGTTTCACCAGCAGCGGGCATGGCTCCGAGATCATGCTGACGTCTATACAACGCAGGGTGTCAATCGTCGATCGAATTGGACTAATTGGTCTACTATGGTATTGCCTAAGTGGAATTCGTTGAAGTTCACCAGTAGTGAGACCCCACGTTGGTTAGTCACCTTAGTAATGGGGGATCTCTACCCGAGTTGCAGTTACCCCGGAGTCTCAGCTAACGCCATATGCCGTTACCGATCCAAGCCAAATTTCAGAATTTGTCTAAGAATAGGAATATCTCTGATATTGGTCTACTTCCACAAACTGTGAATTATTAAGTTAACTTGATAGATTCCAGTATTTACAGTCGAGTCATGCTGATATCCTTCCTTTCATTACCTAATATACATAAACACATTAACTATAAGACTTAAGCAGCCTTGGAGACGGGGGCAGCGGCGGCGGCGGCGATCTTGTCCTTCTTCGCTTGCTTGGCTTGCGACTTGGCACCCAAGATACCACCACCCCATTGTCTGCGGGCGTCTTCGTACTTTTCGGCGAAGTTAGCGTTGATGGCCGACACCAACTTCGAGAGCTCAGCTTCATCAGCGGCTTCGACTTCGGTCAAAGCGGCGACGGCAGAGGTCTTTTGGTGGACCAAGGTCCCGAGTCTGGCCTTGCCCTTGACGATGGCGTAGGGGACACCCATCTTCTTGCACAAAGCGGGCAAGAACACGACCAATTCGATGGGGTCGACGTCGTTGGCGATGAGGACCAACTTGGCCTTCTTGGCTTCAATAAGAGCGACGACGTGGTTCAAACCGTACTTCACTACGACGGGCTTGGGCGACACGTCCTTAGCCGACTTCCCTTCAGCGACGGCGGCGGCCTCCTTGGTCAATCTTTCCTTCTTGGCAGCAGCGGTTTCCGGTTGGTACTTGTGGAACAACTTGAACGCTTGCGCCGCGGTGTTCTTGTCCAACGTGTGTTGGAATTGAGCGATGGCAGGGGGCACCTTGACTCTCATTTGCAACACCTTCTTCTGGCGTTGCAAACGGACGTACTCGGGCCACTTGACATATCTCAGCAAGTTACGCTTAGGTTGGATCGCCTGGCCGAGGCCGAAGTTCTTGGGGGTCGAGTCCAAGAGGGGGTTCTTGGGCTCGGTCGACTTGGGGGCTTTCGAGCCCAAGGGAGCAGGAGCAACTTTCTTGTGGGAAGGCTGTCATTGGGTTAGTTTCAGAATGCTTCTCCCTGACGATCAACGAAGTTCCAAAACCAGTAACGAGACCCTAGCAGACAACTCTCCTCAGATACGTGAGGAGAGACTGTCTCAGCCAATAGCCACAGGAGTGACATTGCAAAAAGCGGACATCACTCCCGAGCATATTGATTTCGCTACGTGGAGGATGTTGATCCGGCTTCCTTGAAAAGACTTACCATTTGGTTAGTGGTAGTGAAAAATTTTCCGCGGCTGGTGCTTTATAGCGGTGCCCTGGACTGTATGCAGGAAATAGTCGATGAAACAACCATGACTAGAGTATGAGATTGACCTCCCCAAATGAATACCAACAAGTCTCCAGTTGTTTGTATTTATTGTTGTTCGTTGATTCTAGCAACAACGAGTCTGACATCTGGGCATTGGCTAAATCCTACCTCCATAGCGTCTAAAGGACTATGAGTGAATCATTATTTCTTCCATCATCCTACTGATTTGTTCAATAGTTGGTTAGTGAGTAGTGTGCACCTACACCTTGCAATTGTAGTAGAATCTTCAAAGGCTAAGACATTGTAGTTAATGTTATCGATAGATATTGAGCTCATTCATGGTCTAGGCGCTATAGTGCGACCAGCCCCACAGTCAATGCCGATGATGGATACCACACTATAGGACGAAACGAGATCAGAAGTCACCAACTACTACTGAAGCAGATTGATTTATCTCATGAACAAACACCATCATTATTCGTATCGGTTGACTGTCAGGGCGGGAATGTTAGTGACTTCTGATCCATGTTGATAGTTAGGGTAGTCACGTGCCTTAGGGTTAGTCCCCCAAATTTCGCACCCCGGCGACGGCTAGCGTGAAAAATCTTCGCGCACCAATTTAGCCACCATCAACCACCATGGGTAGAGTCATCAGAAACCAAAGAAAGGGGGCCGGGTCGATTTTCACCGCCGTGACCAGACTCAGAAAGGGCGCTGCCAAGCTCCCCACCCTTTCGTACGTGTCGAGACACGGTTACGAAAGAGGTGTCGTCAAGCAAATCATCCACGACTCGGGCAGAGGCGCCCCCTTGGCCAAGGTCGTGTTCAGAGACGCTTACCGTTACAAGTTGAGAGAAGAAACCTTCATTGCCAACGAAGGTGTCTACACCGGCCAGTTCATCTACGCCGGTAAGAAGGCGTCGTTGAACGTCGGTAACGTGTTGCCCTTGGGCTCGTGCCCCGAAGGTACCATCGTCTCCAACGTCGAAGAAAAGCCCGGTGACCGTGGTGCCCTCGCCAGAACCTCGGGTAACTACGTCATCATCATCGGCCACAACCCCGACGAAAACAAGACCAGAATCAAGTTGCCCTCGGGTGCCAAGAAGGTGGTGTCGTCGGACGCCAGAGGTGTCGTCGGTGTCATCGCCGGTGGTGGTCGTATCGACAAGCCCTTGCTCAAGGCCGGTCGTGCCTTCCACAAGTACAAGGCCAAGAGACACTCGTGGCCCAAGACCAGAGGTGTTGCCATGAACCCCGTGGACCACCCTCATGGTGGTGGTAACCACCAGCACATTGGTAAGGCCTCGACCATCTCCAGAGGCGCCGTCTCGGGTCAAAAGGCCGGTCTTATTGCTGCCAGAAGAACTGGTTTGCTCAGAGGTACCCAAAAGACTTCGGATTAGGTGGTTAATGCAGGTTAATATAGTGTAAGATACGAAGATAGAGCTCCTGGTAGTCAAATATAGTACTATCTGTACTGTTTGAAATGGTGTTTCAGCATGAAACATCACCCCTGTAACATCTTGAAATTTCCCCTGTATCATCTCATCGTTTTAGGCAATGCTTTGTCTCATGGTAATACATGTCACTCACTAGTGGTAGTCTTATGAATGCAATTATAATCGTCGCCATAGACCCCTGGTCCTACAATGCTAGCATCTAGCGATATAGTTGTCATTAATATCTATTTGTACAAAATGCCCACCGGTTTACTTCTTTTCGGCTCTGGCAGCGGCCAAGGCCTTGGCAGTACCGTGCAAAGCGTATCTGTGGTTTCTTCTGAACTTGGCGTCAACACCCTTGAGCGAAGGGTACTTGTGGGTTCTGGGCTTCTTGATCCCGTTTCTGTGGGCCTTTCTGGTTTGGTTGTGGGCGGTGTGGTTCTTAGACTTAGCCATCTGGATAGGTTAGTGGGGAGGTTCAGCAATAAGTTTGGGCAACGGGCGGCACTTACTTTGTTGGTGGTTAGGTTCTGGGTCGGTCGCTGCCTACAAAATTTTCCGCGGCGTGGGTGGAGCGGGCGCTACCGGGTGCGGCGCGTGAGGATGGTCACGTGTGAGCGCGATCTTAGGTCAATAACCCTAAACTGCCCCCAACACTAACATCATTGCCAATGATAGAGGCCACTTGACGAGGTGAAACCAAGCCAATTCTGTTCGTCGAAGATTTTTATCATCACTGTACTGTCTACTTTGTCATTTTTGCCTTGTGTTCAAAAATGTAAAATTCTCGTCAAAGGGTAGACTCGAAGCTTTACACGCTGCCAGTTGCCCCACTTCAAAATCAATAACCACCTCCGCTAGAATTATCTCCCATCAGGTGAGGGAATTTGCAGCGTTTACAGCCGACAGCACTACGCAAAAAGCAAATACAGATCATGTAAACAGTCGTCATTAATTTTGTACACACCTGTCAGTCACATCACACGGGCCATGACCAGTGCCAGCGAGCTCGTCCTCGGGATGATGATCGCCATAATGTGTCCGCCGGCAGCGGTGTTGTGGAAACAACAGGGGTTGACGGAGTCGTTCTGGATGCTGGCGTTCTTATGTCTCCTATTATGGTTCCCCGGAATGTTGTACGCCGTGTACATCGTCGGCAAGCAACCAAACTAACTGTCGAAATCGGTAAGAGAAGACATGGGAGATATCATTATATTCTTGTCATTAACTCCATACTTACGATACCACTAGTTAGCATACTTATCAAGAATACAAATCCAGTTACACTCAAATCAATCAAAGTAAATCTCAGGACAACCAGTTAGCATACTGACTTGGAATGCATTATCGTCATTGGCATTGCTAAGATCTCATACTTGAGTGTCTGGATGATATCGCTAGTTAGCATTTTTGAACGAATGTGAACTCAGCAAAACTATTAAAACATCAAAGAAAGAAACTGAACAATTGATATCTTTCAGTTTTGTCAATGACATTGTCAAATCTCAAGTGAACACTACCTAGATACTACGAATCATCTCAATAACGGGGAATGCATTTTTTGGGGTCTACCTCTATATCATCATAATTAAAGTCGTTAGATCCCTCCAGGGGATTATTGGTTATTCGTCAATGCTTCAATTAGTTGTAGTGGGGTGGAGACGGTGCCATACGTCATACTCTTCGTACATCTTCACCGTAAGCACCAAGGGGGTCTCCCATTCTGGGTCAACGGAAACGTCAGGGCGACCCAGCGAGTCCCCCACCGACCGTACTAAGTATACTTCTTCGGAGTCCAATCTCCGCTCGTTGATCGTCGACTGGCGAAACACCGCCTGGTGGAGCACAAGCTGACAAAAGCCAATGACGACATCGACAACTATCAAATGCCATAATCCAACTTTGGTAAGCTTAGTAAGCATGTCACTGTCAATGTCGATGGGAGCGATTTCCTCGCCGATAAACAGGACAAACCACCAATCTCCATTACCCAATTTGTCCCAGAGGCCGGCGTTGACCATTGGCACCGAATACCACCAGACAAACCCCACGTGATACACAACCGCCAATAGGGTTTTCCACCATATCCACACGTAGAAATTGACCGATATCGTCGCCTCAAACTGGCGCCGGATGCTGTGATCTAAGCGGTTAAGCACGCCGCTGTCTAGAAGATCGCGGCCAAGGATTCTCTGTACGAGTAAGTGGGCGGCAGCAGGTACAAGGCACGCCATGTGGCAGTAGCGGATAAACTGAAACCCGACAAGTAGGTACACGACGGCGTCGACGTGGGTAAACAAGTCGTGCTGGGCGCGGGTTTTGCGGGTGAGGCACTGCTTGAAGGCGAACTCGTGCTGGAACTGGCGGTCGGCGTCGTCAGATGACGGTGCCGCTGCTGAAGCAGCTGATGCTGGCTCAAACGGGTAAGCTCCGGGGATGGCGAGGGACATTTGGTTCGAGCAATCGCCTGGTTCCCTTGCAGTCAGGGTAAGTGCGGCGCGATAAGCGCTGACAGCGCCGATAGCGCCACCACCAGCGACCCACTAATGACGCTAAAATAACCGCAAAACAAGTGATTTATCAAATTATTACGGTTTTATAAGCCTCAATTGAACCACCTATAGCTTATAACTCACATACCAATTGATGTTCAGTATTTGTAGTTGCCTGGATCATGCCTATATAGTCGTGGTGGGGCGCCGCACTTGCGCCATGCCTGTTAGCGACATCAGCACCCCGCGAGAGTTCGACGCTGCCGTCGCCCGCCACCGCTTCCTCATGGTCAACTTCACCATGGCCGGGTGCCAGCCGTGCGCCATGGTGAAGCCCACCATCGACCTGCTCAGCGACTCGCCCAAGTACCTGGCGGTGGGGTTCGTCAGGGTCGACATCAACGCCAACGCGCCGGTGGCGGCGCGGTACGCCATCGCCGCCGCCCCGCTGTTTGTGTTTTTGAAGCTGGGACAAGAGGTGAAACGGGTTACCGGTGGCAATCTCCAGGCGATCGTCGCAGAGTTGGACCGGCTTCAGGCGCAGGCCGCATTAAGTGGTGCCAGCGCCAAAATTGAATTTAAAACGGATGCTCTCAAACAGGGGTACGATCTGCTTAACCCCCTAATTGATTTCCAAGGGTTTGAAGCGTTAAATGTCCAGGGACTGGCGAAACTGGTGTTTAAGGCCAATACTCCCGCCAAGGGAGTGTGGCTGGACGCTGATTCTCAGCTTATGTTCTACGTGCCGTTGATGAACGTCAGCAAAGTGCACCTGATCCTCATCAAGGCTCGTTCCGGGGTGGTGGTCGATGAAACCGATGGTGAAACCGCGCAACGCCCGTCTCGAGTGAAGGTGTGGCCCAACTTACCCCTGCCGCTCCTGTTTGACGATGCCGAATCCGACCATAACCCCGCTCACGGCCAACTGATTGAATTCAGTGATGGCAGTGACTGGGTCGAAGTTAAGCTCAAATTCGTCCGTTTCCAAAAAGTCCAACTGCTCTGCGTGTTTTTAGATGGTGACGATGAGGATACGCCTACTTTAGTGGACCAGATCGTCGTGGTGGGCGTACTGGGCGACCTGACAGAGGTGGCCAAATTACCCCGGGACGGGCAATAAGAAGCATATAATATTTTTAATAGCGAAGATTTTACTAACTCCGAGGCCCGAGGCCGTTAGCTGAGATAGGCAACCGCCGATGCGCACCGGTAAGTGAAGACGCCACCGGAGCCCCCGGGAAAAAGTCGCGCACTTTTCCCATGGCTATGAAGGCGGTGGAATTGGCCACTTCCGAGGGTGGCTCGAACTGGATAGACCATGAAATTTGCGATAACATTGAGCAATATGAATTGAAGACAATCCCAAAATAACTAATACAACGACCAGACAAAGATAGAGCCACTAACTTACCCTTTCCACTCTTCATTAATTTCGTAAACATCTTTATCACTCTGACTTCCGACCATTTCCGGCCGGGCAATGGTGGAGCGCGCACACCCACTGAGGCCAATTTCCACCCTCCACCTCTCACCAGAGCCATCTCGCCCGCCATGTACGCTCTCCGGATCATTGGCCGAACAACCCCTCTCTTGCGGACGCCGCGGTACCCGCTCCGCCCGCTCGTGGCCCTGGTTCGCTGCCAGCTGACCCAGGCGCCCCACAAACCGCTGAAAACCCCGGAGGCCGCCGCCACCGCCAAAGCCACCCTGGAACCCTCAAAAGACGATAAACCCGCCGTCGCCGCTACCCTGAAGGAAGTGCTGCATCCTGAGGAGACGCTGGTGGCCAAAACCGAAGACAAGGCGCCGAAAAAGCCGTTGTGGGACCGGATTAAGGTCGAGGCCCAGCACTACTGGGACGGGACCAAGTTGTTGGGGTACGAGATCCGGGTGCTGACCAAGTTGTTGATGAAGTACGTTGCCGGCTACGCCTTGACGCGGAGAGAGCTGAACCAGTTGCAGAGAACGCTTGTCGACGTGCTGAAGTTGTTGCCGTTCGCCATGTTCGTCCTCATCCCCTTTGCCGAGCTCTTGTTGCCGGTGGCGCTCAAAGTGTTCCCCAACTTGTTGCCGCTGACGTACGAGCTGAAGCTGGACCGCCTAAAGAAGCGCAACAAGCTCTCGAAGACCCGGGCCCTGGCGCTGGAGTACATCAAGAACACGTTAGAGGAGGGGGGGCTTACATTGCTGAAAAAGATTACCGACAAGGAGAAGGAAGCGTTCGTGCTGTTCTTCGACGAGATCTCAGCCGGTAAGAACCCCAGCCGCGACCATTTGGTGCAAGTGGCGCGTCTCTTCAAAAATGACCAGGTATTGGACAACTTGAGCCGCAACCAGTTGGTGGCGATGTGCAAGTACATGCAGATCCGGCCGTTTGGCTCGGACGCGATCTTGCGCTACCAGATCCGCCACCGGTTGCTTAACATCATCAAGGACGATAAGGCGATCGACTACGAAGGCGTCGAGCTGTTGCTGATCCCCGAGTTGCAGATTGCGTGCTCGCAGCGGGGGATCAAGACCGTCGACGTGAGCCCGGCACGGTTAAGAGAAGACCTCGAGACGTGGCTCAACTTGCGTCTTCGCCAGAAGATCCCACTGACGCTCTTGATCCTCCTGAACTCGTACGCCTACGGCGACAAGCTGCACCTGATCGACACCTACTACGACGCGTTGTTGGCGGTGTTGCTGTCGATCCCCGACGAGGTCTACAACGTCGCCAAGGCGCAATTGCTGGACGACTCCAAGCTCAAGCTCAACATCTTGAAGGAGCAGGACGAGTTGATCAACGAGGAAAACGAGAGAGAAAAGGGCACCATCAACGCCGTCAAGGACGACATCAAGCTCGACGAGTACGAAGAAACCGCCACCGACGGCCTCAATGTCGTCCCCGACGAGGACCCCGACGTGGTTACGCTGAAGGCGGTCGAGGCCCCCGTGCAGAAGTAGCCCCTGTCTATACATATAAACTATACACCGACATTTCCGTCCCTGTAGAAGCGAGATTCCGCTCGCCAAGCCCATGGCGTCGTGGAAGCTGTCTCCGATGACTATAGCCTAATCTCTCGCTCGTATCGTATACGAGATTTTGAGATAAACATAAAAAAAAAAATTACTTAGAGTTCGTGTATGCTATTTCTGGCTTCCATTAACTAACGGCTATTTTTGGTTCCGAAAATTGATAAATGTCTCGGGAGTGAAGGGAGGCTTAGGCGATGCAAACGCGTCCGAGGGGGTCCGGGTATACGCGAAAGCGGAACCACGTCTCCGCCCGCCAATTCCGCCAATTCCGCCCGTGCCTTCGAAACTAGCTAATCTCAGCACACTTAGAATTTCTACTTTAACCTCTCATTTCACATTTCAATATTACTCTATTTCAATAATTCCCAACAATTCGTATTATATGACTCAGGTCTACCCATCAACACGCGGCTTACGGAAGTCGGTGTCCGGAACAACTTCACGCAGCCACCAGATTGAATTGAAATAAACGTAATTGTACTCCATTATACACATAGTATATCCTAGACTCTTCCCAATTCGGTTACTGGTTCCACGGGCACATCGCTGTTGCCTTCCGATCTCGCAAGCTCCCATATATCTACGTCTCATCGCACTCCCCTCCTCAGCCGTGTCTTTTGACCTTCACACACGCCTCACCAACACACGCCTCACCAACACACGCCTCACTACCAAAAATCAACGCCCCTGGGGCTGCACACAAACATGACGAAAAACATCCATGCCCTCAACTTGAAGGGGGTGATGGAGTCGCTCCCGCCGCTCGAGCAGCCGCCGCCCCCAGCCGACGACGCCGACGAGCTTATAAACATCCTCCCGTCATACCTGATGTACCACAGTACCGTGGGCAAAAACCTTACTCCGAGGCCCGAGGACCGACGCCAGGACCCTCCCAGTTACGAGCTTACGCCCCAGCTGAGTGTAGGGTCTCAATCATCGCTGGAACGACGTAATCGTCTTGTCGACGATCCCGACGATTACGTCACCGGAGGCAACGCCGACGAACAGAGCTTGCTTGCCAACGTGTTCAAGCTCCCCCGACTCCATCACAGCAACAAGAGCATCTCGCTGTTGGTATCTATCGATATTGTGTTTACTGAACACATTGGTAAAGTGGGTATTCCTCCTAAGATCATTGACCCTTTGACTAAAGAATGGCGCCAGGGTGATTTCATCTATGGCTACGTGCTTGTCACCAACCACGCCGAAGAACCAATCCCGTTTGACGTGTTTGCCGTCCAATTCGATGGCGTGGAAATGCTCTATGACGATAAGTCTAACCCTTATATCCCGCTGACCCATGAGAGTCTTTGTTCGATGTTTGATTTTAATGCGCTGTGGAACGAAGGGTTTCTTGACCGGTTGCTGAGTGAAGACAATAACCCGTACCACAAATCGCTGGTAGGTAAAGATCCCGTGGATAATACCTTTGTCCACCTTGACTCCCATAAAGTGTTCGTCCCCCACGTCACCTATAAGAAGTTCTTTGCCTTCCGGTTGCCCGATCGGTGCTTAGACAGTGTGTGTCGCCACGGCATCGACTCCCACCTCCAACTTCCCCCTACTCTCGGGAGGTGTAAACACGAACGGATGCTTGTGCTTCGCGACCCCAACCGCCGCTACCTGAACCTCGGCAACGACCTAGCCACTGACGATGCCCTGGTGGCGTACCATCTCTCGGCCCGCATCATTGGTCCATTTACTGACTACGCTGACTACGCTACCACTAAACCTAAAGGACCTGATAACCAGTACGTCATATTCAATGAGGTCCACGCTTACATCAGAGTGGTGCCTCTGCCCAATCCGGGGTTTGAGCTTAACCGAGCTCTGATCGCTGAGGAACTGAGAATCCTCTATAATCAGTTGCTTCGTGATGTTAAAGACGCTATCAATGCCGGGAGACTGGTGGCTGAACCGCAGCGCCGTCCTCCCAGTAACTTTGCCCTGCCATTAGGGTCTCCTCATACCGAACGACCATCGTTATTGCCAACAACCAGTTCGATGGACGTCGCTAAGATCCAACAAGCCTACTACTCAAGTCCTCAGCCTACCGTCAAACCAAAGGAGTTTCGCGTGTTCTACCCAGTGAAAAAGCAGCTGGTATTCCACAAATCAAAAGTGGTGGGACTTGCGTCGTTCCTGACACCAAGAGTGGATCACCGTGTCAGTTATATCCCCGCATTGCCTAACAGTCCTCATGGTCCTACTAAAGTGGATATCCCTTTAACCCTTGAGTTTATCAGTCACGACGGCAAAGCAGGCGGCCAAGTACCTGATTTCCGTCGAGTGCTGGTGGAAATCGTCGCTCTTACCGTCAGATCGAAGCGCAACCCGATCCCCGTCGATATTGTCCCCGAGATGATGTTCAACGATAAGGGGAAAAGCACCGAGAACTTCGATATGATCACCATCAAACGCTTCCAGGGCTACGCCACCGAGCTCTCCCGGCTCATGAGAGAGTCCGGCGACGAGTTCCACATCACCCTGGAACTTCTGGCCAACGTCAAGGCGATGGCAAACTTGGCAGCCAAATACCACACCCTCAAAGTGGACACTATCACCTTAACCGATGACGACGGCCTCGTGGTGCCTCATATCGGCAATATCCCCTGGACCTCGGCCGCTGAGGGCGCCAACCAGACGCGCTACTTGAAGAAGTTCCACCTCAATTTCGATATACGCCGGGCCAAGTTGGTGAGTGCCGATGGTAAGGAACTGGCAGGGCCGTTCCACCTCGTGCCCGACTTCCAGTCGTGTCTCCTCGCCCGGTTGTACTACATCCGCATCAAGTTCAAGATGCCCAACGGCGAGAAAGTGTGCTTACAAGTGCCGTTGTTGATTCAACGTAACGACGCATAGCTCACCCCTTCATCTACTAGATCATATACTTTAATTCATTGCATAATCATTAGTAAGAGTGTAGTCTAAGTTTTGGATTTGATTGATTTTGTGCCTATATCTAGTTTGACTGGTTAATGCTTATATCAATTCTCATTCAAAGCCATTTGAAATTTTATCAAGTATTCCGATGTGTATGAGCTTGTAGATTCGACGTTAGGCCTATTTGTTTATGTTTGATTACTCATCATGTCTATGACAAACTATACCGCTTCTCCTCGCTCGGGTGCGATGGCAATGGCATCGCAATCCGAACCCAAAATCGTCGAGCTCCCACCGGACACAGACACCAATGCACCCGACGACGCCAAGATAGACGAGTTGGTCTCCCAGTGGGAGAAGCTCCGTTACGTTCCCAAGGCGGGAGAACCCGAATTACCGCCCCAGTTGTCCCAGTTCACCGAGAAGCTGACCGATGAGGTGATGAAAGAACTCAACAGATTACCGTTTTTCATGACCGAACTCGATGAAACCGATGGCGATAAGGGGGAGAACGCCGAGTTGGAAGCTCTCAGACAATTGGCCTACGACGGCGAGCCCGACGAAGTGGCCACCAACTTTAAGAACCAAGGGAACGACTGCTACAAGGCCAAGGACTACAAAAACGCTATTGCCTACTACACGAAGGGGCTTGAAGTTGAATGCGATGTTCCTGCCATTAACGTCGCCTTGCTTATTAACCGGGCAGCGTGTAACCTTGAACTTAAGAACTACCGCAGATGTATCAATGATTGCAAACAGGCCCTTTTACTCGATGATAAAAACATCAAGGCGTGTTTCAGAGCCGGTAAGGCCTTTTTCAAAGTTGAACGTTACGAAGAAGCCTTACAAATCGTTGACTACGGTCTCTCTATCGATGCTGAAAACGCCCTGCTTAAACAGTTGAAGAAGGAAATCACCGATAAGCAACAGCAAATCGCTGCTGCCAAAGAACGCAAAGAACGTGAACAAAAGCTCGCTGAGATGAAACGGTCCATCTTGGCCAACCTGATCAAAATGCGCCACATCGAAATCGTTCGTACTCGCGACGTTCCCGAGATGTTGGAGGATGCTAAGATCCGTCTTGAAGACGATAAGGACTACCAGTCGCAGCTTATCTTCCCCGCCATGGTGCTCTACCCCACTATAGATGAATTTGACTATATCGCTGAAATCGGTGAGCTTACCACTCCCTTGGAAATCCTCGAGATGTTGCTTAACCGTCCTCGCGAATGGTTCGAGGACCCTAAACACAAGAACTTCACCGTGAAGAAGCTTCAGGTGTTCATGGAAACCATGACTGGTGGGTTGGTTAAAGTGGGGAAGAAGATCGCCGTCAACGAAGCGTTGATGAACGAATCACCCAAGGCTCCATTATTCGACAACGCTCTCCGTCTCTACGTGGTGCCTCTGGACGACGTTGATCTGTGGATTGGTCTGTGGAACAAGCAGCAGGCTCTCTCCAAGCGGAAGAACTGAGATACCCCCAGATTACATTCACCATCAGCAGAGTAAAATGCTCTGCGAATCTTTCCAGTCTGTGCATCTATTCCACCAACAATATATAGCCATGGATTTTCACGTCTAGGAAAGTCCATCATCAATAATAATTATATCCCATGTCTTGCCAAACGTGTCGTTGTGCCACCACTGAGTCGATGCTCCGGAGAGTGCTCCAGTTCATTTTCAGTGTCATTTGCTTCGCTCTTGTGGTAACCCAATCTTTGAGTACGGGGATCACCGATACGTTAATCTACGTGGCTGTGGTGTCGGTTATCTCCATCTTCGGTGTATTGTGTATTGCTGCCGTCAAGCTCTCTACAGACCACACTGGCCCCATCCTCGCGGCTGACATTGTGTTGACTGGGTTGTGGCTTGGGGCGTGGGCGTGGCTTGTCACTTCCCGCTGGTGTTTCGATTTGAATGAGTGTCGAATCCTCGTGGTGTTGTTTGCTTCTTCGTTTGTGGCATTCATTGAGTTTGCCGTTGACATGATCTCTGGCTTTGTCGACATGTTGTAAACCCCAATAAATACCCGATAACTAAATCAAATCACTTTTAATACCCACAATTGACACCAAATATCTTCTTATTAAGTAGCTCCTTACTCATAGATTTGAATTTTGGGCCGTGATACTCAATTCAAGTAAATGACGCTACATTGTTATCAGATCTGAGAGTTTGCCAATAATTTTATTCAACATTACTTCTAATCAGGACGTACAACGGCGACTGTACCTCTATTCTAATACTGACACCCCCAGCTCTTCCGAGGCTTGGCCGTTCACCGAGAACTCAGCCTTCCACTTAATCTTAAGGGCCTTATTTTGAGGGTTCTCGATGGAGAAGTCCTGGGTGGCTCCGTTGTTGGTGAACGCGGCAATCCGGTCAGCCAGCTGGGGTTGCAAGTTCAACTTGCACAGCTTGGGGACGGCGATCATGAACTTAATCTGATCGATGGGAGCCAGACCAGTGTTGGACAACAACACGCGTCCGCTGAAGTGGCTAGCATTCGATTGAGGCAACACACCAACCTCAATCTTCAACGCACCCGATTGGGACACGGCAATGGTTTGACGGAAGCTTTGTCCCAGAACTTGGGCGGGAGTAGCTTGAGGGAAGTCGAGACCGAAGGGGTCAAGCTGGTTGTTGGCAGGAGGCACGGGGTTGCTCTCCAACTGGGGCGAGGGCGACGACATGCCGAAGATGTCAAGAGACGCATTAGCAGCAACGGGAGCCACAGGCACCGGGGTGGCGGAGGAGGAGCCCAAGGCAATACCACCAGAACCGTACAAGTCCAACGGGTTGGTGGTACGAGGAGCCGCCGCCGCACCACCAAACGACAAGTCGGCCAATTCACTCAACAAGTCGTTGTAGCCTTGCTTGTCTTTTTCGTCGTTGGAAATAGGGGCACTGGTGTCGTCGTCGTCAAAATCGATTAAGTTTTGCGAGCCGCCGCCAACGTTGATCAGTTGCGCCGCTTCGACGTTACCACCACGCAAAAGCTGGAACTTTTGCACGACGGAGTTGACCTTGTCATTCAACGCCAAAAGCTCCTGCACTTGGTCGGCGTCGTCGTTTTCTTCGACGATCTTCAAAATGCTAGGCTGCGACAGCTTAATCAGGGCGTACAACTCGTGCACGGTGTCGTGGTCAGAAGTGATACCCTGGCCTGTCAGCTCGATCAGCGCCAACATTTCGGCGAGGATCTCGGTCTTGCGCTTCAACTTGGCGACGTCTTGCGACACTTGCTTCTTCAGCTCGACAACATTGTCGTCCTTAAACCCAGCCATAATCTTCATCAACTTGTTAGCTTCCTGTAAGTCCTGCGGCTTGCCTCTGCGGATGAGTTCTTGCAATTTAGCCAGGTGGACGATGGCTTCTTCTTGTTGGATTTGCTCAAGCAGCTTGAGGTTATCCAGAGGGTTAAGCACGGCAGCGTCTTCAAGCTTGACTTCGGGGAAAATGTACCCTTTGTTCAGCAATAAACGGTGCATGTCCTTGATGTAGACAAAGTCGTTTTTGTACTTTGAAGTGCGGCAGATCGTTTGGTACCATTCTTCGATCTGGCCCAAGATGAGCCGTTGCACTTTGGTGTATCTGGGCGGGGGCCGTTCGGGGAACCGCTTCACTAAACCATTAAGGAACTCCTTGCGCAGGATCTGGAGGTGGAACGGGTAGCCACAGTTCTTGACCAAGTTGTCCAACAACGCGATGGCAAGCTCCAGGATCTGGGGGTCCCGCTGCGAGATCAACTTGACGACGACAATCGCCGCTTCACGAGGCGCCGAGCCCTGTTTCTGGTTGACATAGTCGCAAATCTCGAGGTTCAACGCGAGGTTGGGTTCGGCGAGCGTCGGCCGACACGCACGGTCTAGACGGTTAGTAACGCTTCAATTTGACTTCTGGGTGTATTAGTAGGGGCCACATACATATCCGCCTCAATAATTTGGGGTTGATTTTGCTCAACGAGTCGCTCATAACTCCCGGTGGGCACTGGTTGGCTTCGGTGGCCTTGAGTGCGACCGGGGCCACGGCGCCCTGCCCTACAACGCCGCACCACGGGCTTGAGGCAATACACATGGAGGCGAGTGGCGACGACGACCCGCTCGAGCTCCGGCGGCTTGCCGTGAGCTACGACTACCTTGTGTTCAAGATTAAGGACCGCATGGCGGCGCTAATCGAGGAAACGGAGCGGGCGGTGGTGCTTAAGGAGCAGGCGGTCGAGGAGGAGTATCTCGGCCAGAAGTTGGCCATTGGCGACCGCATGGAGCAGATCGACCAGTTGAACAAGCGGTGTGACGAACTAGAAGCGGAATTCGCTCGATTGGAACAGTTGTACGTGTTTGTCGACGACTTTAAGGCGAGACTAGCCGCGCTCAAACAAGGGTTCGCCGCAGTGAACACTCGACCGAGCTGATGAGAGACTGCTACTGGATATCGAGATTAACTACTTGCATTCTACGGTCGCTGTACTTGCAATTGATAGACCTTCAGGATCGGGCTGTTCCGTTTACACTAACTGACAAGATGCGTCACACTTTGATCCCAGTGTGACATTTGACAAACATCAATGATTCCAAAGCCTCTTTGAAAAACCACACCATCTTCAATCATACAGAGCAATTATGATCATATGATCACAGCATTATGACCAGCATTTGGAGCAGCATGATATCGTCGAAGGATTCCAATAGAACTTGGCTATGACGACTTCCATGACATCGAATTCGTGCAAGAGTACTCAGCATTGTCTACAAATATAGTATATAGATTTAACTTGTTCTTGCATTGTTGCAAAGTACACATCCTCAGCATATAAACAAGTTGTTGATCTAAATCTGTTTTTCATCTACTAATTTGAAATAGATCAATGTTTGTAACTAAATTCAACTATGCACGTATTCACTTAACCACTTCATCGGGGGGGCACTGGATGCTTCCCTGATGATGTCGGAGGCGGGGCTCCAGGGTACTTAGTGCTCTCACTGTCTCGATAAGATGCCACTGAGTCCTGGGCATTCGTGGGCTGAGGCTTATGATCGTGTCCCTTTATATTAGCCGATTGTTTCCCAATCACTGCCCCCACTGGAGCATCGGTCGAGTATTTCTGTACCAAGTATTGTTCCAAAATAATAAAGTTCCGTGAGTTACACTTATAGGCGATGTTAATGAGGTCACCCACAAATGGAATAAGCCCAATGCCAAAGTCAAACATGACATTAGCGCTCATCTTAGCCGCAATGTGGTCTGGCAAGCCACCCTCAACCTGCTTAGCCTTATTAATCAATTGTAACGCAAAGAACAACGCAAGCACATCACCAATACCGGGAATAAGACCAATGATACCTGCCCACCCCAAACGGAAGCCACAGAGACTAAGGGCAAGGTCAAGATGGTAGGCGCGGCGTCTCACCAGTTGCAATACCTTATAGTCGTGTTTGGGAATGAAATCTGGGAGCTTTCTCTTTCTCGTGGCCCCCTTTCGTTGGTAGAAATGGCGTTCGTTTTCGGGAATTTCCTCGTAGTAGGGGTCTTCTTTGGGACCTACATTCATGTACTGGTCCAAGTTTGTCTGACAGTTAGCACTCTGTAAATGAATTTGAAACACCTAGGTGACGGTAACTTACCTTCTTCAAGAAGTACAGGTAGGCGAGCTGAGACATGGCCGAAACTCGATCGTCTTACTTCACGGCAACTTTTATTGATCGCGCCAGCGCAAGCGTTGTTTTCTCCAGCAGGGTCAGGGTCGCGGCGCAATGTGGGGCTGAAGCAAACGACGCGATGCCGTCACCGCGCATATTTGACATTTGTGGTACTTGTGGAGCTCTATGATGTTATATTTGTGGAGCTTTATGACACTAAACTTTTAACCTATTAAATCTCAATTTTACAAATGCTTTACTCAATGACTTTGCGTTGAGCTTTAAGCTTGGCAAAGTACTCCTTGCGGAGGTTACGGAGGTCCGGCGGCCGCTCGAGGCCAAGTTCATCCCGAAGCTCGTCGACGTCGCGTTCCAACACCTTCTCCCAGTACACGTTCATCAACGGCTTCGAGTTGAGTCCCAGCGTCATCGCCCACGGGTAGTAGATGTTTCTTAAGCGTTCACGTTGCAGAGGCTTGAGGCGGAGGGGAGCGAAAAGGGCCCCGAGACCGGGCATCGGCATGCCGATATTCATGAATTCAAGCACTTTGACGGCGATTTCCCCCTCAATAATGATGGGGAGACCGGTGATGGCATGGTAGAAGTCGTGGCACTCGCGGTACCGCTGGAACACGTACGCAAGCTCCTCGTCGTCAATATACCGCACGGGGACTCGGGTATCGGGACTGACACCCTCCCGGTCCAACCATTTCACGTAGGTGTGGCCAAGCAGGTTCTCGGGAAGCAGGCGCAAGTAGTCGAGGTCCAACGAGTCCAGAGTAATGCGGGGTCTTTCTCGAAGGATCTGGCGACCAACAGGATCACTAAGCATCTCATTACGTATCCGTTTAAGGACAAACAGAAACGCCGTCGACTCGCCAAGCCCGACAATAAATTCGTTGCGTTCAGGGTGGAAATACAGCCCAATCAGAGACCCCACGATCATCCCTGCCTGTTCAAGCTTAGATAGCGGCACGTGTCCCTCGTAATGGGGTTCATCTCGAGTGAAAAATTGACGGGTGTTGGGGTTCTGCTGGTTGAACTCGGCGTTGGCGTCGTGGTAGTGGAGCTTGCCTTTCTCCATCTTATCGGCCAACCGGTTGCTCTGGTTGAATGCTAGCGCTCCGAGGACGGTGGTGACGACAGCACCAACAAAGTGGCGCCGCTGGGAAAGCTGGCAATGGCTCACACGAGTGAGGGAATGGAGCGTGCCATTGCACAACGGTGAGGCAACCATAGACCGAGTACGCACCACTGTTCGCTAACTTCCCTTTGCGACATACGATTTTTCCTTGGGTAAGAGATCACGTGAGATAAAGTTGTATAATTATAGGTATGCTAGATATCCCAGAGTTCGCCGACTAATATGTCTAGTAATTGGATGATTAGAAGCTTATTGGAGTGACACTGCTCAAGTACTTCGAGGGTATTTCTCACGCCGGCTCGGTACTCACTATAGGTTTCGTCCTGGTAAAACCAAAACTTATCGTCTCTAGTAAGTCTTTGCAGCACTTTCATCAATGCAATTGTCACTGCATCCACTGTTTCATCGGACGAGGGTATAGTTGTAGGAGGTTTCGAGGGTGATGCGTCATTAAATAAAGAATCGCGAAGGTGATCAATTGTAGATGCAATGATAGTAGGGTCGGTCAGATCAATGCTTTGAGTCAAAACTGAATTGATCTGATGATTAATCCAACGATGAAGCCATGGTATCTTTTTCACAACCTCTCGCCCAGTGCAAATCGTGTAATAAACAAATGGTCGGCGATGCTGAATATTGGACATTGATGCTAACAAACTCCAAACACTATGGTGCAACACATCAACAGACGACTCTATCCCTTCAAGCTTCATCCCTTCTTTGCGAATACTGGAAAACTTTGTCCATGCTTGCTGTATTCCCGCCATAGCATCCTGTGCCCTTTGCCATAACGATACTGGCAGAGAGTCACTCTTACTATCTTTTTCAACAATTGCACGTTTGGCTAGATCATGGATGATTTGACGTAAAAACTCTGGTGAGGCTAACTTCTCAAGAATTTTCGCAAGCACTAAATCTGCCACCACTGCTTGCACGAGGCTATTGCCGATCTTGGTGGTGTCTAGCGTCACTGAAGGATTGGGTATCAGAGAGAATGTTGCCTGCAACATCTTCCTTGTTAAAAGCCTCAAATAATCCGCCTGAGAGGTGGCCACAAGCGGGTGTCCCCAATTCAAATAGGAGTCATCACTAGCCCTTTCAAAATGAGTTTCAATTGTCGAGGCCACTCGATACAGTGTTAAAAGAGCCGTGTCAGCAGTAGCCACCCGGGTTATGCGGCCACAGACGTCTCGAGCGATTTCCACGAAAAGGTGATATACTTCCACCACAAATGTTGGATCGTCAGTGTTGAGCTTCGTAAGGTACCACAGAGCAATATAGTTTTGGACAATGGCCGCCATAAATAGGTGTATCAGCCTGTTTAGTGTGGGATCATCCGCCACTTTTGGAAGCGAGATTTCCTCAATGTCTTCACCATCAGGCGATGAATACACAAGCTGAAGAAACTGCCATAGCTTAGCATCACGTATCAGCTTATCATCGCCACGTCCCTGTTCCCTTAAACTCAGTAATGTCAGTCGCTCAAGCCGTTGGACGCGTCGTCTGAGGGTGGGGGGCATGTGCACAAAACATACACAGTGCACTCGACCTCAAGCCCGCCTAAACAAATCAGCCCAGACAAAAGTTTGATTTACAAATTAGTTACAGAAAGGAAACATTGATTAAAAATGATTGGAGCAATAATATGTTATCGGTTCGAGAGTCTAGTTTGCAAGTACGAAGTGAAACAAAAGCCAATGTTTTGTAATTATCATCATTTAGTGGTACTTGATAGGTTTCTGTCTATGTCTACTACTGCCGCGGAGGTTTACGCGGGGTCCGGCGAGTGTAGCGAAATTGCGGAAATGCCCGCAGTGGTCTCGCTCGGCGATGTCGCTCATCTTCAAACGCCTCAACAGCTGTGCCAGCCGGTTCCGTCCTGTCGACGCCTCCTACGGGGTGCTCCGGCATATCCATTTCCCTGGCATAACCTCGTTTGAAGATGGCCAGAAGTTCCAGCAGATGGTGGTGGGTGCCAACCTCGATTTCAAGCAGATGGAGACCAAGATCAAACGGCAGCTTAAAGACGTCCCCGCGGGCTTCCGTCTTAACGACTACGAAGACGAGCTCATCAAGCGGGTGTTGTCGATGAAACCGTTGCCGACATTGTTGACGTTTGAGTTTAATAACGTGTATACTGGTGGGAAGAAGATGAAGCAGGACCCTCAGCTCCAACAGAAGATCGACCAGTACCGCAGCTTAGGGTGCGAATATCACCAGCTTGAGCGTGGCGGTCAGGTGACCTGGCACGGCAATGGCCAACTCACAGCGTACGTGGTGTTGGACATTAAGGGATTCACCGATCTCACTGTTCGCTGCTTTGTTGACCTGGTACTTATTCAGTCGGCGCAAAACGTGTTGAAAAAACACTACAACATTGATGCCTATAATGATCCAGAAAATCCTGGTCTTTACGTACAAAAGGACCCCTATAACGGCAAGATCGTGTCTGTTGGCACCCACATTCAGAGGGCGGTCACCTCTTATGGTATTGGCCTTAATGTCAATAATGACCTTAAATACTTGAACCAATTCGAAATGTGTGGTCTTCCCGGGGTGTCTGCTACCTCAATTGCCAAGGAGATTCCCCTGGCAAAGGTTACAGTGAAGGATGTCGCCGATCAGTACGCCCAACAACTTGCTCTTCGTCTTAACATCGGTCAAGTCGACCATATTGATGGTAGGGAAATCATTGAGCAAAGCAAGGAATCAGACTCGAACCAATAATGTTTATAGATTTGTACAGAATAGATTCACAATTGAGATTACGAGATTATTCCCACCTCCAACTTTTCATGAAATTCAGTAAATTCATCAAAAGTGTGTTCATTAGGGTCGAACCGTGGATATTATGACACCAGAACATTACTTAAGTCTCATGTGTTATGATGGGGCAGCTTATTTGTTTGAAAAAGCAGTGGGTCAAAAAATTGCGGGCTAATTTATGTCTGGCTCGTTTGATAAAGCGCATTTCCCCAAACTTGCAGAATCCGGTATAGTGTAGTGGTTATCACTCAGCACTCTCCATGCCGCGACCGGGGTTCGATTCCCCGTACCGGAGTCTTTCTTTTTCCATTCTTTTTGCTTCACCTTGATCCAATCAGTTTTACCTTTCCTTTAGTCGATATGCTTTAGTTGATATTGTATTATTATCGTGTATGTACTATGCTGCCGTTAAATCGTTATTAATGCTTACACCATCGAGAAGGTGAAATAGTCTCCCCCGGACTCGCCGGAAACGAGCGGGGTCTTGATGGGGGATTGGTGCGTCGCCATTGCTAAGAGGCTGGGGGTGGATGCCTTGATATACTGGGGCACCTTGAGGTCACAGCGGTTGACTTTGTCAAGGTACCACAAAAGCATCTCGTAGCAAACAATGTACTGGGCGAGATTTTGTACCATAAAGATGCGCTGGGTGCGTTCCAGCAGCACAATCTGGAAGACAAGATCTTGCTCCAGCAGCTTAAATAAGCAGGGGTCACGTTCGCAACAGTCAATCAACGTGTCCAACGTGATAAAGACACCGGTGCGTCCACACCCGGCCATGCAATGGACCATCACCGTCGGACGTTGCGATCCGTCGTATAACTTGGCCATGGTTTCGTTCTTCAAACGGATAAACTCCAACACCAGGTCAAAGTTTTCCGGGACCCCGAAGTCGGGCCACTGGAGGTACTGAAAGTGGTAGATTTCGCCGTTGATCAAGCGGACAATGAGCAGATCGTTCTGGCTGATCACTTTGACCAGACCAACAAAGTCACGGTCATTCAAATAGGTCACGGGGTTGCGGTCCAAGTTGATGACGATCTTAATCTTTTGCGAATGGATGAGGCGCCAGAAGTCACACACCGTTTGCGACATCGGGTTCTGGGTGGCGATGTAGCGGCACTGAGTCTTGGGGACAACTTTCTTCACGTCAATGTAGTTGGCGTTGATATAGTCGTCCACTTCCAGACAGCTATTGCACCCGAGTCTCACGCGTGAGTGTTCGTAGGGCCAGATGTTCTTGTAGCGGTTTTTGTACCCGTACTCGATCCCCTTGGGCATCTCGTATTTGGTCGGGTCACAGTCAGGACAAAGCCCCAGGGGCGTGCACACCGGCAGCAGCCGGCTGGGCTGGTGGTACAGCGTTTTTGTGCGTTCGACAAGCAGCTGCAACCGCATCACTTCGAGCTGTTCTATGCGCAGAAACCGGTGGTTGAGGTCATTGATGACGTCATTGTCATCACGGTTGGCGACAATGGTGCTGAGCCACGGAGGCAAATTAGGTAATGTGGAGGCGATGGTAGCCGCCGACGTCCCCAGCGGGTAGCGAAACCGGTGGTGGTAGTTAGCTAAGTCGTTAGAGCCGCTACCTTTGGTTTCCACCTGCTGTTTCTTCAACAGACTGACGAATTTAACCTTACTGGTGGTTGCCAGCGGGAGGACAAACCCGGCAAGCCCCAGGTCGGCGGAGTCGGTAGTGGCGGCCACGCTTGAGTCGGAGGCCGGGTCGGAGGTTGGCGAGAATATCAGCGGCACTAGCGGCGGCAACTCGTCCCGCTCGGGGCTGGCATCACCGACGTGGACTCCTAACAGCCGCGTCGCCAGCTGGAAACCTCCATTGAGGAGGTAGATGTCGAAATAGTGGCCAAACGCCATGAACTTGGAAATGGTGTGGAACGTATTGAACGAGATGCTATCGCCCGTAGACCGGCTATCGTAGAACAAGAGCTTGACGTTGTCGCCTGGTTTCGGGTCAGCGGTGGCCATGCGTTTCTCCAAGAGCGTCTTTAACGGTGGAGGGAAGCTGACGAGGTTAAACAACAGCAGCAACGTCATCAGCCTCCGTTTGAGCAACGTGGTGGGGATGCACACATTGACAGCTTTGCGAAAATGGAATTGCTGGTAGTTGTTGTAAGAGCGGGTGTCGATGATGACGTCGGCATTAGGCACTTCGTCGACGGAGTCGATCACGGTGATGGGCTCGGCGAAGTCAGAGGCGCGGTAGCAGGGCTGTTTCCCTGTCTTCGGGGATGTTCCCTTCGGGGACACCAGCCCGAGATTTAACGAGAGCGGTCCCATGGAAAGTACGGTAAGAGGGGGATATGGCGGGCTGACCGGGGTAAAGGAAAGCATTTATTTGATGGCTGGGTGCAATGGGCCCATGACGTCATACGAGTATTCGGTTCCACGCATGTCCCCTACGCACGATGATCACTTGCTGATGTCTATGCTTTTTCAGCAACCTGAGCCGTGACGGAAAATTCCCCCTGGTGCAGCTTAGTGGCGGCGGCCCCGTCAATGGCACTAGGGTCAGGAACAACTAAATTATACGGCCAATTACCTTAGCTTGTCCCCGTTGTTACCAGTCACGTTGTTTCGCGGTGCCAAGAGGGTACGTGTTCTAGAACATGTCTACCTGCACCGCGTGCAGATATGGCGCCCTGGCTCAGCATCCGAAGCTCGCCTGACACCCCCGGCCGCCACCGGTGTAAAAGCCTCGGCCACAGAGCCAAAACCGGCAGCGCTTCCCCACATAATCCACGGAACCCCAGGGGTGCGCTGTCTCAAACAGTCCCCGACGCCAGGGGCCACCCCCCAGCCCGAACCAGCGAGTACAGCAATTTACCCCTCCAATAAGAGATTAGGCCCCCTATCCCCTGCTTTGGCATCAAAGGCGTGCAGTGGTAACTGCCAGGCTTTAGGGGCGGAGGGGGTGAGGGACCGCCTTGGGGCACGCCTGAATACCGCGATTTTCCAATAATCGGCTCAGTTTGCCGCCTGCCGTCGCGAATAAGGTCGCTGCGAGTTAAAAATGGAAGCAGGCGGTTTATCCGTGCCTCCCCACCCATGACCTCCCTCAGCCCATTCGTACTTTAACCATGAAGTAATCACGTTTCCGACAGAACTACGCAAACCACGCAATCTACGCAAACCCTCGCGTTTAACCTTAATCTGGTGGAGATGACAGCCGTGAGCGTAAATTAAGTGCCCCGCCCCTCTCTTTTTTTTTTTATGTTAATATTTTTTTTTTTCAACCTTATAGTCCGGTTGTGCACACACGGTTTACACGGGCGGGCGGGGGGTGTGAGGCATAGCTTGTGTTTTTGTTTTTGCCGCGGCATGGTAGCGCCGCGATTTACAGCTCCACCCTGGATTAAGCACGAGTCATGTTTGGGTGGTGGGACCGCATCCTGACGTTCCCCTTCGACCTATTGTTAGAGCTCAATGAAACAAGACTCCTGATCGAGTGGGACGACTATGCCCTCTCGCTTGCCCTCCCCTTAAGCGTGGTTGCCACCGTCATCGCCATCATGATCCAGCTGGTGCTCGCCTACTACAACGACACCGCGGTGTCTAACCAGCTTTTCGCTCCCAATTACCAGCAGATTAAACAGCTGATAGTTGCCAGTGGTTTCAAAGGAAGCAAGGTGGCGTTGGCCCCCCTGACGCTGCAAGTGGTGGTGGCTCACGGCTCTCGGCTAGCGTACGCTATCATCTGGGCATTATGTGTCGCCTCCACATACCTGGTGTTGACTCAAAAGAAAGAGTATGGTTTATTGTATACCCAAAGCCAGCCTAATCTGAAACTGGCAATCAAACGGCTGCTCCAGTTTGTCACTCACCCAGTTCGTTATTTGTTTGGGAAACTCTTTCCAGACTTTGCTCCACCAGCAAGAGAAGAAAACGATATTGATCTTAATCGCCAAATTTGGACAATGAAAGTGTGGAACCCGTCTAAATTTGGGCTCTACTTGCTGGTAGCATTTAACCCAATTAATTTAGCTATTATCACCTGGGTAAAGTGTCTGACAATTGCGTTATTAGGTACCGTGGGACTTGTGCTGATAATGGTATTTTACTTGATATCGAAATTCCTCAATTTGCTCCATGATCGCAGTATCTTACACGGAGAGATGATGCTGGAATATTACACCAAATTCGTGAAGCCGCGGACCCAGGTGCTCAAACGGGACGTGGCGATCGACGCGGGGCTTGGGCCGTGGCGGGCCATGGTCTACGAGGGCGATCAGCCTTATACTTATACCAAGCTGAGAGTATTTGTCACCCACGACGATACTGGTAAAGAGGTCGTAGAATACGTTAAACCTGAAAACGATACCGAAACCGTTAGAGTTGACCAAGACCCCCAGGCAGTGCTTGAACGATTACGCCATGAAAATGAGGAATTGCGATGGAGAAACCGCGAGCTCTCGCGATTGCTGCTGCGACAAGGATCGCGCCAAGGGCTGGTGGTACGCCACGGAGGCCACCTGCTTTTCAGTGGCGACGACGACGACGACTACGACGACAGCGAGGGGCAGATGTTCACGCTGGCGTTGAAGCGACAGAAGTACCCCTTCCAGAACCTGTTCCGTTTGCCTAGTCCTCAGAGAGGTGGCAAGCTTAGTGCGATTCTGACGCCTAAGCTCCAGCTTAACTCGCTCCCCAGCACGCGTAGTCCCCTGCCGTCTCGACCCCGACGGCTGCCCAACCACTTTGAGCGGCTGCTGCCATTTAGCCGCCCCGCCTAATATGTACTCTCTTTTTTTGAATAAATGCGATATTCCCGATTCCGATATCTAGATGTAAAATTACGTAGGTCTCCTTTTCGTCGTATGATTACCCGATTCACTACCAAAATTAAGTGAAAGTGCCGAAAAAAAAAAAAAACAAAGTTTTCCCGAATGCGTGAGGGTGAGTGTGAAAACCCCTCAGTGACGTCAAGTATACGTCAAGGGTACGGGTAAACGAGGGATGCACGCTATGTTTCTTATCGAGGCACAATGGACACTTACGCAATGGCACTCACATCGTAAGGTCCTTAACGGCGGCCTCGATCTCATCCTTGGGGAAGTTAAACTTTATTTTGCGGTAGAGTTCGCCGCCGCGATTTTCCATCACTACCACGCCCGACTCCGCTAGTTCCGACACAATGTAATTGAATTGGCGTACTCTGACGTCCAGGGAAAACTCGGTACCAAAATAGAAACTATTGGCGCCGAATAAAAGTTCCTGCCAGTTCAGACTCAGCGCAATCTCCTTAAATTCGTGCAGAGGGTGCGCCAGAATCAGCACCGAGTTTCTCATCTCCTCCACCACTTGGCCCATGGTGGTCTCGCCTTTGCCCAGCCGCTTCATACACGCAAGCATCAGTGCCATCACAAGCTTGGAGGCGTAGGGGAGCGAAGTAAGGTATGGTTGAGGACTCAGCGCCAGGTCGTAGTCGGCGAGAGCGCGAGTAATGTGGGCAATGGTCAACGGGTGTTCGTTCAACGAGGTGTCTTGCTTCTTCTGCTGGAGCTCTTCATAGCAGAGTTCTACTGCTCTTCGAGCTACACCTAACGCTCGCCGAGCATCGCCAACGATACTGGCAGCTTTACGGGCAGCAAACTCTAACCCTTGAGGCTGGACGATTACTCGAGCGCCGTCAGTACTCATTTCCTTGGCAAGCAATTCGAGACGGTGTTTAAAGATATCCTGAAGCTGAGTGTGAGTGTACCCGGGGAACTGGATTCTTCGCAACCCCAATCTCAGCGACACTTTATTGGCAAGCATCCGTTCAGGTAAGTCCATGGTGTTGGCGGAGGCAATGACGATGAGCTTGGAACCGGTGTAGGTGGGCCAATTGAGCAAGTTATACAACACTTCCTGGCGGTTCAGCACCATCAGGTCGAGCTCATCCAAAAACACCACCATGGGACGCTTAGCTCTCCCCTGTTTGAAGTGCTCATCTAATAATGTACTGGCGTTGGAGGGGTGGATCTTGTAGCCACTGATCGACTCCCAAAGCAATTCGTAGACGTAGGGCGCCAGAATGATACGCAACCCACAGATCTCAGTGAAGTCAAATGGAGGCACTTGGCCTGCCTCCACTTCTTGTTTAAGAGCCTCAACCACGTGGCGGATGGTGGCAGTTTTACCCGTACCTGGAGTACCACTGACGTAGATGCAGCACCCTTCCTCGGCCCAGATGGCGTCCTGGACGTTCATCATAATTGTCATAAATTCATCTTCACGCCCCACCACCATCTCAAATACCGAGCCGGCTTCAAGCTTGGCTTTTAAGTCTTTGAATGCCTGAGAAGTTTTGTCCAACGTCTTATTGATAGTGAGTCCCAGTAGCTTCTTTTTCGACGGCGATAACTGGGACAAGTCCACTTTATTCTTGACTGATTTCTGAGGCAGATTGCGGATACGTGATTTCTTAGTCAGGGAGTTGAGGACATCCTTCATAAACTTCAAGTTCTCATCGTCTTTTTCCAGGGGTTTCACTCTGGGACGCCCTGGTTTCCGTTTCGGCGTCGACGGCTGATTAAACGGGTTGGTAATGCCATCGTCGCCCCCGTCCAGTAGTTCTGCATCGATATCTTCCTCCGCTTCATCATCCATTTCAGGCATTTCGTCGTCGGACGGCTCGAGTTTCACCTGGACATCAGCCACATAGTCATCGCCCAGATCCTCGTTTACTTCTTCGTCCAGCAGCTCGACGTACCTGGATCGTTTCTGTCTCTTTCTCGGGGTCAGCGGTTCGGCACTGGGACGCCTACTATCGGGAGGAAGCACCGCTTCCTTGAGCCAGTCGGAAAAGCGAATCTTATTGGCAATCAACATCGCCTTGGCCAGTTCCCAGTCCAATTCCACCTGGTGTTCTTCGTCAGGGTCGTAGGCATGCGTAGGCACGCTATCAACCACCTGGACGATGCTCAGCACGTGTTCTAGCTTGCCCTGGACCGGGGTTAACATGAATTTGCCCTCTGGTTGGGGTATGGTGGAAAAGGTGTTTACCTCCAAGTAATCCGACCCACCTAAGCGAATTTCCGATACTAGCACCACTTCGTCGCTGGAGAGCTTAACGAAATCGCCGACATTGACTTCAGTGGGGAGATGGTGGCGCTTCAACGTGATTGTTTGCACTATCGGCGCCGAGCGGCGGGAGCGTCGGCGGGGCTGGTCGTCAGTCTGTGAGGTGTCGTCATGAAATATGAGCTCCCATCCCTCTAGATCTCTCTGTGTACGAGCCATGGGGGTGGACTGGAGGTGTGTGGAGGGGGAGTCGGTGGTAGAGGTAAGGGTTCGATCCGGTGTAATGTCAACACCCTGCGCGGGCTCATAGTATAGCTGATGGCGATGATAGACGTAAGAAATATACAATAGTAATAGGATCGATTTTGATAATTTTAAGGTCAATCGACTAGTTTGGTTCGAATATTACTATAATCAATTGAAATTGAAGTAAAACTGACACCATGGCCAAATTAATTGTTAGCGTTATTGACTGTGGAAAGGAAAGCTTACGAGGCCTTGCCAGTTGTTTGACGGCTTCTAAGATTGTTTGTCATTAGTAATACATGGGGAAGTGAATAAAGTTACTTGTAGATGAGGATAGGCTCGCCCGGGTGGACGATCTCGTCGATGTTCAACTTCAAGTCAAACGCCTTCGACAAGATGATCTTGAATATCTTCTGGATGTTGATCAGGTGGGACACCAGGCAGAAGATCACCGGCAGCTTCATCGCTTGAGCAAACTTGCGGGCCTGGTGGGTGATCTCGTACTGGTCGTGGTCGCTGAGGTCGATGAACTGGTCGTATTTCGTCCCCACCAAGAACGGGATCGCCGTCTTGTTGAACCCCCGCACCTGGCGGTACCACTCCTTGATCGAATTAAGTGTCAGTTTTCGGGTGAGGTCAAACATAAACAAGATGGCCACGGCCTCGTTCAGCACCAAAGGCAACATGTTGATGAACTCCTTCTGCCCGCCAAGATCCCAAATGGAAAACGTTATGAGGGTGTTGCGGATCTCGATCTTCTTGTCCATGAAATTGACCCCTAGTGTCTGGATGTATTCCTCGTCAAACAGGCCCTCGACGTACTTGACCATCAACAGCGTCTTGCCGATCTGCAGATCGCCAATAAGCCCAATCTTGAGCAGCACCCTAGACGTTAGTATTTGACAATCTCAAATTGTTGGTAGGGTAACTTACTGGTTGTGATGATCGGGCTCGTCCATGACGGCCACCAGCACTGTATCGTTTGGTACACCCGGATCGCGCGAGGAAAAGCACGACTATAAGCGATTGCCGGCAGAGGATCCGGGCAGATCAGCGGCATCAGGCAACGGCGAATTAGGCTAGTGATGACTGTTAGTGGCTATGTATGATTTTAGTAACTGCCGGTGGCTGTTGCAATTGCCTTGTGTGGCTGGTACTACTGACAAATAGCACTGTCGTGGCATTGTTTACGTTTTGTGACCAGGGACGCGTTGGATACGAATTCGTGGCAAGTGTCGTACGAAATCGACCATATAAGCTGACACCAGCGTCAACGTAATTTTTCTGTGTTTTTGTTGATTTTCCTGTGTATTCGATCAAACTCTGTATCTACGAGTCCTCGCTGTGATTTAGACGCGTGTGATGACGCCACGCAGGTGGGGCAATTCCGGGCCACGAAGAAAGCTAAGTCCGTGATGGGGGGACTTAGTCATTGAGACATCCCACTCTTTGTAAATTAGCTAGTGCAACAGGTTTATTACATCAATATCGCTTAGGCGGCAGGGTCAGCCAGCACGCATAGTGAGCTGTAATTGGAAGAGTCAGACATGTCCACTGTAGAGACCAAAAATTAATCTATGCTACGATTATGATACAACTGATACAGTTTAGTTTTGTTTGAGTAAGTTCATTGGGAGCTCTAGCGTTATTAATGTTTACTAGTGTACAGGGGGGCCCCGATGGTTATAGTCTCGCGTGAGGGAGACGATGAGACCAACCACGACTAAATCAGCACCAGGGGAAGCCACTGACGACACGATGGCATCAATAAAGGCTACATACGTAAACTAACACCATTTTGAAATAGTATACCTTTGTTGATGGCGGTTATGGTTACAAATGATGTGTTTCCCTTTTGGTAAGTCACACGTGACCTAGGGTTACCAACCTATTCTTTCTCACCGCGGCGCCCGCACAGTGGGTGAAAAATCTTTTACTCGCTCAAAAAATCTCACTACTCACCATGGCTGTTGGCAAGAACAAGAGATTATCCAAGGGCAAGAAGGGGTTGAAGAAGAAGGTCGTCGACCCTTTCACCAGAAAGGACTGGTTCGACATCAAGGCTCCCTCGACCTTCAAGAACCGTAACGTCGGTAAGACCCTCATCAACAAGTCGACCGGTTTGAAGAACGCCGCCGACGGGTTGAAGGGCCGTGTTTTCGAAGTGTGCCTCGCCGACCTCGAGGACTTCGAAGACCACGCCTTCAGAAAGATCAAGTTGAGATGTGACGAAGTCCAAGGCAAGAACTTGTTGACCAACTTCCACGGGCTCGACTTCACCCAGGACAAGATCAGATCGTTGGTGCGCAAGTGGCAATCGTTGGTTGAAGCCAACGTCACCGTCAAGACCGCCGACGACTACGTCCTCAGAGTGTTCGCCATCGCTTTCACCAAGAGACAAGCCAACCAGATCAAGAAGACCACTTACGCTCAATCGTCGAAGTTGAGAGAAGTGAGAAAGAAGATGATCGAAATCATGCAAAGAGAAGTGTCGACCGTCACCTTGGCCCAATTGACCTCGAAGTTGATCCCCGAAGTGATCGGCCGTGAAATCGAAAAGTCGACCCAAACCATCCTCCCCTTGCAAAACGTCTTCATCAGAAAGGTTAAGTTGTTGAAGCAACCCAAGTTCGACCTCGGTGGCTTGTTGGCCTTGCACGGTGAAGGCTCGACCGAAGAAAAGGGTAAGAAGGTCTCGGCCGCCAAGGATGTCATCTTGGAATCGGTGTAATCTAGCAATGTATAGGATAATAATAAGTATGGATAGAGATGATCATGTCATAGCTTATTAGCATCGAGCAGGAAAAAATTTGGGACGCAGCGATGAGCCCCTTGTACAAATACAATACAATACAAATATAAATACAGAAAGAACTTAACACAGCAAGTTTCAAATGATCCAAGTAATATTCCCTGATTAATTTGAACCAACTATTATTCCAAGTCTTTTCGTTGTAGCTCATATAAGCTGTTGTCAGGTGGTGTGTCTGTGGCTTCCCCTAACTACCGCTGACATTGCTAGCGTGCTCACTCCAGCCTCGCACTCCGCCTACTCCAAAAACTACACCTGAAATTGAGTATATTTACCCTCACAATTTCGTATTGATCGTCTTCATTGATCACCAAATTTAAACCCAACACATCTAATCATAAATTTAATCTCTCACACTCATTCATTTCTTGTGTTGGTTTTGTTACCTCCACAAACGGCTGGCTTGCTCTGCTGCCATCTCTCTACCTACCCTAGGTACCCACCTGCACACAAAGATTGCGACGCGCCCATTCGCACCGTAAACAGGGCTCCCGTAACCCCCTACCCTTGCCATCGTTACTCCCGCCCCTTATACCCGATCAATTGCACCAATGGGTAAGGTAAGTAGTCAATCAACTAATGCTATATGACCTGTTTCAATACTAACGGCAGCACGGGGACAAGGACGACCACAGCACCGAGCACGCGCCGAAGCTGGCGGCGCTGAATGTGGAGGAAGTGGAAAAGCAAAACAAGCAGGCCCACGGCAATGTCGCCAACCAGCCCCAGCCCGTGGCCCAGGCGGGGCCCATCATCAACCAGCAGGCGGCTGAGGGCGAACGCAAGCAGAAGGCGGAGTCGGCGGCGGCGCCAGAGACGGTCAACGGCAACCAGAGCCAGCACCCGCACCACCACGGCCACCACGTGGAGAAGTCGATGAACTTCGACGGCAACCCCGAACACGTCCACTTAAGAGGCCACACAATGTTCCCCTGGAAGCAGGTGGGGCTGTGGACGTCGCTGAAGCATGAGGATAAGAGGGCCCGGATCACCGAGATTAAACAGGTCCAGTCGTGGGTTGAGGACCACATCTACGGCGATTGGTGGTGGAACTGCTCGCTTATGGTGGGCACGTGTTTCTTCTCCTGGCTCTTAGCCTCGTGGGGGTTTGGCATCTCGCTGTTGTTGGTGGTGGGTTTATTCACTACCTCAGTGTACAAAGCCGAGTTCCGTCGGTTTAACCGTGATATCCGCGACGATATGGACCGCAACCGTCGCTTCCAGAAGTTGCAGTCCCAAGTGGAGACGATGGAGTGGCTCAACCAGTTCTTAAACAAGTTCTGGGTGATCTACATGCCGGCGTTTTCGGAGATGGTGATGTTCCAAACCAACCAGATTTTGGACGGTCAAGCTCCTGGGTTCGGTATCGACAAGCTTACCCTTGACGAGTTCACTTTGGGGTCTAAAGCCCCCAGAATCAACTCGGTAAAGACCTACCCTCTGGCCGCCCACGACCACGTGGAAATGATGTGGGACTTTGCCTTTGCTCCCTCCGATACCCTGGACATGACGAGAAAGGAAATCGATAAGCGTATCCCGCCCAAGGTGTGTTTGGGTGTTACTATTGGTAAACTGTTGGTGCTGAAGACGGTACCAATTCTCGTTGAAGAAATGCTGATGACGGGTCGGCTTAAGGTCACCCTCAAATTGATGGACAATTTTCCCCACGTGAAGATGGTGAGTATCCAGTTTTTGGAAGCGCCTAAGATCGACTACGAATTCAAGCCGATTGGTGGTGACACCTTAGGGCTCGATATCATGTCGTTTATCCCTGGGCTTTCGCTGTTCGTTAATGGTATCATCCACTCGACTTTGCGTCCCATGCTTTACGCTCCCAACTCGATGGATATCAACATCGCCGACTTTATCGACGAAAACCTGAACGATGCCATCGGGGTGATGGCCGTCACTATTCGTAAATGTGATGGCCTCAAGCGGGGACCCGACACCAAGCCGAACCTGATTAACCCTTACGTGCAACTTGGCGTCACCAATAACGCTCTGATTGACGATAGCACTAAGGCTAAAGACCTGACCAACGACCCTATCTTTATGGAAACCAAGTATATCCTCATCAACCAATTGGAAAACAACCACTTGAACTTTAACGTTTACGACGTGGAGAAGGCTAAGGCCGACGACTACCTCATTGGGACTGCCAGTTTCAATCTCGCCGAGTTGTTGCAAAAGGACAAGTTTGAAGGGGTGGTGAGATCGCTTACAGAAGCGGGTAAGACTACTGGTAAAATTGAGTTTGACATCAACTGGTTCCCCGTGCTTCCCCCCATTCTTCGCGAAGACGGTACCAAGGAACGCGAGACTGATATCGAAGTGGGTATTCTCAAACTCCTGCTTCATGAGGCGACTAATCTTGATTTGACGCCGCTGCAGTCGGGGCTCGTGCTGCCGTACGCTGAAATTTACGTTAACGGTGAACTTGCTCGTGCCTGCCGTAAGTTGGCGCAAACCTCGGAACCGTCGTGGGAAGAGCTGTTTGAATCGCTTATTACCAAACAACTGACGTGCTCGATTCTCGTCACTATTTATGACCAAGTTTCCGGCGGGGTGTTGGCCAAATTAGAAGCCAACTTACAGGATATTGTGTTTGAAACCGGGCGTGGTCAACAGTGGTTGGAGTGTGCTCCTCTTTATAAGCTGGGGGTGAAGCCGCGGATCAAGATCTCCGCCACCTGGAAATCGCTCAGATTGGACTCGAAGGCCTGGGACACGTTCTACTCCGCCCCCATCGGTGGATTGCGGATCCACGTCCGCGAAGCCAAGGGGCTCAAGAATCTCGAGCTGGTGGGGTACGTCGACCCGTACTGCAAGGTCATCGTCAAGGGCCAGGAAAGAGCTCGCACCGTTACCATCCTGGACACGTTGGAGCCCAACTGGAACAAGGTGGTGTACCTCCCGGTGCTGAACCCCCACATGCACATGTTATTGGAGATCATGGACGCCGAAACGGAAAACCCCGACCGCTCTTTGGGCAATTGTGCTGTCAACGTGTTTGACTTCCTCAAGAAGGACGCTGAAGGCCGGTGGATGGGCTACGACGGCGCTGAGGACGAAATCTTGGAACAACCGGTACTTTTGAACGGTCAACCGCACGGCACGCTCTTCTACTCGGTGCTGTTCGTGCCGTGCATCCCGATGTACCTGAACGACGAAGCGGCCAACATTGAACACATTAAGACTCTTGAAGCCAAGGAAGAAGAGAAGAAGTTGGCCCAACGGGAAGCTGATATTGAGAAGAAGAGAAAGGCGCCCGACGACTGGGTGTGGGTGGAAGCCGAAGATGACTCTGACAGATCTGCGCCTAAGATCACCATGGGCTTGGACCAGGTGATCAAGTACCGTGGTGGCGTCATGTGTGTCCACGTGCTTTCGGGTCGTTTTGAGAAGCCCGACCAGTACTTACAAGTTTTGTTTGACGAACACCCGGTGCCGCTGGGAGTGCTGCCGCAAACTGAGGGTAAGGTGTTGCTGCTGGAGTTTATCGCCGAGGCTTTCATTCGCGATTTGCCTAATCTGAATGTGGTGTTCCGCTTAGCGAAGAAGGCCAATGTGACTAAGGAGAAGGAAGTGACCTTGGAGAAGTTGTTCCCCACCATCGACGTCTTGCAAAAGCTGTACGGCCGCCCCTATGTGGTGCTGTTATCCCCTAAGAACCATGTCCGTCTCATGACCGACTTCATCCCCACCGTATCCAAATTGCCGCCTCTCGACACCATCTTGGATGTCGGTATCGTCAAGTTGCAAATCCTCAGCGCCACTGGTTTGCGTGCCGCCGACTCTAACGGTAAGCTGGACCCCCTTTGTCGTATTGTCGTCAACGGTGCGCTTATCTACGAAACCGATAAGAAGCGGAAGACGTTGGAGCCCGAGTGGAACGACGAGTGTGAGGTGCCATTGCTTTCGCGGCTGCGGGACGTGGTGCTTGTCGAAGTGTACGACTGGGATTATACCCACGAAGATGAGCTTTTGGGGCGGGCCACCGTCGATTTCAGTGGGCTTGAGCCCCTCACCGACACCCCGTTCCTGGTCAAGCTCGATACTCAGGGTGAAGTGTTTTTGCGGGCTCTTTTCAAGCCCGAATACATCCGTCCGTCGTTGCTGACCAAGGGTGGCTTGCCCGACTTGAACGACATGAAACTGGCGCTTAAAGCTGGTGCCGGTGCTGCCGCCGGGGCTGCGGCCAACGTCGGGGCCACTGCTGGTGGTTCCGCCTACGGTGCTGCTCTGGGCGCCTCTGACCTGGCGGCGGGCATGGCTCGTGACGGTAAGCTGATCTTCAAGAAGTTCATCCACAACCGCAAGAGCGAGGAGAGAGCTGCCGACATCGCCAAAGCGGAGGAAGAAGAAGAAGACAAGGATCAGGAGAAGAAGGCCGAAAACGAGGTCGGCCTCACCGACGCCGAAAAGAAGGTGTTGGAACAACAAAAGGGCAAGAAGGGGAAGAAGGTGGCGCTGAACATCGACTTTGGCGAGCGGCCCGAGAACTCGTTGCCCAACATCCGTCCCGAAAACTTACCGCCGCCGCAACGGCCCGGGGTGCCTGGCTTGGCTGCTGTTACTAGTGATCCTGCTTCTACGGTTCGTGGCCACCAGCGCACGCCTCTGGGAGCAACGCTGATGTCGCTGTACGCGACGCTGATGCACGGCGACGATGCCATCCCCGGGAGAGTGACGGTGGTGAGTGTCGCCGGATTTGATAACGTGGGCCAAGTTGACGTTAAAGTCGAGCTCCGCACGCTGACACGGGAGAAGGAGCTTATCAGGCTGAGAGGTTATCGTCGCGGTAAGGACCACATGTTCCAGATCAACGAGCTGCTGCCGTTCCGCCTGACCACCGACGGGGTGTTGGCGTTCTCGGTGAGAGAACACCACTCGTTTGGCCGGTCGCAATTATTGGCTGAAGGTGAAGTTAAATTGGAGACGGTGATCAACACCAACGAACACGCCATCATTAAGGTTGATGGTGGTGAGATTAAGACGCTGATCAAATACTTCAGCACCTTCGTGTAGAATTGTATAGTATACTAAATGGCACCGCTTTTGCCATGACAATAAATGTTTGTATAAACTAACACTAATGAAATCATGACTTTCGAGAGAGACATTGAATTCACTGAGAGTGTATTTGGGATATGACATTCATACCAATATCGTTGGCTTTTCATTTGTCGCTGAAATCGAATTGTCTCTCCAGTTTTCTTTGTATAGTTGTCTTATAGTTGGTAATGCCATGCGATCAAGGTGTCTGAGTACTCAGCGCTCATCAGTAACCTGTTTTCGGTACTTAAATCTTTTGATAGTAATTATACAGAGATACCAAGAGAGACTCCGTTACAGCATTGTAGATGTAAAGGTGGTAACGTGCTTCAAGGCATAAATGCCACCGAAAACCACCCAATTGTCGTTCCTAAATCATAATTACGTCTTAGAGGGTAGCGTTAAAGCATCATGGTGGGAGGTAGTCGGCATGGTAGCGCCACCAAGGTTGGGGGTGCGAGGGGGCTACCTGCATATGGCCGCGGGTCCACCAGGAATCGCGTTGGCCTAGGGTTGCAACCCTAGTCATCTGTCTGCACTCCCAGGCCCGCGCACCGCACCTGAGGTGAAAAAATCCTGGCAAAAAGTTCACCACGGCAAATCGACACCATGAGCCTGATCGCGCCCAAGTTCTACAGTACCCAAGACGCCCGCGTCCCCCGTGTTTCGAGAAAGGTTGCTCGTCCCCACAAGCTCCGGGCCTCGATCACCCCGGGTACCGTGCTCATCCTCCTCGCCGGTCGTTTCCGCGGCAAGAGAGTGGTGTACCTTAAGCACCTCGAAGACAACACCTTGTTGGTCACCGGTCCCTTCAAGGTCAACGGTGTCCCCTTGAGAAGAGTCAACGCCAGATACGTCATTGCCACCTCGACCAAGGTCGACGTCTCCGGTGTCGACGTCGCCAAGTTCGACGTCGCCTACTTCGCCCGCGAAAAGACCCCCAAGGACCAAAAGTCCGAAGCCGCCTTCTTCGACGAAAACGCCCCCAAGAAGGAAATCAAGGCCGAAAGAGTCGACGACCAAAAGAAGGTCGACGCCGCTTTGTTGGCCACCATCAAGAAGACCCCCTTGCTCAAGCAATACTTGAGCGCGTCCTTCTCGTTGAAGTCGGGTGACAAGCCCCACTTGTTGAAGTTTTAGGTTAATGTAAGTAATACAGGATAGAAACGAACTTAATGCCAACGTGTAGACGCAAATGTGCTCCTTAGTCTTAGTGTTGTTTGGCCCGGTTTCGGTAGTGTTCGCTCGCCTTCTGTAATGGCATCGCACCTGCATATAGCCTAGGTGACCCCCCCTCGTTATTGCGCCCTAGGCATCGCTCATCGCCATCCACCTTATTCCCCGATGGCCGAATTGATCCCCATTTCCACCTACAACTTGGCGCTCAAGCCGTTCGACCCTACTCCCGCCATTGATGCCGACTTCCCCGTGACCATCCAGATCACCGGCGCCGCCATCGACCCCGAAGCCGTCGATGACAAGAACCAGCCCTCGACTCTTAGAATCCTCAAGAAGTCCGACGCCGACGACATCGACAGCGACGAAGGCGACTCCGACGAAGAAGACGAAGAAGATGAAGAGGAAGAAGAAGAAAAGCCCCAAAAGAAGCTGAAGGGTAAGAAGGCCGCTAAGGACGAAGAAGAAGAAGACGAAGACGAAGAAGACGAAGAAGATGACGAAGATGAAGACGACGAAGACGACGAAGCCATCACCGAACACGTCCTCTGCACTTTGCTGCCCAACACCCAGTACCAGTTCCCCCTCACCCTCACCATTCTGCCCGATGAAGAGGTGTACTTTGTCGCCACCGGGTCGTACCCGATCCACTTGCACGGGAACTACATCCAGCACCCGGCCGACTTGGACGAGGACGACTACCTGGACGACTCCGAGGACGAGTTGGACGGGTTGTACGACGATGAGGACGACGACGAATACGACTCCGAGGAAATGGAAGCTAACCGCATTGAGGAATTGGTCGATGACGAAGCCGAAGAAGAACAAAAGCCTGCCCTGAAGAAGCGGTCTGCTGACGGCGACGCCAAGGACTCGAAGAAGGCCAAGAAGGCGGTGCAATTCACTAAGGAATTGGAACAAGGCCCCACCGGCCTGACTTACACCGAGGGTAAGGACGCTAAGAAGGACACCAAGAAGGAAACCAAGAAGGACAAAAAGGAAGCCAAGAAGGAATCCAAGAAGGACGAAGCCAAGAAGGAAGAAACCGAATCCAACGGCAAGAAGTTCCCCACCAAGACCCTTTTGGGCGGCGTCATTACTGAAGACCGTAAGGTCGGTACCGGCAAGGCCGCCAAGCTGGGACAAAAAGTCAGCATCCGTTACATCGGTAAGTTGAAAAACGGCAAGGTCTTCGACAAGAACACCCTGGGCAAGCCCTTCTCGTTCACTTTGGGTAAGGGCGAGTGCATCAAGGGGTTCGACCTCGGTGTTGCCGGCATGGCCATCGGTGGTGAGCGTCGGGTGATCATCCCCGCCAAGATGGGCTACGGCTCGCAAGCGTTGCCCGGGATCCCCGCCAACTCCGAGTTGACCTTTGACATCAAGTTGGTGTCGCTCAAGTAAAGCACGTGTTCGCCAAAGGATAGTATAATTAGTAAAAGGACATTAGCAAAAGAATTTGTATTTCTGTAGGTTGTAAGCATTGTCAGTGTGATGTTAGCCAGATAATAAACTAGTACATTCTAGAGCATTATCAAGTCTCTGAGTAAAGTAAAAATTAAGACGATGTATATCCATAAAATCTCAGAAAACAAATTATTATTGAATCATCAAGAAATTGAATGTTTCACATCGTTAAATTGGTTTTATCCTTGTTATCGTTTTAATGAACGCTTTGATCTCAAATTTCGAGCCCGGGGCACATCAGACTTCCCTTTCAACTATATCCCCACTAAGTCCCTTAACTTGATGGAATTGGCTCAACGCGTCCACACCAATCTCGTCCACTATAACCAGTGGAACGACGTCGCCATCGAACTGACACTGATGGGGCCCGTGCTCCGGGGGACCCCCCCAGATAAGCTCGATGGCCGCGATGACTTGATATTGCAAGAGTGGGTGGTACCGAAACAAGTGACGGATCAAACGGTTTCGGTGACCCAGATCAATCAGTGGTTTGAGGCGATTGCCACTGTGGCCAAGCTGCGTCCTGCTAGAGTGACCATGGCCATTGAAGGCGCCGACGGCACCATCGTCTACTACTTTGTCCACGATGGCGTCACCAAACCAAGACAAAACTGACCGGATTTTAACTGACTCCAATTATTCAGCATTGTTTGACCGACTCCAGTTTCGCTGACAATTTATTGTGAGTAACCTGGGCATCAATGGCGAGTCATAGTATCCTCACCTGAGTGCGGTTTACGAGCCATCTCAGCATACGATTGAAGTCTTAGAGTCTCTGAACTACTCAGCTTACAAATGCCAAATAACTGACCACAAAGACATTACACTATATAAATTGTGTCTGTTATCTACGGGTGAGGCTGGTGTTCCTTTCATGACTAAGAGCGTGACCGTCTAAGCCACGAGTGCAATTAACAATTCTGGGGCAAAATTACAGTAAAACAAAGACTAAGTAGACTCCCATAAACTTCATATACAAGGTACAATCCTTTTATTCATTTATTTATGCTGGTTTTTTATGATATCGGGGTCGTAGTCTTGTCTAGCTCCGATTGTACTACCTGCAGTACCGGTCCCCATAACGTGCGTAGGCGTCTATTTGCCACTACCACCGCCACTCCCACCCGTTCCCCCGCCAATCACCCCCGAAATGTCGTGGTTTGGACTGTCGCTGAACGTCGAGCTCGACAACCTCATCTCGGAGGCGACGCTGGAACTGATCCCCAACGGGTCCGTCGAGATCAGCGTCGCCTACGACATCACCGATAAGATCCGCTCGAAGCAGATCCCGCCCCAGCAGGCGATGAGAGCATTGAAAAAGCGGTTGACGATGGTCTACATGAACCCCAACTTGGTGAGACTGACGTTGCAATTGATCGACATCTGTGTCAAGAACCTGGGGTACCATTTTCTCGTGGAAATCGCCCTGAAGGAGTTTATGGACTATTTGGCCCACAATCTTTTGCTGACCCATTATAACGTGCGCGACCGTGATGTCAGACGTAACCCTGCCCGTTTGGAAGTTGGAGAATCCATTTTAAGGCTCATTAAGGAATGGCAAGTGGCGTTTGAAGGGCAAATGCAGCTTGGCTACGTCGACAAAGTGTACCGCGAACTTGTGGCCCAGGGGTTTGCATTTCCCACCATCGAACTGTCAACAATCAACACCAAGTTTGTCGATTCCGAGGTCGCTCCCGACTGGGTCGATCTGGACCAGTGTATGCTCTGCTACAATAAGTTCTCGCTTGTCAACCGCAAACACCACTGCCGCGCCTGTGGCGGCGTATTCTGCCAACAACACTCGTCGAATAACATCCCCTTGGTGCTGCTTGGTATCAATGACCCCGTCCGAGTGTGTGACAACTGCTACGCTAAACAGCGTAATCGTGGTGGTCGTACCAGCGTTAGCGATGCTTCGTCATCACGTGCTGCTGCTCCTGACTACGATACTCCTCTGGGTCCTCCTCCCGCTGATGATGAAGATGAACAAATAAGACAAGCGATTGCGTTGTCGCTTCAGGATCAGGGTCCCGCTGCCTCGCAACCGTCGAGACCTTCGCAACCTCTGCAGCCAGCGCCTGCTTCCAGTGCTCCTACTACAACCCTGAATGCTGGCGATGAGGATGAAGAGCTTAAAGCGGCGTTGGCCGCTAGTTTGGCTGAATTCGAACAGGAGAAACTGCGGCGACAGGGGCCGCTGGCGACCCCGAACTACGGCAGTGCACCGCTGGAACCTCCCGTAGAGGAACCGTCGCAGCTGGATTTCTATAACATTGCCATTCCTCTGTTCCCCGCCGCTCCCGCTGCTCCACTTTCTCAAGCTCCTCTGGCTCCTCAAGCATTCCCCCAACAGCCTCAACCTCCATCACAACCGCCTCAGGACCCTTACGCTCCTTACAACCGTGCTTCTCAGCTCCCAGGACCTCAAGGTTCGGCCCTCGCTCCTCAGCCGCCGCGACCTAAGCTTGATCTCACTCAACAAGATGAAGAGAACATCAATTTGTTCATCACGATGATGACCAATATCAAGAGTGACGAGCGGAAAAAGGCCAATATCATGTACGACCTGAATTTGAATGAACTTCATGGCCGGGTGACAACGTTAAAGCCAAAGGTAAACCGGCTGTTGAGAGATAGCATTGAGAAGTACGATCTGTTTGTTGAGCTTAACAATAAGATCTCGTCGGCGATGAAGATGTACGACGAGTTCTTGGAAGCTAAGCTCAATATGGCTTACGGCAGCCACAACCTTGGTGGGGCTCCTAGCTACGGTGGTGGCTATGGTCAACCTCCAGTCGCTGGCCACCCAAGCTACCCTCAACCTCTGGGGTACGGACAACCTCCGCAACCATCACAGCCTCAAGAAGAAGATCGCAGTTACATCCCCGCTCAGCTTACTGGTGGCTACACTCAATCGAGACCTCCCCAACAGCCGTCTCAACCGCCTCAACCCCAACCATCTCAACCGCCTCAGGAACCGCTTCAACCTCAACACACATTTAACCAGAGATCTCAAGCACCGCCTCCTTCGCAAGCGCCGCCCCAAGAACAACTTCAACCTCAACACACGTTCAATCGCGGCCAAGCACCTCCCTCGCAAGCACCACCTCCTTCTCAAGCACCTCCTCCCTCACAGGCCCCACCTCAGCTGCAACCATCGGTATCGCCTTATCCTACGGGACCTGGTAGCAGTGCTCAACCCCGTCACCGGTCGCTGTTGTCGGAGCCGCTGTACTACCCGCAAACCGAACACCTCCCTACTGATGACGACATCGCGGTGCTGCTGTCAATTCCTCAGCCGCAGCAGGGGATGACGAAGCAAACGACGGCGGAGTTCATGCTGGACACCGATGCCTCCAAGCGGTTCCCCGCCTTGGACCAGGATGACATCGATGCCATCAACCTGCTGATCCCGCAGAAGCACACCGGCACATTCCTGAAGATGCTGGCATTCCCCGAGGTGCCTGAGGACGTCGGCGACGGGTCGCAGGAGTTCTCCAACGTCAACAAGTTCCCCGAGCTTGTCCCCGTGAACACCGGTGGTTCCCGCCACACCCAGGGCCTGCGCTACGAGCCCGAGGCGTTGATTGACTTGTAAGCCCCTCCGTGACCATTTGGGGCACCTGTCTCTGGTTCGTGCCAGCAGGGTGCCTCAATTGCTGACGCGACTGTACGTTGCTCTAGCAAGTAATGCGCCCCCGCGTTTGCCCAATTCATGTTGGTAACAGCAACGGTCCCAATTGAGCATTGCGGGGGCAAAATACACACATAACCTGAAGCCAATTGTAGATCATACCACTGTCCGAACTAGATAAATTTAGATCACAGGCCAAAAGCAATCGGAGCTGAGGCGCAAGGGTGGGGGAATGTTTGACAATGACGTCATCGCGCTCAGCCACGTAGGTGTCAATTTACCAAATGCCGCCAAAGCAACCGTGCCTCGCTAGGCAGCGGTATTTGCAGAGTGGGGGTGGCACATACACCTGTGAAAGCAATCATAAGGGCAAACAATGACGCAATTGGCCAGTACGCTATGCCTCGAGACCTCGACCAACAACTATAAAAGGGAGCCTACTTCGCAAACTATTCCTTCATTACAACAGAAACAGAGAAACATGTCCGACGCTGGTAGACAATCCATTGGTGAAAAAATCGTTGACGCGGTTACCCCCAACTCCGAAAAGAACACCGCCGAAAAGGTTGGTGACTCCGTCAAGGGCACGGCCGACGACGTTGCCGGTAAGGTCACTCCTGACTCGCAAAAGTCGTTCACCCAACAGGCTTCCGACAAGATCTTCGGTAAGTAAATCTCGTGGTATATACGTGAATATGACGATTGATTAATTTTGTTGTAATTATCGATTCTTAGCGGGTGTCAGCCGTTCGCATCGGTGGCGCAAGCGTATAGGGGATCGAACGAATCAGGAAATAAGCACTCGGTCGTGTAGACAACCAAATTATAATTTGAGGATACGCCTAGGGGTCAATTGCTTTCCCGTTTAAAATAAACCTTTGAAACACCAAACACTAAAAGGGAATAATTGAACGATTGAGTGATTTAACACTACTCATTGCGGTGGACAGCAATTTAGGTCGTATAATTCTGTGGCGGCCACTAGACGGTGACTAAGATCAAGTCCACATTTTGTGGTCTAGTCCTGGTCAATTGAAGGCTAATTTTGATCGATTAAACTCTAACAAACTACAGATGGTTTCTATCTTGTATATTTATCGTATTATTCGTATGCTTATTTGGCGACTCTCGACCAGTCCTTGTACTCTTCTTCACCGTACTGGATCTTCTTGATCCACTCGTTCACTTGCAACGTCAAGTCGCCGGCGGAGCCCGAGCCCACGGGGACGTTGATGTCTTCGCCCTTCCAGCCGATGGTCTTGATCGGCGACACCACGGCGGCGGTACCGGCGCCGAAGGCCTCGACCAACTTGCCGGCATCGGCCTTTTCCTTGATTTCGCCGATGGTGAACTTACGTTCAGACACGATCCATTGGTCCTTGGGCAATCTTTCGCGGCACAATTCCAAGATCGAGTCACGGGTGACCCCTTCCAAGATCATCCCGTCCAAAGGAGCAGTAACGAGCTCCTTCTTGCCGTCCTCGGTTTCAAACACGAAGAAGGCGTTCATGGTGCCGACCTCGGTGACGTAGCCTTCGTCGCCGAACAACCACAAGTTCTGCTGGTAGCCCTTGTTGGCGGCGTCCAACTGGGGCTTGATGCAGGGGGCGTAGTTGGCCCCCAACTTGCGGTTGCCGCACCCGCCGGGCCAGGCCCGCACGGCGTAGTCGGTGGCCTCCAACAGCACGGGCTTGAAACCCAGCGAGTAGTAAGGGCCGACGGGGGAAGCGATGACGTAGATCAACGCCCGGTCAGGCACACCGACGCCGAGGGAGGCGGTGGTGCCGATCATCGTCGGTCTAAGGTACAACGAGTAGCCGGCACCTTGAGGGACAAAGTCTTGGTCCAAAAGCACCAACTTGTCGATGCACTTAGCCAACTCTTCGCCGTCGAAGGTGGGCAAAGCAATACGTTCGGCCAGCTTGTTCATTCTGTCCATGTTCTTCTCGGGTCTGAACGTGCGGATCTGGTTGTTGGCGTCGCGGTAGGCCTTCATCCCTTCGAACAACTCGAAGGCGTAGTGGAACACCACCGCCGACGGGTCGAGCAGGATGTTGTGGTAGGGCAGGATCTTCGGGGCGCCCCACCCGTTTTCTTTCGTCCACTCGACCTCCAACATGTGGTCGGTGAACGTCTTGCCAAACACCAACTGGTCGTTGGGCAACTTGGGCTTCGGGGTGGTGGTCTTTTCGATCTGTAACTTGGAGGCGTCAAGCAGCATCGGTCTCAGGAGGCTGGGCCGGTTAGCATGGCGGGCGAGCGAGCGGAGAAACATCGGGTGTTTCGTGGGGGGAGGTACTTACGTTTGGCCAAAATTCGGGTGAAGATTTTTCGGCGGTTGGCGTGCGCTATATAGGCGTTCCGGTACCGGCGCCGTGACTCACGCCGTGGATAACCGAGAGTGCCTGCCCGGGTGGAGGCGGCAGTATTCTCAAAGTGTAAGCGGGATCGGGCAGCGGGATCGGGCAGCGATCGGACATGTTTCACGGGATCTGTGGTGGCATTAGCCGTGCACACTATAAGGTATAGCCTATAGTTGATTGCGATGAAAAATTAGTATTGGACAACAGTAGAGAGGTAAAGCTTAATTTAGCTGAAAAATTGAAACTACAGGCTGAAAATGAATTTCAGGGCAAGGTTAGTCGTCGATTCTGTAGTATTGAGTCATGTTGTTGATGGCTGCGAAGATCTAGGGAAAACCCTGGCGCTGTTTTTTTCCCGACAGTAACCGATCAGCGGGGTTTGCATCAGAGCACAAAGACGCTACCAGTCTGAAAAAATTATTCAACACTGATATTCTGTAGTGTGATTCAGCGTTGACAGCCGATAATTCGATTTTCACATATTATTGCTAATTTTACTGATCACAAATTTTGTGTTAATTTAGAGAATGGCAATTGCGGTCAAGACTATATTTGACGATTTTGAGCTCACAAACTCATCACAATTACAGTAGTCATCAAAACAACCGTGTTAAACATTTCAATTTTCATGGTCAACATCATGATTATTATGTGTATCCTAATTGTTTTCTTCTTTCTCTTAACTTAATATTACCGTTTAAATGCAATCTTCTATATGTACACACTACCCGAGTGGAGGTGACCAAAATTTTATTCGGTCTTTTGCTTTTTGGCCACCGGCTCGATGTCGTCTTCGGTGGTCGGGGCGGGCCGCAACAGCGGCGTCTGCTGTTCGGCGTGGAAGTCGCGGATGATCGAGTCGACGTCGTCGATGCTCAACTGTCTGATGTCGCCCATCTGCTTCACTTTAGCAGTAACTTCCTTGCACTGGTCGTCGGTCAAGTGCAAGTTCAATTGGTCGACTCTCAGCTTGATGGCGTTCCAACCCGTCAACCGGTTGGCGAAGTGGATGTATCTCAGAATACCGAAATCTTCCGGGTTCAAAATTTCGTAGGTCGAGGGGTTGGCGAGAATGGCCTTGGCGTGGATCCCGGCCTTGTGGGTAAAGGCACAGAAACCCGTGATCGGGTTGTTGAAGGGGATGTTCACTTGAACAGCATTCGCAACCAAGTTCTCGAGGTCTCTCAACTTGTGCACCTTGTACTTGGAAAGCACATAGTCACGGTCGGCAGCGATCATACGGGCCATCAAACCACCCAAGGGGGTGATCCCGTTACGTTCACCGATCCCGAGAACCGAGACGTCAATGAGCTTAGCACCGGCTTCAAGGGCAGTGTAGGCGTTGGCAATGGCACACCCGGTATCGTTGTGGAAGTGGCACTCAATGTCGCACGACACCACCAGCTTCAACGTCTTCACCAACTCGTACACTTGACGGGGGTTGGCGCAGCCGACGGTGTCGGCAATACCCACGCGGTTGACGCCGATCTTGTCCACAGTACGATAGATGTTAAGCAAGTCGACAATGTCGGACCGGAACGAGTCTTCCGAGGAGAATCTGATTTCGATACCCTTGGATTTGACGAATTCAATGACTTCGATCGCCAGCTGGGCAATGTAGTTCATGTCCTTGCCGTGGGAGTGTTCACGCAAGAATTTCGAGGTGCCGATGACGACATCAACACCATCGACCCCGGTTTCAACAGCGACGCGGGCGTCGTCCATATGGCACCGGATGTGGGTCAAAATCTTCGCCTTTAAGCCGAGCTTGCAAATAGCTTCACAGTCCTTTCTCAGCTGTTCCGAAGCAACGGGCGACGTGAGCTCAATGTAGTCGACGCCAAAGTCGTCGAGGGCCTTGGCAATCTTGATTTTGGTCTCGGTATCGAAGTGGGCGTTGGAAAACTGCTCCCCTTCTCTGAGGGTGGATTCGATCAACTCGAACTTGTTGACGTTGGAGAGGAAGTCGGAGGGATTGGGACCGTAGGGGTTGGACTGGACAGACATCGACATTGTCAACGGATGGGGGGGGATAAAGAAATTTCTGGGTTAGGGAATTTTTCACTTTAAATAGGGCTCATGATGCACGGTTGTGAGTCAGCGGGGCGAACGGCTCCCGCGGAGGCGATGACTCAGACACTACTAGAATCGATATATGAGACAGAATAGGGTATAATTGAGGTAAAATTGGTTGATTTGGGCTAGATATAGTCGATTTAACGGGGTGGGAACCCTGGTGGCGGGGGGGTTGGTGGAGGGCACTCCACTATGACTCATGCGAGCGCCGTTTATCGTCCTGCATCGAAGCCACTGATAGCCGGCACAGGCTTGCTTCCCGCTCGACCTACCAGCGGATTTCGGTGTCAGGGCTGCGAACCGCTTGTGAAAAAAAACACCGTGATGAGTCAGCCAGGCCTAGTGGATGCCGCTGATGCATTAAACTAATACCTAGGCCTACTGTATATGCTAATGACGCAGCATACCACTTTCTTAGACCATCAGCTATAGCCATTAATCCCTTGATTATCAGCCGAGGGCCGATGCGCCCCGACGCTGGTGAGAAAAAAAGAAACCTGGGGAATCGCGATGGAACACCGGGGCATGTGACGCGCTTGTGGCGGTAACACCAGAGAAGAGACATTTGTCAGCTAAACTTAAAGCCTACCAACGTTAAAACCATATCGTTGTGGAACAATTTAAATTTAGATGGCAAATTGACTATAGCTGATAAATTAAATAGCTTAATTTTGGGTGCTGGCGAAATATGCGAGTAATTGTGAGACTACTAAGGAATTTGAAGAATCAGTGAAAATTGAAACTTTTTTTTTCTCGCACCGGCCAGACAGACGCTTGGGCGTTGATGTTAAGCGTCTGATTTGATTCGGCGATGACGTCACAGATGAAATTCACTCCGAACAACACACCAAGTACTAGTATGAGAATTTGATATGGGACGGATTCGAAGATTTTTTAGGTGTTGTTTACTGTCCAAAAATCGGATTTAATCGCCTACTTACTACATTTTGTCAGTTGTAGTCGGGGGTCTATTACTATTAACGAGCCTTGCCGTCGGCGGCCTTGAAGAAGATGACGTCACCGTCCTCGACAAAGTAGTCCTTACCCTTCATCAACAACTTGCCCGCGGCTCTGACGGCGTTCTCGTCGCCCTTGTACTCGATGACGTCGTCGTACTTTTGCACCTGGGCCAAAATGAACGTCTTTTCCAAGTCGCCGTGAATAACACCAGCGGCCTGAGGGGCAGTGTACCACTTTCTGATCGTCCACTCTCTCACTTCGTCGGGCCCGCAGGTGAAGAACGAGATCAAGTCCAACTTTTGTCTCATCGACACAATGATCTTGGGCAACGCCGACTGGGCGCCGATCTCCTTGCAGTACTCTTCTCTCTCTTCGTCGGAGCCCATGTTGGCCAACTTCTCTTCGAGAGACACCGAGATGGGGATGATCATGTCGCCAGGGGAGCGGGTGTCGACCCATTCCTTGATCTTCATCAACCACTTGTTCTTCTTGCGGACGTAGTCACGTTCGGAAAGGTTGAGCAAGTAGATACAGGGCTTGGCGGTCAACAAGAACATCTGGTTGATGATTTCGACCTCCTTTTGAGTCCAGGTCTGGTTGTACACTCTCTGGCCATCTTCCAACAACTTGATGATCTTCAGCACCAACTCGGCCTCTTCCTTGGCCTTCTTCACCTCCATCGACTGGCCGCCCCGGCGGACAACCTTTTCGACGCCTTCCAAGTGCTTTTCCGCGAACTCAATGTCCTTCAATCTCAACTCGTCGGCGATGATGTCCAAGTCGGCGATCGGGTTGACTTCTTCGTTGATGTGGATGATCTCGGGGTCGTCGAAACAACGCACCACCTGGAACACGGCATCGACGGCGCGGATGTTGGCCAAGAAGTTGTTACCCAAACCCTCACCCTTGTGGGCGCCTTTAGTCAACCCGGCGATATCGTAAAGGGTCATGTGAGCAGGCACCTCGGACTTAGGGTGGTACAATTCCACCAACTTGTCGAAACGAGGCGAGGGGACAATCACCCGGGCTTCTTCGGGCTCAATGGTGGCGAAGGGGTAGTTGGCGGGGTTACCCAAGGGACACTTGGTGATCGCCTGGAAAAAAGTCGACTTGCCGACATTGGCAAGCCCGACGATACCGGACTTCAAGTTGTTCCCGGGTCTACCCAAAAGGATGGGCTTTTCGTTGGCAACCTTCTTCTTAGGGGGCATAGTTGATTAAGGTGAAAAATTTTGAGGGTGCGAAGCCAGGTGAAGGGAAGGAGGGGAGCCGGGGAATAGAGGGTGGTTCCAGGGCTACAATGCGAAAATTAGTCAAAAGACGATGAGAGTGATTACTAGTAGTGTTTGTCGAAGTAGTTTGAGTGTTTATGTTTGAATTACTTGGCGTAAATGTGGTTATCCAGGGCATACCTCATTACAGTTTGCTCAGCCAAAGTGAGGGTGCCGTGTAAGCCTTATTGCGATGAAAGCTATTAAATTTTCAAAAGATTTCACAGTTGTCGTAGACGGTTACATCTTATAACCAGCGATGGCGACCGATGCAAACTTGACGTAAACTAAATCATCAAGCATGGTGATGACGAGACTTCGCAGAGACGCACGGCATCGACAATTCACAGAGATTCTGGTATTAAAGTGATATAGAAATCAATGAGATATGTTTCGTAAATGCATCTATAGTGTTTCTGGAGATTGGGAGCGGGCGGCGGCTTTAGCCAACGCGTTCTGTTTCCACACCTCATAGTATTCCTGTTGAGCTTGCAGTTGGTACTCATTAGCCCCGGTGACCATCGCTCCAAGCTGGACCAAAAGCTCATTATGTTTTATCGCTTCCGGTGTACCACCAGTGCGAGCCTCGTACTCTGAGCGTTCCTGTTCGTATCGTTCTTTACCCCTAAACCCCATATAATCCCGCTCCAATTGGCGTACCCACGCCTCGTTCCTGACGTAGTCCTCAACAATACCGAAGAACAGCTCCATATACTCTCTTGTCATCCCCCCCTTTTGCCAGGTATGGATCTTGTCAATGATATTCTTCGTCTCGCCTAATTTCTCAAGACGACGATGATTGATTCGTTTATAGGCACCATAGACAAGCCCACAGGCTAAAGGCCACTCACCTCTCTTTTTAAACTTATCCCGATGGCGTGCAAATGAGTTTAAGAGCTTGGTGGTGACGATATCGGGGATATAGAAAGTGTTAGCGAATTTGACAAAGTCGACGATTTTTACCACTCTGCGATCATAAAGCACTTTCTTGGGGATATTGGTTTTGGATGAAGGTTTGGAGGGACTGGTTGAGCTTCTGCTAGGACTCCACGCTGGACTCTTTGAGGGGGACTCAATAAAGTCTTCATCAGAATCCAGCGGATCTCGGTCATACAGCAGCTTTGTCGGGGTAGTAGGGTCAGGATTGAACGGAGACTCGCTCACGGGAGGGAGATCAACGGCTCCGGGGAACCGTCTCTTCCGCGCTGGGGTATTAAGGCCATCTTCATCATCGTCTTCGGCGGCAGCCTCCCGTAAACGCTTTAACGGAGACAGTTTCCGCGGCAGATGTTTCAATGGCAGCGGCGGTTGCTTTGAAGGAGAGCTGGTTGGTGTTCCCAAAGGAGTTAATGAGCTTCGACGGGGTTTAGTAGGAGTAGTCACTGGTGACCCTATAGGAGTACTCAATTCGTCCACCACCCGTGATCTGAGCTCATTCAAAGCTTTCTCCATCACTTTAGGCCGGCAGGGGATCTTTTGCCGTTCGGGTTCAGGTAATCCAAGCCGCTGGTGGAGTCGTTCCGCCGCCAAGTAGACACACATGTGGAAGCGGGCGGCGTTGGCATCCAGCGATAGCGGGAGTCTCATACTCGCCAGGTGTATCAGTTCAGCAAACTGGGAAAGTTTGGTCGGTATAGCATCGACATAGCCCGGTAGAATGTCCTCGTACACCGCCTTCTTCTGGTGGTTCATGGCGCGAAGGCTCCAGTGCGGCGAGATCAATAATGGCTCCAAGGAGAGTAGATCAAACAATGCAAACATAATAATCAATCATAAACGTGATTTAATTTTTCATTTCAATGTTGCATTGCAAAACTAAACATAATTCTAAAATTTTGTTTGTTAACACGAAACTCGAGCTGAGTCTCAAAGGTCTGTGATGGTTAGAGTCAATAGTAGCTATAACTACGTAAAGAATCATTGATAAATAACATTAACTATACAAACCTTCTCTAAGAAATCCGAGAAATGAACATTAGATGACTATATAAACCTTTCCTAGCAAGTACAAGAATACCCAGAAAATCGATAGATATGATAATAATAATAATACAGGCAGCGACCATCGTAATAACGCGGCGTTTGCCTAGACGGGGAACGAGTTCTTGATGGCGTTCTGGAGCGCCAACACCTCGTGCTCCTCGAGCTCCTTACGACTGATGGTGTTGTGGCGAGTGCGGTGGACCACCAGCTGGCCAGCGTGCGGGGCGTCTTCCTTGATGATCGGGGGTGGTGTCGGCATTCTCCGCGCCATCTCCACCTCGGGAATCAGATGTTTCCGTGACAAATTGAACGAGGGGATGGAGATGCTGCCGTCACCAACTTTACCGTTTTTCGGTACGCCGTTGGGTGTGGCATCGGCCACGATGATTTCGCTATCGTCTTCATCATCACCTTCTCCATCATCGTCGTCATCATCATCGTCATTGTCGTCATCGTCATCGTCGTCATCATCGTTGTCGTCGTCGTCGTCGTCGTCGCCATCTCTGATTTCGTCGTTATCGCCGTCATCATCGCCGTTATCGTCGTCGTCATCAGGCAAGGCGGGAGGACCAAGCTTACGAGACACGTGGTCGACTACGTCCATCCAGGGACACATCCCGCCCATGGCAATGTTGCCGTCCATGTCGACACACTTCTCCACGGGCTTGAGCACCGTCATCAGCGGGAAACACTCACGTAATAGGTTTACCTGGTGACGGGTGATGGGGTGAGCGTACATCAGCAGCGTAAGCGCAAGCGCCAGCACGATGGGCTTTGCCTGGCGCACCTGGGTGTTTTGCGTCGGCCACATGTGGAGGATGTCACAGAGCAAGTTATCGGCGAGGCCGTTGGAGATCTTGGCCAACGTGTTAGCCGAGAGCGGGGCAAGTAATAAAACATGGGTCCACCGCACGATCTCCCACGATAACAGGTATTGACCTAAATCGCTGATGATATCGAGCAGCAGCTTGGTGAGCGGGTGGCGCTTTTTGCGCTGGTTATAGTAGTTGGCGGCGTCGTTGGCGAACCACACTTTGACGCCCAACTGGTCGAACTTGGGGAGTCTTTCCGCCAAAAACCACTCCGCCAGCAGGGTGAGCACCACCATGATGTCGAGCTTGTCGCGCCCGTACATGTCAAACAACTTTTCGATGATCAAGAACACGTTCTTGTGGATCAGAATGCAGCCGGTGATCCCCATACACAAGTGGAGCTTGCCGTCGTTGAGGCGCGCCTCGTAGCCGCCATAGGTGATAGGCGGCTCGCCCAGGGTGCTGCGCTCAAGCAGCGGCGCCGGGGAATCCAGGTATTTCAAAGTGTTTTGGAGCTGGGCCACGTCACGGACAGTGGGCACCTGGGTGCTCAGCAAGCACGGCTTGAGGGTGGCGTCCTTCAGCACCTTAAGCTGAGGAGGGCGGCGCGGCTCGAGAGCAACCTTGGGCGCCGTGGGCGCTATCGGTTGGGGTGCGAGGGGTGCCTCACTGGGTGAGGCAGCGGGTGCAGAGGCTTCCACCATTCGCTGGCAAACGGGGGGCGGGAAATTCAAGTGGGAAAGGACTTGTTGTTGATCGAGTATAAAAATTACTAGCGCCGGGCTCGCTAAGGGTTTTTTTGTTTCTAGTCGCACTGACGGCTGCGGTCACGTGTGGCGTTATCGCCAGGACGAGCATGGCACGGCAGGTGTGGGGACATATTGGGGTGCAGTGTTGTCCGATGAGTCACGTATGGAAGGCTATAGAAGGGAGAAAGAATTTAACTTTATTCTATATTTTTTAGTGGTTCTGTTTTGCCTTTAATTCTAATATTTCTCGGGGGTGATGTGCTCGTGAGGGTGCTCGAGGGGTCATCTGAGGTGATCCTCGCAGTAGGCGCAAGTGTGGCTGCCATAAATCAAGGTTTACACTGGGATACGGAAAGTGGCAAACACGTGGTACTCGAGGGGGGTCAGAGCTTAACCGTCTACAAATGTTAGAGACGGAGGGGTTATGTGAGTGAACGATCATTGGCTCGACTTGTACTGTGCCAGCAACGTTGGCACGGGTTTTCTTCTTTGTGTCGGCTTCTTTGTGTCGCTGACTTCTCCGTCGTCATTGTGCAGGTGCCAGCCTCGCGAATGCTTTTCCTCCCTCCCGTTACCGCATTTTTGTTGTGGTGTGCGAACATCGCTACTGGGGGGCAAGCGATCATAGGGAGAGTCGCACGCCAGATGCCGGCAGAGGCTAGACTGGGAAAACGGATGGGTTACGTCCCGTGCCGGCACCCTCGGAGTCCCGCGTCGGATTAGTCAGCGCTATCTCTCTCCCCCCCAACATATCAATAACTCAATTTTGACGGTGCTATCCATAATTCCATTAAATTACTCTAGACCTGTAATTACCTTGCTTATCGACTCGTGGTCTCTTCACTACTGTTGTATTGGTAGTGAAAATTCAGGTCTCCCCTAAATCGCGACTGCGACAAATAAACCCGACCCAGTAAGCCCCACTCCCCTCCCCTTAAGCCATCAAATAACACTACCACTATTAACCATAAATCTCCTCAAAACCACCCACACATTTTCAAGCCCGAATTGTGCTTTTGCCCCTGAGTTTTGTCGCCCTCTTTTATCCACCCCCTCCGTACCCCACACTTGCATCTTCACATGGTTCGGGCCTGTGAAGTCGCACAGGTTTATATACGTGCCGAGGCCGCCCCCTGAAGCCTAGACCAAAACCACCAATAATGCTGCAAAAGAACCCGGCATCCAAGTCTGTGCCTGCTGCCGCCAAGGCCCAAGCCAATGCGGTGGCGGCGCTGGTGCAAGCCAACGTCGATGCCCCAGTGAAAGGTGGTGCCCCCCAGGCGAAGAGCGCACCGGTGGCGGCTAAGGCTAACAACAACAACCTGAAGCCCAGCGCCCCCGCCGCCGTCACCAAGACTCCGGGAGCCGATGCCGACGCCAAACCGGTGCCCAGAGAAGCGCCCAAGCCTCAAGTTAAGGCGCCCACGTCCGCGGGCCCTTTGCAATTCACCCCTCTCTCGGAGATTGCCCCCAACGTGCAAAGACTCGCCGACGCCTTCCACAAGACCCAGAAGACCCACTCGGTGCAATTCCGGTTAAACCAGTTGCGTAACGTCTATTTCGCCATCAAGGATAACATCCCCGCGTTGGAGGACGCGTTGGAAAAGGACTTTTGCCGGCTGCGGGCGGAGACTAAGAACTTGGAGATCTTGACCGGGTTGAACGAATTGGTGTTTATCATGGCCAATTTGCACAAGTGGGCCACCCCGGAAAAGGTGACTGACTTGCCGCTCAACCTTAAGCTGAACCCCGTGTACGTCGAGCGGATTCCCCTCGGTGTGGTGCTTGTGATTTCGCCGTTTAACTACCCGTTCTTGTTATCGCTTTCTCTGATTGTCGGTGCCTTGTCTGGTGGTAACTGTGTGGTGTGGAAGCCGTCGGAATTGACCCCTCACTTCTCCAAGTTGTTCGGTGAGATCTTGTCGCAAGCGTTGGACAAGGATATCTTCTATGTCGTGAACGGGGGTATCCCGGAAACCACTGAAGTGCTCAACCAGCGCTTCGACAAGATCATGTACACCGGTAACAACATGGTCGGAGGCATTATTGCCCGTAAGGCGGCGGAGACGTTGACCCCCGTGCTTTTGGAATTGGGCGGTAAACTGCCGGCTTTTGTGGTCAAGGACGTCAAGGACAAGGACATCGAGACCATTGCTCGCCGTATCGCCTGGGGCCGGTTCACCAACGCCGGCCAAACCTGTGTTGCCGCTGACTACGTCGTTGTCCACCGCCTGATTAAAGACAAGCTCGTCCAGGCGCTCGTCAAGGCGACCCGCGACGACTTCTACGCCGACCTCGACTCGAAGAACAAGGACTACACCCACATCATCCACGACCGCGCGTTTAACAACTTGACGCGGATCATCAAGGAGACCAAGGGCGATGTGGTCCTAGGTGGGGTGCTGGACCTGGCGCTGCGGTACATCGCCCCCACTATCATCGACAACGTGCTGTGGGACGACCCGTCGATGAGCCAGGAGCTCTTCGGCCCCGTGTTGCCCGTCATCGCCTACGACGACTTGAAGGAGACGGTCGAGCACATCGCCGGCGGCGAGTTCGACACCCCGTTGGCTCAGTATATCTTTACTTCGGGGCCGGCTAACCGCAACAAGAACCCCGACGTCAACACCATCCTTACCACGTTGAGACTGGGTGGGGTGATCATCAACGACGTGTTGCTTCACGTGGCCCTTGTCAACGCCCCCTTCGGCGGCATTGGCAACTCCGGGATTGGTGCCTACCACGGGATCCACTCGTTCAAGGCGTTTACCCACGAGAGAACCACCATCGAACAAAAGTTGTGGAACGAGTTCATGTTGAAGGTGCGCTACCCGCCGTTCAACGACAAGAATAACGCCGTCATCGACGCTGCCCAGACCAGTTACAACGGCAACGTGTGGTTTGGCCGTACCGGTAACGTGCCTGAGAACGGGCCCTCGACGTTCTTTAACGTGTGGACAGGCGTCGCCGGTGTCGCCGCCTTGGTCTACGCCTTCGCCGGCGCGTTGTAAACTGACGTAAATTAGATCTTAGCTAATGAATATGACAACAGAGAAAGTGATAATGGTAACAATTGAATCTAATTAGGCTAATGATGTTTCTGTAGCGATTTGGTCTAGATCGCCGGATCTCGGAATTGGTTGGTGGCAGTCACCAAGAGTGCCGGGCTTGTAACTATGAGGGAGCCTCACCTTTATTCGTGGCCCCCCGCTAAAACCGTTTCGCGCCTTGCCCCTCCATCCCCACATACAGCAGTGTTTTTTTCATGTGCACATTATAGTATCCGCTGGATGTCCCAATCCGGCATGAGGCCGAAACTAGGGCGAGAGAGTGTTCTTGACAAAATACTGAATTGAGGCTAACGGCATTGATAGAATTGGCTATACCGCCATCAATTTGTATTATTACAAACTCGTCTGAGGTCTTCATGTGCTCGTGTCGCCCCTGGTGGCGAAAAGTCACGTCATCCCCGCTTTCATGTGCTCGCCCTCGGAGCCGCCGATCCCATGTGCACCCGACGATATATTTTCCCTTTAATTGTGGAGAAGCCCTTCTAATCCAAAGTCATGTCCGACCTGCTGCTTGTCGATATCGGCTACGTCTACACCGAGGTGCTGGCGATCAAGCCCGGGGTGGCCCGTGTCCGCGCCGGGTTCAACACCCACAAGACCAAGCTGCTCCAGTTCCGCTTGAACCAGTTGCGCAACTTGTACTTTGCCGTCCACGACCACCAAGAAGCGTTTGCCCATGCGTTGTACCAGGACTTCCACCGGCTGGAGACGGAGACCCGCATCGCCGAAATCCACACCGTGCTCAAGAACATCCTCTATGCCATGGCCAATTTGCACCAGTGGATCCAGCCGGAAGCGGTATCCGATTTGCCGATCAACTTGCGTACTAATAAGGTATATACCGAGCGTATCCCCTATGGGGTGGTGTTGGTGATGGGCGCTTATAACTACCCTGTCCACGTCACGTTGTCGCCGTTGGCGGGGGCGATTGCTGCTGGTAATGCCGTGGTGTTGAAACCGAGTGAACAGACTCCGAGATTCTCGCAATTGCTCACCGAGGTGTTGACGAGAGCATTGGACCCCGACGTGTTCTGGATGGTCAACGGGGGTGTCCCCGAGACCCAGGCGTTGTTGGATGAGAAGTTCGATAAAATCATCTTTACTGGATCGCCTACTGTCGGTACCATTGTCGCCAAAAAGGCCGCGGAAACTTTGACTCCTACCTGTCTCGAATTAGGTGGTAAGTCTCCCGCAATTGTGTTGCTGGACGTCAAGGATAAAGACATCGACACCATTGCCAAACGTATCGTGTGGGGCAGATTCACTAACGGTGGCCAAACCTGTATTGCCGACGACTACGTGCTTGTCCACCAATCTCGCCACAAACGGTTGGTGGAGGCAATGAAGCGGGCAGTGGAAGAACTGTACCCTAACCTCACCCCCGACTCGCCTGACTACACCCACATGGTGCTGTCGCGTGCCTACGACGGCATCATCGACTTAATCACCACCTCTAAAGGCACGGTGGTCACCGGCGGGGTCACTGACGCCGACCGCAACACCCGTTTTGTGCCCCCTACGATCTTGGACGACGTGCTGTGGACGGACTCGCTGATGAAGCGCGAGATCTTCGGCCCCGTGTTGCCCGTGGTGGTGTACGACCTGTTGCCTGACGCCTGTGCCCGCATTGTCAACTACCACGACACCCCGTTAGCGCTCTACATCTTCACCTCAGGCCCTACTGCTAGAGGTAAGAACCCTCAGGTCGACCTTATTCGTCGTCTGGTGCGCTCGGGTGGTACCATTGTCAACGATACGTTGATCCACGGGGTGTTATCCAATGCTCCCTTCGGTGGTATCGGTTCTTCAGGTACTGACGCTTACGGCGGTAAGTGGTCGTACGATAACTTCACCCACGAGCGGGTTACCATTGAGCAGAAGTTGTGGAACGAGTTCATGGTCGGTGTGCGCTACCCTCCCTTCAACGAGAAGAAGGGCAAGGCGTTGCAGTACGCTTTGCAAGAATACGGGGGCCATGTGTGGTTCAACCGCTCGGGCGACGTCCCCATCGACGGGCCGCTGAGCTTCTTCAAGTTGTGGGCGGGGGTCACCGGCACCGCCTGCTTGATCTTGGCGTTCGCCCAGGCGTTGTAAGCGTATACACATCTAGATTACGACAATCAAATACTAAACTTTGTACATGATTTTCAATGAAAAGGTGATCGCCATGGTAGCGAGGGAATGGTTTCAACCGATAGATCGAGGCGTTCGGTATCCCTTGACGGTAGCAGCATTACATAGTAAAGCAAAGCTGTTACGTGGGGATTTGAATCAACTATTCACATTTGGTTGATCCACTCAAGTAATCGCCGAGAATGGCCATTAATCGCTTATCGGTTGGTGGCTATTATCTGGTGCATTATCAACTACACACAACAAAAATACTGTAGCTTCATTGGCCCAATAACATATCATTTGTTAATAATGTTTGGACTCTCTTCGGTGAGGGTTCGCGATTTGCCACTAACTGCCAGTTACCCCACAAATCGCCACACACTGCGAATACTACTATGTCTCCAAATAAAGCCACCAGTGGAGTAACGGCTAATGGTTTACATGACAACGATGTTTTGAGTGCCCCGGCCGACGAGTATAGCGATTACGTGCTTGGCACGTCCACGACTGCCAATGACGACGACAGTGGCTTCGTCGGTGATATACCACCGGAAGCGAAAGCTCCAGCCGATGAATACAGCGACTATGTGGCCGAACGCGGTACCGTGGAACTACACAGTGGGGGCTTTGCTTATAGCGACCCCCACAGCTCATCAATGGCTACGAATGAGTCCACCATTGACTCTGGAAGTGGGTTACCAAGTCAAGACGATGATGTGCCATTGAGTGCTCCTGCTGATGAATATAGCGATTACGTTCTTGGTCCGGGAGATGATAATGCTGACGATGACAATGAAGACTCTACCATAGATGACGGTTCTCCAGGATTACGAGCTCCTGCTGATGAATATAGCGACTACGTGGACCTGCGTCGTCATGCTTGACGGTTGAACTCAAACTATTCATGATGATGATGATGTTGATGAACTTATGATGAAGAATGATGCCGGGTCGGATGACAACGATGAATTTTACGAGGATAAACTTACCTTGACAGCTATGGGGTCCATACTTATTATTGCGATAAACTTACACCGAAGGTCAAGCTCGAAACAAAATAGTTACATTGTAACAAAAATAAAGATGAATTGTCATCCATAAGTTCAGTAGATGATTAGCGTACTTTAAATCGTTTCTCGGAAATCGACAAACGTGTGAACCATTTATCACGCCCGCTGGACTCAAAGAAGAACGCAAGATTTGCCAGAATCAGGCGACACTATTTAGATCACTACATATTCAGACCCCTTACTTACACGTTATCATCTCACTGTGGTGCTTCTCACATGACTGTTTGGCTCGACCACATTCACAGATCTCGAAGGTCGAGCTCATAAGTATAGCCTAATAATGGGGCTCTACTGATAAATATTGCGAGGCTATACTTTCATTATGTCGTATAATGACAAGGACAGAAATGTCCTATGAACTATATGTGAATGGCTTATCTTTCATAAACCACTCAAATGCAATTGTGAGGTCATCACTTGTATTCAGACAATCCATTAGCCGCAAGCCAAAACCGCTTGAGCACATCGTGAGCCTGCCGTTGTCCTCTGGTAACCATCAATTGACTGACGAACTGTTGCCGCACTTCCTGGCCACACTTCGTCAACGGCAATGACTCCACCACCACCAGAAGCCACTGCTTAAAGTGCATGGGAAGCTTAGCCACGAGGGTGCGGAACACTGGGTAGTAATGCTCCAAGCTCAGCCGAAGGCCAGTGACAAACAGCACCGTGAGGGCTTCGGTGAGGCGGAAGCCAAGCAGCTGGCGGCCTCCATCGCCCACCACTAAGTTTTGGAGCAATTGATGGTCTTCGTGGGAGCCACGTTTGAGCTGGAGGAACTTCAGCCAGAACTGGTTGACGGCTTTGATGGTAAAAATGTCCTTGCTGGAGAAGGCTTCGAGGGCAAATAAGAGTCCCTGGTTCTGGAATGCCAGTAGTTTAATCAAATGTGAGGGCGTTTTATCGATAAGCGTGGTGAACACAAGAAGCACCGGCTTTACGAGGTCCAGGTCGTGGGTGAGTTGAGCCTGGCGATCGACAAACGCAATGCGAACGATTTCGGCCACCTCATTGGCGCCAAGCTTAGGAGCCAGAGTGATGGTAATTGTCTCGAGGAGCAGGTAAAGTGGAATACAATGAGCGGGGTCGGTCGCAGGAATCTTGGTGCTGATAAAGTCAAGGATGGTGGCCAAGGGGAAACAGAAGGGACCATCGACAGCTTCGCCAAGGCCGTTCTTAAAGATGTGACAGCACTTTTCCACCACAATGGGGTTACGGGCAAGTAAGTCCACTTGAAGCCCAAACTGGGAAATGCAATTGAGGATAAGTGGTTTGATCTCCAAGGGGTCCTGGCTCCAGTACTCGTTGGTTTGACGTTGTTGGTCAGGAGTAAGCCAATCGTCGTGGTCTTCAGGGAGTCTCAGCGCCTTAGCCACTTCGTTGATGCACAGCACAAGCGATACGGCGTAGTCCTCAATCGCGGCGAGGACATCAGGGTCGTTGATCAAGCTGGCGGCCACAGCGACTATTTTCGATACCACGGCTTTAATCACTGAAGCAAATTGTGCAGGATCCTTAACCCCTTGAGCGATGGATACAACCGCGTTACACATGCGCTCACGGATGACGTTATCGACGCGGCCATCTCCAATCATTTGCTCCACCACCGGCTCCAAGTTGGGGAGGAACGGCACCATGCGTGCGGGACTCTCCTGACAGATCTCAAGCACGGTTTTCAGGGCGATGAGCGATGGCACCAGGCCCGTCAAGATCACGCCGAATAAAAACTCAAGCACTGCCAGTAAGTATTCGGCGCCGGCGTCGGTGTTGAACACAAATTTAAGCGACCCCAAGAGCCGCAACGTGGTGATTTCGAGCTGGCGACTGACGTAGGTCTGCTGGCCCATCAATGCCAGGGCCCCTTCAATGAGCCCTTGGCGGAAGACATCGACGACAATCAGAGTGTGGTCGGAGCACTCGTCGTAAAATGCTAGTTCTTCCGTCACTTTGTACCACATGTACAACAGCACTTCCAAGTCAGTGGCATTTGACGCCTGGAGGGCCAGCTTGACGGAGTCGGCGATGGTGATGTAGAATGGAATCAGAATGAGTTCCAGTACCAGCACAAACAAGTCACCAACCAGGGTGCGGTATTGCACAAGTTCTGAAGGCAACTCGTCGTGGATCTGGGCCTTTTGCCAGTATACCTGAGTACACTGTTGAAGGATCTGGTCCCTAGCTTCAGTATGAGCTTTGTAACTCTCAGGGTTATTTTGAAATGTCTGCTTGATAAACGTGGCGTCGTGCTCCAACGTCAGCACAAATTCTTCCCAAAACATGAGTAAAGGTTCGCTTACCAGTTCTTCCAAAGGCAGTTGTCCATCGAAATGGCAGAAGCGAAGGACAATGCGGAGAATCTGTTGTACCAGCTCCTCATGCAAATGCCGCAGAAGGTAGAGGATATGGTGGCCGAGATAGGCGCCGAGGAAGGTGACAAAAGCATCGACAAAAGTCAGATCATCAGCTAGCTCGCCACCGCCAATGACGTTATCGATAACTCGAGGTCCATAATGACCAGGAGTAAAGAGGATCTCGGTCACCTGGTTCTTGGTATCGGTATCCAATAGCAGGGGACACATTTCGTAGACTTCAGTAAGGCCCAGAAGGGCGACAGCAGCGCCTTCAAGGTCGCTAGGAGTAAGTCCAGCAAGCATATACTGTATCAAAGGACGAGCATCATCGACAGAGTAGCGGGGGCTGAGGAACCCATCGGCAGTAGCAATATATGGAACCCAAGCCGCAGCAGCTCCCATGGCAAGTACTTGATTGGGAGGGTCATGGATGAGTACTTGAGATACCAGTGGCCACACGTCGCGCTTAACGTTCTCGTGGAGCTGTTTCAGCGTCTCCCGACGGTAATCTTCAGGCATAATGGTGTAGAATTGGAGGAGGATTTCCCATTGAGGCTCAGTGAGGGCACCAATTTCTGCCACAGTGAATTGCGGCAGTTGTACGAGCAACGTAGCTGGATCTAGCCGAGCATCCGACGATTCTGAAGCGGCTAGCAACCTGTAGATAAGGGCAAACCCCAGGATAAGCTTGCGGAGCACGTACGCGTGCTGGCGGCCCTGGGAGTACACCTCGTACATCGTGGCCACGAGGTCAGGAAGCAATTGCTGAGCGTGTGGTATCACCTGATCAGGATGAGTAGTAACGAACACAGTAATGGTGAGGGCGCCGAAGTACTGGACGGGCGCCTGAGGCCGGTGCAAGAGCTGGCGGCCGAGCGTGTAGCCGTGTTCCAGCTTCTGGAGCCGCTGGAGCTGGTCCTGGATGGTGGCGATGTGGGCATTGTCTTTGGTGGCGTGGAGGGCGTCAATGGAGGCGACGACCTCGTCCAAGTTGTACGCCATCTACTTGGATGGGGGTTGATGGTAGTGTGGGTGGGTGCGGTCACGTGAGTGGATGTGGTCTCTGTATGAGAGTAGGTTGTCAGGTTCGCACGGTGGGTTGCACCGTCGCCCGCTGTCGGAGTCATTTGGTAGGGGCACGACTCAGTGGTGAGGCGCTCGCAGCTAATATTACTGCCTCCCCCCGGGGCAGGGCAGCCACTAGTACTCACGGCAACGTCAGTGATGCCGCCGTGCTCCCAAGCGGCACAGGTTGAATGTGAACGTTTCGACTAAATAGAATCAAAGAGTTGTTAGGGACCTGTAGTCAATGCCTATAATATTGACAATTGTGTCCCTGATGACAATTAATGGGTATTAGCACTAAATGGCGTTATCGCCGTTAGGGTTGCCTGCCACGAGCCCGGGCGCGACCCTCACGCAATTTATCCGTCAGCATACACCCGCCGTCCACTATCGACAACTTCATTCCACCATGGTCAGAGCCGGCGGCATCAAGTGTCAGAACTGCAACTGTTCCCCCGGGCTCTTGTCGCGAAATAACCGTCGTCTGGTCCGCTTCGCCAAGCAGATCCAGCTCGGCCGCCTGGGGTCGCAACCGGGGCTGCCTCTGCGGAAAGGCCTGTGCTGGCTGGTAAACCCGCTGACGTTTACTCAGGACAACAAGGAGATCAACACCAGCTTGCGGCTTGCGGCGTTGCGCAAGCAGATGGCCGAGCACGGCTTGGCGGTGTACGTGGTGCCGCTGGAGGACCAGCACCAGCTGGAGTACACCGCGCCCGGCGACAAGCGGCGGTCGTTCATTTCGGGGTTTTCGGGGCTGGCCGGGGTCGCCGTGGTCACGCGGGACATCTCGTCGCTCAACGATGAACCGGACGGGTTGGCGGCGTTGCTGACGGACGGGCGCTACTTTAACCAGGCGCTGAACGAATTGGACTTTAACTGGCGGTTGATCAAGCAGGGACAAAAGGGCGAGCCTACCTGGCAGGAGTGGGCGGTGGAGCAGGCGGTGCAGATGGCCAAGGATTCGGGCAAGGACGCCCACATCGGCATTGACCCCCGCAACATCACCTACGCCGCCTACCAGCTGTTGGCGAAGCTTGCTGAGGAAAAGAGCCCTAAAGACGCTACTGTGGACGTGGTACCGGTGTTGCCGAACTTGATTGACGAGATTTGGGAGGAATTTGAGGACTTGCCGGTGCCGATTACTGCCTCGATCTCGACGTGGGATATCAAGTACGCCGGCCAGCTGGTGGCGGCTAAGCTCGAGGCAGTGTCGAAAAAGGTGTTTTCCGACTCGGTGACGGCGTTGGCTGTGACGGCGCTCGACGATATCGCCTGGGCGCTTAATCTTAGAGGGCTGGATATCGAGTTCAACCCGGTGTTTTTCTCGTTTTTGGTGATCACTAGGGACGAAACCATCCTCTTTGTTGATGAGCCGAGACTCAGCGACGACGCTAAGGCTCAGCTTAAGCTGAACAATGTCACCCTCAAACCGTACGCCCTGTTTTACACCCACACCCACGAGTTGTCGGCCAAGCTCAAGGAGAAGCAGCAGAAGTTTGCCGTGCTGACAGCGGCCAACTGGGAGTTGGTGCGTCAACTTGACTGTGAATTCACCCAGATGCCGTCGCCGATCGAAGCGCTTAAAGCGGTGAAGAACGCTACGGAGATTGCCGGGGCGAGACTGGCCCAGGTGAAGGATGGTCGGGCTATCATTAAGTTGTTTGCTTGGCTTGAGAACGAAGTGATTAAGAAGGAAGAAATGATCGACGAAGTCACTGCCGACGAAAAGCTCACTGAGTTCCGCAAGCAGGAACCAGGATGGGTGGGCCAGCTGTTCGACACCATCTCTGCCACTGGCGCCAACGCGGCGGTGATCCACTACAAGCCGGTCAAGGGCGCGTGCACCACCATCAACCCATGTAAGCTTTACTTGTGCGATACTGGCTCCCAGTTCCTTGAGGGCACCACCGACATCACCCGGACCATCCATTTCAGCGAGCCGCTGGCCGAGGAAGTCACTAACTACACCTTAGTGCTCAAGGGGATGGTGGCGTTGGCCCGGCTCAAGTTCCCCGAGGGCGTGCTGGGATGTCAAATCGATGCCATGGCCCGCCAGTTCTTGTGGCAACAAGGGTTGGACTACGGCCATGGCACTGGCCATGGCATTGGTGCCTACCTCAACGTCCACGAAGGCCCCGTGAGCATTGCGGCCCGGGTGCCGTCGAAGGCGGTCCCGTTGGCTCCGGGTAACTACTTGAGTAACGAGCCCGGTTTCTATAAGGACGGCGAGTACGGTATTCGTATTGAAAACGACATGTTTGTCGTGCAATCGAGCGAGACCTACAACAGCAAGCAGTTCCTCAAGTTCGACACCGTGTCGCTTGTGCCCTACTGCCGCAAGTTGATCGACGTGTCGTTGTTATCCGCGGACGAAATCACCTGGCTCAATGACTACCACCAGCAGTGCTGGGAAGCTTACGCCGACTCGTTTAGCCGCGACTCGCTCGAGTTGAAGTGGTTGAAGCGGGAAACCGCCCCATTCAAGAAGTAGTAATGAATAAATTGCCGGTAGACTTAATACGACGAAGAAAATTCTATTCCCTTCCGTGTAATCCAGTGTATTCATTTCATTTTCGGGAAAATGCAGCGCTAGGCTACCTTCGTCGATCCGCCACCTCCTACAACATCTGTGGTCGCCTTGAACATCTGTACAATCATTACGAGATTAAGACGGATACCGAGATCTATTACCAGTGATGTCATTTTTACATTCTGATTTGACGCCTCTGGATTTTTAGGCTGGATGACGCTCAGATTACACCAGTTCTTGGTGCAATAATAACGGCACTGCCCTTGAACTCCAAGGCCAAATAAACTATAATATTTTTGCGTATGTGGCAATTTCATATCCATTCACTAGTGTAGTGTGTTGAGCTCATGTTTTTGAAATTCTTCCATGACAATCTCTGTCCATCACTTCACACATGTTGATTCATATACGTCGTTAGCTTAATGAATCTTTAGACTGATCATGGCCTAAGAATAATCATTAATCATTGCTCGTAATCGTAACTTCGGCTAACCACATCACTGGGTGGGCAATTGAGTAAAGCTCCCACAAGCCACCCAGTAAAAGTTTCATTTTGGTTGTGAATTTAGAGGAATTGGTGGTTGGTATCAATAGTAAGCCTAAATCCCAAATAGGAAAGTGGTGGCGTTGGGGCTGCCTCATATCGCATTGATGATGGACGTGCGGGATTATGTAATCGATCAAGGCCTGTGTTTAAGAATTTGCGGAATGTGTATTTTGTAAAGAATGGCGGCTGTACCGCTTGCTTATTGGACTTGGTAGCCTATGAAGTGACAGCCACACTTGAGTGACTAGGCATCCACCAGTGGAGTGATAATATAGCTCCGAGGGGAAGAATTGGACCAAGAATGGAACCATTTTTATGCTGCCATAATACTATAGTTGTCGAAACCGTGCTTGAGGTGGTGGCTTAGAAAGTTATCTCGATAAATTAGCCGATCAAATCGGTTTATATGCAGTAATACGAATCAAAATGGAAGGACCAGACCACAAAACGTTGACCGTAAACGATGAAATTGCTGGCGCCTTCACTTAGCAGTTTCTCTGTTTAGACTTATATCACACCATAAACGTTGTTTGGTCTACATTTCTAGAAGTTTATCGACCATTCTTTCAATCGTGTAGGTATCGTCAAATGCTCATACATCGCGCGCCCTGAAATTTACACTTTTATAAATCACCGGCTAGTATTTAAACTAAGGGTATCAACAAGTCGCGAGTTGATTCAAATTATGTCTACCGGTTCTGACCCGCCTTTACCACCAGAGAACTTGATGCTGGCGTCAAGCGCAAGTTCCAGTGGCAATGATTGCCAGCCAGTTGATGACATCAAAAGAAATACCTCCACAAACCAGCAAACGGAATCCCAAAGACACACCGAAGAAACCGTTCGCAAATTGCAATCTGTCCTTAATGAGTTAAAGGCGCAAAATATCGAACTTGAGGGTGGCAACGGATACGTTCAATTAGGTCATGCCATTGTGACCGCGATCCACGAGCACCCCACTATCAACGCATTCGTCTCCAAAATTACCAATGAATTATCATCACCAACTAACTTGCCTGCTTTAACTAATGGTCCAGTGCTGCAATCCATCACTAGTCTGGCTCCGGGGCCGACATCCTTGCAGGCTGGACTGCTGAATGTTTTCAATCCAGCGTATAAAGCGTTCCATGGCAAGCCTACCCCTTCGTTCATTGACAACGCGAGAACGGATCCACGCCACATGAAGATTGATAATAACTATATCGTGTGGTATAACCCTGAGCTCAAGCGTGATTTGGACATTAGACTACTTCACCAGTTTAATCTTCTTCGAAAGGTGGATTGCGTGGGGCTTTCAAAAGATGGCAACGTAATCGCCATTGGATGCACAAGTTCCACTTATTTGTACGATATGAATTCCTTTAGTCGTGTGGCTACATTAACGGTTGACGATGACTGTCACAGAACTGAAGGTTCGGGCTGTATTAACTCGTTATGCTTTTCACCTGATGGCAACTATTTGGCCATCGCCAAACAGATGAATATCTATATTTTCGACTTGAATACCAGTCGTGTCCAGAAAACCTTGCGCCTCAGCACTGGAGAGGTGGTCTCGCTTGATTACTTTCCTGATGGCTGTAAGTTGTTGTCTGGTCTGAAGGACGGCTTTGTTGTTGTCTGGACTTTGGAAACGTCTGATTTTCTCATGAATTACCATGAAAAACTGGTGAATACGGTGGCGGTACTGCAGGACGGTGACTTTTATGCTGTTGGCTTCGGGGATAATACGGTCGGAGTGTGGGACGCAGACAGCGAATTGAAAGCGCAATTTTCGGGGGCTAAACAGTTCAATCGTCACCGCAAGCAGGTGTTATCCGTGAAGTTTGCTGATGACAGCGGGAAGGTTTTGTCAAGTTCGGCAGACGCTACTGCAAAGTTATGGAACTTTACGAACATCAATCAGTTATCGTCGTCATGTGAAGTTACCTACGAGGGTCATGGGGATCTGGTTAATTCAATTTGTTTGATGCCAAATATTGGGTGCGTTATTCTGGGTTCTCAAGATGGCAAGGTGATATGTTGGAACAAAACCACCGGTCACCCACGATTGATGCTACAAGCTCAGGACAAGCCAGTAACCTCGGTTGTGGCTTTTGTAAAACCTGGAAGCTCCAGGGGCATACTTGTCTCCTCGTCGAATGAGGACTTTAACGTGCGGGTATGGGAAGTTTACGCAGAACCCACATCGGCACCAATCTCTAAACCTGGGGATGTTCTCAGATGTATGACTGAAGAATTGGTCAAGCAGGCACTGCTGAACCGGACTGCTCACAGACCGACAAGGCCTAGGGCTGCCGTGAAGCCTGCACAGCCAGCACAGCTGAGCCGGGCTTTCAACATATCGTCTCGGTTCAAAATTGCCAAGACGCCGGTGCAGCCAGCACTGCTGTACTTGAATGCTTACATATCTACACCAATCAGTTATGCTGAGAATTTGGCACGGTTTGAGCGAATTGACTGGACGTTGTTTCCTATTCAGGCGGATCACGTGTTACCAGCTGGAACCAGACCAAATGTGCAAGCGGGGTTTTGGCTTAAGAAGCTTTGTAAGCGTCGTCTTGGTGTGCAACCTCGATACCACTTTGAATACAAGCAGAACCAGATCAAAGCTACAATAACACTCAAAGGCCATGATTTGCTGACGGCCCTGGCCAGTTCGAAATGTGACGCCGAACACTTGGCAGCAATGGCCATTACCGAATACCCTGCTGCGAGAGAGACGCTTTTTGATTAGCACAAATAAGACCCTACTGCGAGAAAGTTTGCAATTTTGAGAATGAATAAAGATTGAACGACAAGGTAGAATATGCTTGAAGCAAGGTCTACAAATGAGTAACGGTATATAAATTGCAACGTGAATGCATAATAAAGAACGTGAAAAAGCACTAAGATCACCTGTTATTGTATGGTACCAGTAATGGCATAGTTGCTCGTTACTCAAATATGTTATGATGACCACTATACAACTATCATGTTGATTTTCCTATAAATTTAAGAAACGACACATATACACTGGAACTATCATACTTAGTGAGCTTACGTAAACTCACTCTTCAGCAAAGAGCCACGGCCTTCAAAAAATGCGCGGTTCAATACCGACCAATCCCACCTCAAATCCGTCCATGAAGTACATTGTGCCACATGATAGCGCTACAATAACAATCCAAATACGGTTTTCCTTCCGGTCCCCGGTTTTCGCATTTCCGGTCACGGCTGGTGGTTCTGGCGATGGCTGGTGCGACGGCTGTGGTGGGAGGGGGGAGCGCGCGTCGACGGGAGTTCGGTGGGGGCAAAGAGGCGCGGAGAATAGGCCGGGCAGCGGTGTGGACGCGGCAGGTGTTGGCGTTACAACTGGGGTTTACCGTTACAGCTGGAGAGATTGCAGCACCGTAGAAGTCACGGGACCAGGGTTTCCAGCCCTAACGGCACGCCTATAGTAGTTACGGAATGTAGAGGAGGCTTTTGCCCGTCGGTGGCGTGAGTTTTTTTCTCGGGTTCCCTCATTTTGGGGGGGGCTGGCTGGCGCGGGCCCACTTCGCCCCCTGGAGCTTGACTCGGAATATCGGGATCCGCCAGTATCGGCGGTAAAAATTCGGGGGAAGTTTGTGGTGACACCTACGCTCGAGTAACGGCCGCGGATGTGGAGCCCGGCTGTATCCCCCGGTGCTTTTAGTGTCAGAAGCGTTAGATCTGCACCCCAGATGTATCTCCCCCGACGTGACGCGAGGGGGTCTATATCCAGGATATTCTTTTGGGTTCGACATAAAAAGCCGGCTGGTCGCACTACTCCTTTTTTATCTTCACCACCACTTTCTCGGCGACATGAGTTGAAATCCAGCTCGAGTCTGCCACCAATTTGGACCATTGCTCACCAACATGGCATCCACTACTGACTAACGCAGCCGCTGGGCGACATGGGTTGAAATCCAACCCGCGTCTGCCACCCTATNCAGATGAATCTGCCCCGACGTGACGCGGGGGGGGGGTCTATATCCAGGATATTCTTTCGGGTTCGACATAAAAAGCCCGCTGGTCGCACTACTCCTTTTTTATCTTCATCACCACTTTCTCGGCGACATGAGTTGAAATCCAGCTTGAGTCTGCCACCAATTTGGACCATGGCCTACCAACATGGCATCCGCTACTGACTAACGCAGCCGCTGGGCGACATGGGTTGAAATCCAACCCGCGTCTGCCACCCTATCAGCGCTGCCGCTCGGCGACATGAGTTGAAATCCAGCTCGAGTCTGCCTACCAACTGACGCTTTTGATGACGCCGCTTGGCGACTTGGGCTGAGATCCAGCTCGAGTCCCACCAATTGGAACCAAAAATACTAACATAGTGCCCTTTCGGGAGGCTCACCACCTGGAAAAAACTACATCGACCACCCCCCCGCTGCTCTTTACCTAGCGAATACGCTCGAGAATTGGCGGGATATAACTGCGGGGGGTAGTTGCGCTGGAATTGCGTAGGCCGATGATAGTCCAGGTGGTACGCCAGCTTGGAGTCGGATACCCGCCGTCCACGCCCGCAGCGCTAATGCAACGTTTATAACTCGAGTATAAACTGCGTGTTGCGGGTTGATGGATTGCGGGGGGCCGGTTTGCAGCTGGTGACAGCCCAACCCTGCGGTACTTTATCCAATTGGCCAGCAGCATACGTTCTACACTTACTAATCGGGTAATCTAACATTATCATCCCGCAAGCTTGAATAATCAAAACTAAACCTCGATAAGTATTTAAGATAATCAATACATACCCTAAGCATACAAAACTCAAATCTAGTCCCTATCCCTTTGCCGCAGGTCCTCGGTTTTCGCATTTCCGGTCACGGCTGGTGGTTCTGGCGATGGCTGGTGCNCGGCTGGGATGGTGATGGCGATGGCTGTGCGACGGCTGTGGTGGGAGGGGGGAGCGCGCGTCGACGGGAGGTCGGTGGGGGCAAAGAGGCGCGGAGAACAGGCCGGGCAGGGATGTGGATGCGGCAGGTGTTGGCGTTACAATTGGGTTTTATCGTTATGATTGGGTATCATCGATACAATCGGGCATTATCGTTACACTTGGGTTCATCGTTACAATCGGGGAGGGGTGATCATCGGGGGAGGGCTACAGCTGAGGAGATCGCAGCACCGTGGAAGCCTTTGCTCGGATTGCCTAACTGCATTCCTACTTATTCATATTTTGGGGCTGCCAGCCTAATCTCGCGGGTTCACCCAGCAGAGGGGGGCTCTTTGTCTAGCGCTGGAACCGATGCTGATGTAAGCACTAGTTCCGCTCTAGCGCTGGGGATATTTGACGAAGTTCTTTGCGGCATTAGTCCTACTGCGTAGTAAGCCGCCTGTGTAACTAAAGTCTCACCTCACGAGTCGTTTTCACCTTGAAGCCACCGTGCTAACGATGAAAATACTCATTAACAAACCAAAGGCAACCCACACAACGTGAGACAGAGTGCTTTATTGTCGCTGAGGCTTCACTAAACAAAATTATGTCCTTGAAGGGAGTCTGCTCACTTCTGCCTTGGGTTCTTCGCCGTTTTACTGGATGAGTTGTTCTACCAGCAGGGGATGCCTCGATATTAGTGATCGATTGAAATCTGGAAGGTCAATCCTTACCAAAAAGCATTACCTTTGCCTAAATCCTTAAAAATCCAATAGCTTAGCTGACAGCAGCCAACAGTAGAAAATTTCTCCAACGAAAAGCGTCTGTTTGGCTAATTCATGGCTGATGCCGTTTGGTGGACAACTACTATCGCGGATGATTCAAGCCAGAACTCGGTAGCTTTGGGTGCATTGATTTGCCTACAAGCAAACTTCGACAACTTAAAGAACGATCCCATCTCCTTGATGTATGGTACTTTGTCAGTTTGGGTGTAGAACACTCCAGGTATAGGGCTGGTCAGGAATAAAGTTCTCGCGTCAGTCTCGTTGGCCATCATGTTGGCTGTGCTGGCGCTCAGTGGAATCTGAAGGTGTCTAAATCAACGGAACCAGTGACAGACGAACCAATCGATTTCATTTCGGCATCGATTGACAATTATCATAACTTGACCATCTGATACACAACAAAAGAGAGACATATTTCTACTTTAGTGGACGTTTTCAGAAGTGCGGCGGTGGACTTAGTGTTTACCATGATGGCTAACTTAGCGGTAGTTTTATCTTGAGGCAAGTTTGTCGTAGACTTCTTTGAGCCCAAAAGGCTCAAAGTTATTATCAATGACTTCAAGAAGGCGAAATCTACCGCGTCGTGGTCATTGACATCGTCCTCGACCACATCTACGAATTGATCAATGATTCTTGAAAGACAAGCTGTTTGCGTAAGCTGGCGTATCCACCTCTGCTGTATCACCAACATCACCTGGGCCCGGGGGAGTTGCGATAACTTTGGTATCACCTCTTACGCGACTGCCAAGGCTGCCAACTGGGGATTGTTGAAAAAAGGCATAGGAAAATCTTCAAGATGACAATTGGTGCTCCCCAAGGCGAAACCGCAATGGCTTCGACGGTTTTCTTGGAGAAGACAATGACTTGAACTTCGCCAATTAAAGGCTTCTTTGCTTGAAGGCTCGTCGCCGAACGAGGTGATTGGTGCATTGCTTGAAGTCGGTGGTGACAGTATCGTCAAAGTTCACCGCTGACCATCTTGACAACACCATCAATTTGATAAAGACACCATCAACCCCGGCTCCAATAGCTAGCGGCTGATTGCGATAATCGATGATATTGCCGACACCGAGGGCAACGAAAACGACCAGGAAAACTCTGCATCATGACAGTCAAAGAGTGAAGTTTTGTCACCCTTGAGCCTACCCATGTGGACACTTGTTAGTCCTAGGACTTGGATGTCAATGATAGCCGCGCGCGGACTTTAAGTGGCGCGTACACGAAGTCGCGATCACATGAAATACTGATTGACAGAGTGAGCAATGATTCCCACTTCTTGCTTATACAATGTGACATTGTGGGGTGTTACTGTGTGATGGAAGAAGGATCCCAATCACGGAGTGATGACGCCGCCAATGGGCGCGACTGTCTGGTTCACCTCCGTGTTGAATTCGCCTACTTTGGACTGGTGGTGATTTCAAATATGCCTACTATGAGTTGTCAAACGCTCTGTCAAGAACGTAACCATTTCAGATTAGCTGAACCGACGGGGTTAACCTCCTATCACTGGGTGATATTAGGCACAGCTTGTCAAACTAAACCTAACGTCGAGGTACATCGAACCGTTTGTGAAGTTGATATTTGAAGGGGAGGTAACAATATACCCCAATTGCATGCCATAAAGCTGACTTTTGTCATAGTTGTGAAGAAATCCGGGGGTATGATACCAAGCTTTTTCAAACAGGGAGCAGTCGAACCCTTTGGAGGTGCAAGTGGTACATGAGAATTTCACGAACGAAAGAATAAATGAGGCTCTCCAAAATTCGTGATTCGGGGGGGTGAGTGGGGCCTGGGGAGCCGTTTCAAGCAAAAGCGTATTATGTGGTTGCAGTTATCTGTTTTGACTTGCGATGTGTTTATATGCTCAGAACATCGAGATGGTCTATGGTATTGAAGTATCATATGTTAGTCGCAGTCCTAAGGGGGGTTTGAAGATGAAGTAAAAACGAATATGCACGTCTTGTTGAAATATTTGAGCATAGATTCTCAACACGAGTAAGCCTTCAAGGGGACCCGTCAGCACCAACAACTATGGTTATAATGTCGTTCTATTATACATCTGTATGGGCATGAAAGGCATACTTTGATTCGACAAGTCATCGTAAAAGCCCCCGTGCCAGTTGAAACGATATCGGTTCTGCCTTACCCTATGACAAAGCTTTGAGTAAGCTCAATTGCGAGTAGTGACTGTTTGTTTTATCAGTTGAGGCTCATTCTTAAAGGCGCTTGCGCTTGCACTAGCTGAGAAGCGATGATCTTTGAGCAGAACTTACTTCACAGTTTTGCGACATATCAGTTCTCAAAATTTGCCGCCATTGTCCACAGTATGAACTCGCTAGTACGCTATTGATCTATGGCGACGGTGGAAGCATCGTGAGCATGCTACCAACCATTTGGGCGATGGCAAGACTGCCCGTATTGTTGGGGTAAACTCACTAGCCAAACCTGGAGTTTGCCAATAAAGGTGAATGCATCTTTCGTTTCATCAAGTGCAGCTTGGTTGTTGCTTAGGTGCTCAAAATGGTGACCTACCTCTCGAGGAGCTGCTGGCTGACGTCCTCGCAATTTGAAATAGTAGTTAATATGAAATATATGATATCTTTCGATTTCTGAGCGAGGTACTGATATTTACGAACAATATGGAAGGATACGATCGCTCTTATATTGATTGGACTTTCTGGTACTTCTCTGCCCTCATAGAAAACTTCATTATTGGGTACGGTACTCCGTGATTTCTATTCTAAGTTTTACAGTCTGACGAGTGAGTTGTTCTGTTGTCTGTAAATTCGATCATATTTGAGGGGCTTTATTAACGTCTACAATTATCGAAATTTGCACAAATTTTGACAAGACCTACTCGAAGGTTCTCGTAAGCACATCAATTGCCTACACGTCATTTATGAGCTTTAAGTTTTGTAGGACATTAATTTACCCCCTCTCGTTCTCCCTGAGTCGAAACAACGACATCATCGCCAACTACATACTATTGGCTACATTGGCAACGTCATGGTTCACTCAGTTTTTTTGCTCTACAATCATTATACGTCAATTTCGACGGAACGTTTGTGATGGCGACCTGTTTACAAATCTACATTGAATATCTTTCTTATTAGCCACCCTATACATATCAATTTGCAACTAACCATTACTCCTATCATAACTCTCCTAATTTTGTTGACCACCATAGTCACTTCTCCATTTATCGATCATTTTCTCGTCGATTCTGGTGAACAAGTACTTGCGTTCACCAATATTATGTCCCGGCTCCAACACGGTCTCGAACTTGTCAGGGATGGACAACGCCGGCGCGTTGAGCATCTCCTCGATCTGGTGGGTGGTGCCAGGCATGAACGGCAGGATCACCGCCAGCACTAAGTAAACCAAGTTGAGACCCACCGCTACAACGGCGTCAGTCTTGTCTGGCTCATTGTTGAAGTGGGCATTGTCCAACTTATTGTCCTGAAGGAATTGGTTCCCCCTTGCCGAAAGGGCCATCGCCAACTCCAACCCTTGGCGCAACTTAACGGCGTCCATAGTGTCGATGTACTGCTTGAGGAGACCGTTGACATCGTCATTGAACTCTTTGTAGTTGGGGATGTTCTTCACGTCAAATTTCGGTACAACCCCGGCGTATTTGGCATTGGCAAACGAGACAATCCGGTTAACGAAGTTGCCCAAGTTATTCAAGAGCTCTGAGTTATTCTTAGTAACAAACTCCTTCCAGGAGAATTGCAGGTCCGACAGTTCAGGTCTCACCAGTGCCAAGTAGTACCGCCACACCAGCGCCGACACCCCAGTCTCTTCAGCGTTGTTGCCAAACACACCAACGCCTCTCAGCTTGGAGAATTTGCCACCTTCATATTGCAAGTACTCTGTGGTCAGCAAGTGGTGCAACTTGGTCCAGGGGTCGTTGGTGCCAATTTCTGACGCCGGGAACACCACAGTGTGGAAGGGCACATTATCCTTACCCATGAATTGATAAAGATTAACGTTTTCCGGATTACGCCACCATTTCTTCCACGCTTCAACATCGCCATTCTTTTCGCCATAATTGGCAGTGATTGACACGTAACCGATGGTGGCGTCAAACCACACATACAACACTTTGTCTTCGTAACCCTCCAACGGCACAGGTGTACCCCACTTGAGGTCACGAGTAATGCATCGCGGCTCCAAACCTTTCTTGATCCATGAGTCGGTGATGGTGCGCGAGTTCTTCGACCAGTTGCCCTCTTCTGACGCCTTGTCTACCCATTCCTTCAAAGGTGCTTCCAATTCGTTAAGCTTGAGGTAAATATGAGTCAGTTCTCTCACCTTAGGCGTCGACCCATCCAACTTACATCTGGGGTTGATGAGTTGAAGTGGATCAAGCAAAAGCCCACATTTATCACACTGGTCACCCCGAGCGTCATCATAGAAACAGTTGGGACAAGTCCCTTCCACGAACCGATCGGCAAGGAACGACTTGTGTACCTCACAGTACAATTGCTCCGTAGTCTTTTCTTCGAGGAAACCATTTTGGTGTAACTTCATGAAAATGTCTTGGGCAATTTCCGTTTGGAGTGGGGTGGTGGTGCGACCAAAGTAGTCAAAGTTGATGTCGAACCAGTCGTACACTTGCTTGTGGATGATGTGGTACTTGTTGCACAATTCTTGCGGGGTGGTCTTTTCTTCCAATGCCTTAGTCTCGGTGGCAGTGCCGTATTCGTCGGTACCACAAATGAACAACGTGTTGACGTTGCGATTTTTGCTGTAGCGAGCATAGATATCGGCCGAAAGTACCAGTCCGACAATATTACCCAAATGAGGCACGTTATTCACGTAGGGAAGCGCCGACGTGATAAGCACATTGGCTTCACCCTCCTTGGGCACGATAGGACCTTCAACCTTGCGCACAGTATGACCCGACTTCACCTTCACAGCACCATCCCTGACTGCCGAAATAACCCTAGCAAGCTTTGTGTTCTTCTTGGCATCAGCCACGGCCAGCTTTACCGAGTCGAGCAGAGCGAATTCATTAATCCAAGGGTGTTGAATCTCTTGGTTCAATGCGTAGACCCCAGCAAAAAAGATGATCTGTTCCACGGTGGGCTCGGCCTTGGTGAAAGGGATATCAATGTTGATGGTTTGGTTCGTTTTCAACGCCTTGTACACCGCTGACTCTTCAAAGGTGATGGCAGCAGTGGTAGAGAAGTCGTTGCCCAAGTACTTGACGATGGCGTTGGGCTCGATAAGCTCTACCGCCTCATCGCCCTTGTTGAGGGTTGCAAGAACTGGTTGTGGCGAATCCCACGTCACCTCACCCTGACCAAACACCAGAGCAGCGATAGCAAGTTTAAGGTTGGCTGCGAGAACGTCTCGGGTGTTGCCCAGAGCCGCGTTTAACTTGAGGGTAGTCATTGATGAGGTCGAGGGAGATTTTCGCGTTTTTCCGTGTCGTGTAAAATCCTGACCACTGGTCTCGGACTTGTAAGGAACTAACTCCGGAAGGTGATTTGCTAGAGGGTTCGGCAAAAATTACAACATGATCGAATCTAAACATGTGAGGCTTCACATGCGTGTCTGGAGGTATTCCAAGATGTCACGGTGGCAAATATCGGTTGCGTTGTTGATTAGAATCACACAATCCGTGAGTCACACAGAGAGGGATTGAGAAGGACGAGAGACAACAAGGAACAATCTGCGATGACATATCACCACTGAATCATTGATTATGAGGGTAGCTTTTCCGGATTCACTCCACAAATGATGCCATTGGATTTCACTGATTTGCAAAGTACTCTCTCCAATAAAATGAGTAAAATCTGGAAAACTTGAAAGACACCAAATATAGCAAACAAGATTCACTTTCGTCACACCACGGGCGAGAAGTCATCAATTTATTTAAAAAACTACTTCTAAAATCTATAAAGTGGCACAGTTTACGTAGCAAGAGACAAGTATCATTTCTTCTAGCCTAGTGGCCCCTGCGCAGAATCGTCATCTTCTGCAACTTCGAATCAACGTAGGCGCTAAATCGCGAGTCGTGACGGACCGTGTGGGCATACTGGCGCAACTCCTTGGCGACTCTCGCGTGGAGACATGACCCCCGGATCTCCTGCTTGGTGCCATCAGAAGCAATGATTTTGAGACGGTAACCATTAGTTACACGCCGATGACTAACGATACTCGATACGTCAACCTTAGGAATGGTGTTATACACGCGAATGAACGCGTGGTCACCCTGTCTAAATCTCCTTTTCTTCAAATTCTTCAAATTTTCACCACCTTCCTCGATTATAAATTGAAGCTGATTTCTGTGGAATATCGAAGGGCCAGAGCATGCCGATGGCATTGCCAACTTATACCAGTTTTGCGGGAGCCGCTTGTCAACAACGAAAGGACCCACTCGAAACTGCTGACCTCGGATGGATGGTGGTGGATTGTAGTGGGGATTTGGGAGTCGTAACTTAAGCCCAAGCCAGCCGAGCGTTGAACCCGGAATTGCTTGAGAATGTTGATTGACTGAAGGCACCATCGCCTTCACCAACGAAAACAGAAGCTTAGACATGCTTATCCTCGAATATCAAGCTAGAGATATACGGTACATTGGCGGGTTATAATCACAGGGTGTGGTGTGGATTCTTGTCTCAGCTTGATGCTAATTGATGTACGAATTAGGAAGGTGTGCTCGATTAAACTGCCCCCACCGATATCCATAAATAGCTGACGAGAGTTTCACTATAATCCCCACATACTCAAACTTCCGAATATCACTTTGCTGTGTTGAAACTCGCTTTATCAGTAAATAATGGTCATCACTAATTAACTGTAGACATCAGTGCCGCACTCGCGGTCTTCTCGAAGCATGATCCGGCGCTTGTCCACAGGGGTACCCCGTCGCCTTCAAGACCAATGGAATGTGGTAATACACTCCACTAAAACAAAATCACAGCTGCCACTGCCGTTGATGTACGCAGTGAAGGACAACATCGCCACTGGCGGTGAAACTACACTGTGTGGGCTGCAGATGTTGGACAATTACCAATCGCCATTTGATGCCACCGTCATTGACCTATTGAACAAGGAGGGGTTCCAAAGCATTGGTAAGGTGAATCTAGATGAGTTTGGAATGGGATCAGCCACGACAAACCTGTGGTACGGACCTTCCGTAAACCCAGTGTATCAGGACGAACCTCATGTGTGTGGTGGATCTTCGGGGGGCAGCGCAGCTGCCGTGGCAGCCAACCTTTGTGATTTTTCTTTGGGAACAGATACTGGAGGTTCGGTTCGTCTTCCGGCAGCATATTGCCGAGTGTATGGGTTCAAACCACTGTATGGACGAATCCTGCGATGGGGGGTCGTGGCATATGCTCAAACACTCGATACTGTTGGGATAATGGCTCGTGATATCGATACCGTGGAGCGTGTGTTCGATATTGTCGACAAATACGACGAGAGTGATCCTACCAGTCTTCCGAATACTCTTCGTGATCAATCAGTCGAGCAACCAAAAAATTATGTTATTGGCGTACCTTTAGAGTTCAACGTTGATGAGCTATGCACTGAAGTGAAACAAGAATGGATCGAGGCATTGGAATACCTTGAATCTCAAGGTCATAAGGTGGTACCGGTACTGGTGCCGCTGATCAAACTGCTGTTACCTGCCTACTACACTATTGCCACCGCTGAAGCAGCATCCAACCTTTCTCGCTACGATGGTGTGCGCTACGGATTCAGCGGTGGGGTGGGAGACTTTGCCACTACCCTCCAGCGTCTGCGAGATCTGTTGGGTGATGAAGTGCAACGGCGAATAATCTTGGGCAATTACACTCTCTCGCTGGCACTGGGAGACCATTATAAAAAGGCAAACGAAGTGAGAAGAACTCTTGCTGATCAGTTCAACCGAGTATTCTCAAAAAAGCATTGTCTCCTAGACAATGATAACTGCGGACGTTGTGATGCATTATTATACCCAGCAGCGTTTGGTCCTCCTCCTACCATTAATGAATTTGAGGCAGAAACTCGTGAAAACTTTGTTAATGGCTACGTCAACGACATTATGACGGTGCCAGCTTCGTTGGCTGGGCTTCCTACAATAACGGTACCTAGAGGTCTTGGTCTTCAAGTACTGGCACAATATAATTGTGACGCCACCGCATTAGCAGTCGCTCGCCTTTTGTAAATAGCTTTCGTTCAAAATAATACAACGCTGCCATTTACTCATAAAGTATTGTACATTCCTGCATATAAGCATATTAGAGAGGGAAAGCCGAGGGGCCATCACACTAAATTTCAAAAAACCGCGAAAATTAGTCGTTCGAAATTATATGCAGTATTTTACCACATAATTTATTCAAGATAACACTGCATATATTTATTCACCTTATCGCAGATGCTATAAAATTGGAAGTGCGCATACTTTCTCAAAAAAGTAATGGGAACGCTCGGATAAATGGAAGTCTGAATATGAAAAAAAGAGGCCCAAGTGGACATTTAGGGATAGATAATCACCCAATTTAAGTGAACAATTACGGAAAGTATAGGTATTTCCGAATAAGGAAATTACACTCTCGCGCTTGTTGCGTCCTGTTTATGTTCCCGTACTGCATATAAAAATCAGAAAGTCATAAAATTGAGGTTTACGTCTTGCTTACTAATTGCTTACTAATACTAGATTTATAAAATTTTCATGTATTTGGCCTTGAAAATAAGCATTTTACTACGAATTCCTGCCAGGATGCTTAACTTAAACCGAATTGTTTTCATATGTTAGGTGGTTTATGACATCCAAAATAACACACTTTGCTTCAGATCAAGGTACATCAGCTCCGTGTACATTGACAGCCATTGTCCTGTATCCTCTGTACCGTCGTATTTCATTATAGAAAATCCTTAGGCGAGTATATTGCCCTCAGAAATGTCAAGGAAATAGTGAAAAACGTACCCTCGAAAGTAAATCTTCGAATTCGAAGTTGGGATTTCTGACCTTATCTCACTCAAAAAGACGTGGTTTCGATGGTATTCAAACGACAATCGTTTCTTTGTCTTAAGTGCAGAACCTAGAATTGTTACATCATCAATCGATCTCCGATGCGATTTTCGGTACACGACGATATACAGCGTTTTTCTTTGAAATCAAAACAACGGCAACTTTTTGTTTGGTTCTCTGTTCTGGCATATGAATATTCAAATGAATCACTTAAGACATCTTAATGTCTTAGGGTCTGGCAGATGTAATTCTCTCATCAATGCTCAATTGCACAATTTTCATCGAGATTTTTACTTCGACTTGGACTGAATAATCGTTTCAGTTTTGCTACTTGGCGTGTGCTTATATAGGCTATGGAGAGCCAGGGCTCTTGTAGTCATGGACCCCCTCATAAGCTGATTTCAACGCCCCTTTGATTTGAATCGAGGCAGGCTGAGGGAAGTTGCGAGAGACGCACGGTGATGTCTCTTTCCACAATTGGATTTCCGATTCCCTTCGCTTCAATTTGGCGTTGTCTTTGAGTTTGAGGCAGTTGAGGCGAGGGCTCTTGAATTTGTTTTTCCCTTCTTGATCTTGTAGATTCATAATTCATGTTTGCTCCGTATGTGATCCACGTTAGAAATCATAATAAGGATTGGGTGATTTGAATATTTAGCTGGCAAGTTGAATACACGAAAAGATTGATTCTAGACTTATCGAGATCTGAACTTGATTCAAAGCGGATCTTTATTGTTTTACCGATCAACTGAAAAATATGTTTTCCTTATCTAATAGTTAAATAGTTTTGGTTATTTGTTTTTGTCATCAGTGAAACCACCTTTTTGAGCTAACGAGTAGAACAACGAAGATTTGTTAGCTAATAATACCTCAGGTGTATCGAATTCAGCAACTTCGCCTTTATCCAAAACGACAATACGGTCACTATCCATAATTGTATTTAACCGATGAGCAATCGTTAAGATTGTTTTGTCCTTAAACTCGGTCCGAATTGTTTGTTGTAAGATTTTGTCCGTTTCAACATCAACAGCAGCAGTAGCCTCATCGAGCACTAATACATTCAGCGTGTTCATCTTCAAAAGCACTCTGGCGAGGCACATCAATTGACGTTGGCCAATCAGTAAGTTAGACCCACCTTCAGATACTTTCACTTCAAGTGCCAGTGTAATTTCCGAATCATCCTGATCCCGCAGATTGTACATGTTTTGGACATGGTCCTTCAAATGAGCAAGCTCAAGCGCCTTCCACAATTTGGCGTCCAGATACTCATTCGTTGGATCTAAGTTAGAGCGGATGGTCCCCTCAAACACTTGTGAATCTTGAGGGATAATCAGCAAACTGTGACGTAAGTCAGCAAGACCTATTGTCAGAGTGTCAACGGTGTCGATGACAATCAGCCCGGATGACTTTTCGATAATTCGGAAAAGCGCAAGAGTCATCAGCGACTTTCCAGCACCGGTTCGACCAACAATACCGATTTTTTCGTGAGCGTTGACATGCAAATTGATGTTGCGGAGCACCAACTCAAGTTCGGGACGATAGCGCGCTGAATAATCTTTGAAGATGATTTCACCCAGATGAGGCCAACCCTTACTGGGACGGTGGTCCTCAATAACTGCTGGAGCCTCGGGGACTAGCTCAGAATATTCAAGTACCCGCTCAACCAGTACAATATTTGTTTCAACCTCGACAGTCATACGTACAATCCAGTTGAGCGACTGAGTAATTTGTAAGGCATACAGAACTGATAAACCCACTAAACCAGCCAGTAAATGACCCAGACGAAGAGTCAAAATTGCGAGGCCGGCAGCACCCAAGATAATGATAGACCCCAAAAACTCTAATCTAACGGCCAACCACCGATTGGCATTGATCAGTGGGTGGTATGCCCGCATATTTTTATCAACCTGCAACTCGTTCATGAACTTAAATCGATTCGTTTGTCCATAGGCCCGGATCACCAGCACCCCATTCAAAGACTCCTGGAAGTTAGCAAAAATGGGCGACTTCAGAACTGAGTCCAACCGTCTGAGCTCTCTCAGGGTTTTGAGGTAATATTGTTGGTAGTAGATGTATAATCCAAGAATTGGTAAGATCATGAACACGAACACAGGAGTGGAAAAGCAAATCACGCCAATAGTGAACATCACCTTCACAGAGTTCGAAAAAAATTGTCCAAATACTCTACCAAGAACTTCATCGATCTTGTAAATATCTTGCGAAAACCGATTGAGAATTCTCCCAATGGGAGTTGTTTCGAAGAAAGACATGGGGGCACGAAGAACCAGGTAAGCCATATCGTTGTGGAGCTTCTTAGAACCCTGTATAGTGCAGAATATCCACATTACACAGGTTTGGATCAACATGGCTGTGGAAAACCCAACACCAAGTAAGAAATAAATACCAAGATATTTTCCAATGTTCGGATTAGACCCATGTTCAGTGTTAACTTCCGACCAATGTTTAAGCCACACATTCAGTCCAACTTGAAGGGCCATGGATATAACGATGCACAGAAGAAACACGACCACTCCTTTTGGATTACAGGCTTCAGCGTAAGCTTTATACACCTGCCACTTCACTCGTCCTTGTTCCATATGTTCTTGACGAGCCCTGGCATCATCATCAAGTTCAACTTGCTGCTGCCGCTCTTGATTTAGCTTGTCAAGTTCACTCAACGAGACGTCCAGAGCTCGACGCAAACTCAGAGAACAATCGAAATCGGTGTCCAGCTCCAAGTCGTTGGGATCGACTTGTACCAGAGCCGGGGTACCTTCCCTTTGAAACAGCTGGGGTTGAACGGTGGCTTGCAGCTTCAAAGCATCAACTCTTGTTGAGGATTCCAGTGCACGCACTGGAGTAGTTTCACGACTCAGGCCGCCAAATTCTTTGATTAAGTTGTACAACTTGGATGTTTCCTGCTTCATTATTTCATCAAAAGTACCCAGTTCAATTATACGGCCATCAGAAATCATTTGAATAGTATCAGCCTCCAGCAAAACCTTGATATTATTTGTGGCAAGGACCTTACACTTCAGTTGGAGCAAACCATTGGGGCCCAATACATGTTGGCGAAGATGCCTACCAACATGTTCATCTACCGCCAGTAACGGGTCATCAAGAAGATAGACATCCGCGCGGGCATACACAGCGCGAGCAAGTGACAACCTGGCCTTTTGGCCACCAGAGAGGGAAATACCCTTTTCCCCTACCTCAGTTTGATCACCCTTGGGTAAAATTTTCAAATCCACTGTAAGGGCGCACGCCTTGATAACGTGATAATAAAACTCGGCATCATATTTGTGTCCGAACAAAACGTTCTCCTTGATTGTTCCGTTCATAATCCACGGCACTTGAGACACATAGGCAACTTTACCATGAATTGTTACTTCGCCATCAAGCTTGTAAAGATCTCCTAATGCTGCTTGAAGTACCGACAGCTTACCCAGCCCAACGCGACCAACAATGCAACTAAGTTCACCTTTTTTCGCTTTCAAATTGATGTTAGACAAAGCCACCTTACCTTTGTCCTTCGACCAGAGGAACGTACCGTTTTTAATTGACAATGCAACATCGCCTCTTTGAGTTACAGGACCGGTTCTGGTCACAGCGTCCGATTGAAGCTCCAGACTGTTGAGAAATTTCGTCAAACGCGCCACCGCCACTTGGGCTTCGACAATATTGGTGATCACCATGGGTACAACGGCAAGGGGGAATGACAACAAATTGAATAACAGCAAGGCCGGAAAAACCAAGTCAGTTGTAAGAGCCTTTTTTTGAGTGAGGACAAATACAGCGAAAGTCAAGCACGAAACCAAAAAAGGAGCTAACGACCACGTAAAATTCAGGACAGCGGAAAACACCCCCATTTTTTTGAGATTTCTCAATTCTAAATCATTTCTAACGTGATTCAATTTTTTGAGATAAGGCGGTTCCCATGCATACAATTTGAGCAGCTTAATGTTATTCAAGATTTCCAGAATCAAGCGAGACCTCATGTCCTTGTATTTCATTTGTGTGCGTTGCAATCTCTTTTGGTACTTTGCAATAACTGCATTGAGGGGAATCATAATTAACATGATAAATACCCCAGCCCACATTGAGTAACCAAGCAAGTTATACAACGACACAAGACATAATATGATTTGGAAAGGACCCAGCCATATGATTTGCAAATTTTGTACAAGATCTTGAAGTCTTTGTACATCAACTGACATCAAGTTAACAATATCACCGGTCAGCAGTTCTTGCCGAGTGTCGTTGCTGAGCACCAAGGCTTTATCGTATATGACAGTGGTAAGCGAGGTCTTTATCTTCATACCGAGATCGAACGCTCGCTGGAAGTATTGGTGCAAACAGGCGGTCTGAGTCACGGACACCGCAAACATGGCCAAAGCTATCATCAAACCTTTCGTTAAGGGAATAGGTCCGTCAGGGTCATTGCGCAGCTCAGAGTATTCATTAACAAACTTGATCAACATTCGTAAAAGTTGAGGTTGAACAAATGCCAAACTATCTTGGAGAGCTTTAAACACCCCACCCAAAATAAATGGCGTACCAAATGAACGCGCAATTGCCCAAAATAATGATGGACTCGAGTTATCTTGATTATAATAGTTTTCAGTGAAAGTTTCGGCAGTATTGTGACTCTTAAGTTCTTCAGGGAGCGCAGGTAAGTCGTTTTGAGTCAAGTAGTGCTCATAGCCACGGCGCATGAGTGGCCCCATCCAGTTGAAGGTAATGCGGCTGAACACATCCGCGGTATCATAGGGACTCTTGACTAAATCGTCGACCTTGATTGGCAGAAGTCTCACCAACAGCTCAATCGTAAGTATGATAATACTTGCCACCGCCAGTAATGCCGAAAACCGGGCAAACTCGGTGTGCAATTGGTGTCGAAGATATAGATTGCCCAAGCGGGCGCACGAAAGAACCAGCTCGAAAAGCCAGTAAAACAAAAGTACCCCATTGGGTATCTGACTTTTGAACAGTTCCACGTAATGTAACGCCATGGCCACTACAGTGGCAATAACAGTGGCCACTAACAGAGTGTGGATAATGTCATTGTGACTATGTTGCACTGCCAAGACGATGGCAAACCCAAGGTAAAGAGCTGAAACCACCATTTTGACATAGAAGCCCCAGTTGAGTCGATTGCCCACTTGTTTGCGGCGACTTAATTGAATCAATTGGTAGACGCCACCAGCGATCATAAATAATGCCGCCATCAACATCAACGTCCCTTGAAGAAAACACGGGGCAAAGTCGTTATACTTTTGTGATAATGGGCCCCAACCTTCCTTCAGGGTGCAAACGAGCCATCCTTTGGGTTTCAGATGCTTCTTCAACACTTCAATTGACGACGCCGTCAATGAGGCGTTGAAGGCAGTGGGTGCTGACCCAGGTGCCATCGCTTGCCACCAATGAGGTAACCACAGGCCCAGAGCTACCCAAGCAGCGGGAAACTCGGAATAATCCATGGAGATGTAAGGGTTAGATGGTAGTTGTCGCGAAGGGTTTTAGTCAGCGCTTCTGCAGGGCAATCGGAGAAATCGCTTTACGTGCAGTGCCCTACGCTACTGATGTCAAAGAGAAAAGACAACTGGGAGCAGCTCTCGCTTATCAAAAGCGACTGTCAAAGACTTAAGGGATTCTTACGGCTAGGTTACCTTCCACCGATAGTCATACATGGTCTGCTGGGTGTGGGAAAGACTACATTGGCACGGCACTTAGCCTCCGAATTTAACTACCAAATCATTGAATGTGACGCTACAGATACCAGCTTGGCTCAGCTTGGCGATATTCAACGAGATCTTCAACTGAAATCTCGTCGACTTAAACCGCGGGTGGTAGTTTTCATTGACGAGATTCATCGGTTCTCTCGACGACAGCAGGACTGGTTGTTGGGGTACGTGGAAAGCGGCGAATTCCTTTTCATCGGGGCTACCACTTATAATATACATCACCGATTGAATCGAGCTTTATTATCGAGGTGTCATTGGATAGAGATGGTTCCCCCATCTGCAGCGGCGTTGGCAGACGCGGTTGCGGAGGCAGTGGCGATAACGGGTACGGCGGAGTTCACTGTGACCCAAACGGGCAATGTGCGAATTGCAGAGGCGAGTGCCTCAGACTTTCGCCGGGCGAAACAATTGGTGGCGCTTATACATCTGACTTATGGTGACCGTTTTATCACTGACGACGAGGTGAACACGGTAGTTGATCGTAGCTGTTCCTCCAAATTATCCCGAAGCGATAGAAATTGGCTCTTTCGTCGAGTGGAAGGTTGTCTCAATGGTGTTGTCGTCGGTGGCAAGCGTAGTCGACAATGGGGCTTGAAATACATAGACATACTTGTTGCTCATGGTGAAGGCAATAAAATGGCTACTTGGTTGATTACTTATTGTGCCGCTCATGCTGCTGATGACACGTTTGTGACGCTCGTGCGCTCAATGAAGGCGATCAAAGGAGGTGCGGACCCAGGACAGATTTTGCGGTACGGATTTTCACTTCTACACGCAGCCACTCGACGACTGACACCACGAGTTCGGCTTAGAGATCTCGATCTTGTCCATACTATAGTAAATCGAGATCGTAAGTTAGATCGACGGCTGACAGCGGCAGTCACTTTTGACGCCGACGTGGTGTCGAGGCTTATCCCTCGCGGATAAAGGGAAATCGACGCTGACGTTGTCCGTTCGCGGTTATTTTTGTTCGCGTGACTCACCGCCAACCACGTAATTCATTCCCCCATGGGGTTTTATGACAGAAACCCGCTACATCACCCTAATATAATATACTGAACAAGTTATAAATACTGCTCGGTTTCGTAAAAAAATCAATGTCCTCATCCCAGTTAATTCCATCTCGGGAACGGCCTTCGCTTGTCCGCAGTGGCGGCCTTCGCCCGCCCCCTTATGGTCTCCAACGGTCCACCTCAACTACCACAGAAAAAAAACGCGAATTTTATCTACTAGCCTCCGCCCTCGTTGATCACTTTCGCCTCGTCACCATATAACCATGGGCGACACAAAGGATGTGTCCATGGTGGACATTCAAAGCTCTGCTAACACTATCCCATCGGCGCCGCCGAGGCGGAAGCTGACGCTCATTTTAACCGACGACATCGACATGGACCAAATGAACCTTGACCGCGAACCCCAACAATCAGCTCAGCCACAAGCACCATCTACTCCGGCTCCCACCACTAATGTGGGTGTTACCGGTACCAATCAGAGCAACAATGACGGTGACCAGGCATCGAAACTAGAGCCTCCCGTGACCATCCCGGTGGACATCACTTGGGTCCAGGGCGGGGAAAAAGTTTACGTCACCGGGCTGTTCACCGATTGGCGAAAGATGATTGGGCTCGTTAGACAGCCTGATGGCAAGTTTATGGTCACGTTGGGCCTTCCTGTGGGCACTCATCGGTTCAGATTTGTCGTGGACAATGAATTACGTTACCTGGATTACTTGCCCACCGCTACCGATCAAATGGGTAACTTTGTCAACTATATCGAGGTGACTCAGGATCACGTATATTCACATTTAGCTCAGGAGCAGCCGGCGGAGGAGCCTTCGCAGCCTGACCCAACTGAGAGACGACCACTGGTTTCGACGATCAGCCGCGGTATGCTGCTGACGTGGGGGCTTACAAATGATGACGACGATATGGGCAATGGGTTTTCTCGCTACCACGATGGTGACACTTGTCTGGAAGTGGCCGGCGCGAACCGCAAACGATCGTATATTCGAGACATCCCGCCGATTTTCTATGACCCCAAAGTCATGGAGCAGTACTATGTCGCGATCGACAAACAGCTGAAGCTGCAAAATGGGCTGCAGCAAGCCTGGCTTCACCCGCCGCAATTGCCGCCTCACCTTGAACACGTTATCCTTAACCAATTCAATCAGAACGACCATGATAATAATCTGGGAGCGTTACCTATTCCCAATCATGTGGTGCTTAACCACTTGGCTACGACGCTGATTAAGCATAACACTTTGGCAGTAGCGCTGGTGGTACGCTACGAACAAAAGTATGTCACCCAAGTGTTATATGCGCCCTTACAGACTTAAGTATATGAACTACCCAAACTTGGATGATGGAGAGTGGTCGTGGTTGTGTATAATGAAATTACATTTAATGATTCCGATCCGCCGTACGCGGCTTCGCGCGCAAAATGTTGTCGACTCTCAACAACAATTCTGCGGCCTCCGCTGCCAGCAGTACTACCGCCCGCTTGAGCTTGTACAGCTCGACGATACCAAGCTCGCGCATGTCCGCGACGGTACCGTTGTTCAAGTCGAGGCCCAGCGTAGTCATACCATTGTAGATCGCCAGTCTAAGCTTACTCACGAGCTCCAGCGAGTCGAACCCGGCGTTATCAGCTAAGATCGTCGGTAATTGACGTAACGCACGCGCAAAAGCTTCAATAGCAAGCAGTTGTTTACCGTCAACGTTGGCCGCAGCTTGGTCCACCGCTTTAGACATCACCATCTCGGCACACCCGCCACCTAAAGTCGTCTTGGTTTCCTTGGTGGTTTGCAGCAACACCAGAAGGGCATCGTGCAACGACCGTTCCGCTTCGTCCAACACCTGTTCGGTGGCCCCTCTGAGCACCACGGTGCAGGCTTCGCCCGCCTTGCAGCCAGAAAATTTGAGGAATGAGTCTTCACCAATAATGATCTCCTTGATTTGCTCACACTCTCCGAGTTTGACGTTTTCGGGTTGGTCAAAAGTTGAAACGACATCACCTCCGGTAACCAAAGCTAATCTTTCGACGCCATCGAAATCAGCATGTTCGATGGTATTGATGTGAGCGTCGGTGAACAACTGTTCCGGGTAGTCGTAGATAAGTTGGCGGTTGATGAAACAATTGGCGCCGAACTTTTTAATCTTTTCCACCTTTTCCTTCATCTTCACCTTTTCTGCCTTCTCCAAATCCGCAAGCTTCAGCGTCGAGTCCACTTTGAATTTGGCGCCGAAAATCTTCACCTTGTCAGTATCCATCGACGTGTTGGCAATCAAAATCTTGCATGGGCCAATTTCTTTCGGCTGCAGGATGCCAAATTTCTTATCAAGGATGAAACCCTCGTCGAGGTACAGATCGGAAAGCTTACCCCCCGCCTGCTTGATGATTTGGATATGATTGAGATTGGTCTTACCGTTAAGTCTTAAGATAGCGTCAACTGCCATGGTAGCAAACTGTTCTTTATCCTGAGATAAGATCTTCGATGAAAGGGTGGTGCGGGCGATATTAAGGAGATCCTGACGGAATGACTCGTGGAAAGCACCATTGTCGACTGCCAGCTTGGTGAGAGCATCCACGGCCACGTTACGTGCCTGGCGGTAACCTTCAATGATGATTTGCGGGTGCAATCTCTTCTCGATCAACTTTTCCGCTTCTCGAAGCAATTCAGCCGCGAGCACCGTCACTGACGTGGTACCGTCGCCGACCTCGTCGTCTTGCACTTTGGAAAGGTTCACCAACACTTTGGCGGCGGGATTGTCGAAGGGAATCGATTTGAGGATGGTGGCACCATCGTTTGTGACAAGCGACTTGTTGGGGTCTGACGACAGTTGCAACAACTTATCCATACCCTTAGGGCCAAGGGTGGATTTCACGAGGTCACCCACGGCAATGGCCCCAACAAATGCCAGCATCCGGGCGTTTTCCCCACGCTCCTCGGTGGCTTGGTCGCCTAAGATTTGGACTGACATGACTCTATCGGGGAGGGGTACACAAGATGAATTTTTCGCGCTGAGGGGGGTAGGAACAGGTGGTACACGATTTGAGACCATCAGATCAGCCTCCAATACTTAAAATACAAAATGTTAATCAAGGAATTGACATCACAGACTAATGTTATTGATAAATAGCATTCAAATTTTATATCTAATCGTAGTGTATGAGAAGTGAACGTTGAACTTTTGGGATCAGGTGGCAACTCCGGATGGGTCGGAGCCAGGGGTGCGCGGAGACTCCTCTGAAACCCAATGAGCACTGATTCTGAGTTCATGTAAGATTAATTAGAGACATTAATGGTTAATAGTTGTGTGATCAGTCGCGACGGTCGCGTAAGTTGCATTTGCATGAGATAATAGGAAAAATACGGGAAATTTGGGGTAAAATCGAACCGTTGACATCATAAAATAGCCCGGTTGAGCTACAAATCGACAATAAGTGAGAAATAATTGTAAGCTGAGTCTACAACAAAATTGTAACATTTCGACACAAAACCATTCTTCTCACCGCAATCTTCCCTTCGCACTGACAATTGATGTTAATGCCTCATTTTATACTGAAAGCACGAAAAACGATTGGAGTCTAGTGGCATCAGGGTTTACTTCGAGGAAAGAGCTCTCACGACGTGTAGTAGGAAATCAGCCAAGTCGCGCGCTGTCCTCGGAGGAACACGGAAATGCATCAGGAAAGCCTAAGCGACGCGAATGTCTTAAGACACTATTTTAGCTTGGGCTATTAATTAGAAAAAAAGCCACTCAATTAGGCAAGAGCTCAAGCTGTTGTGAATACGAAATACCCCACCAATTCCTTTTTACTACTCTTAAGAAATACTTCAAGGGTAATTTGCGTGGTTCACACGACGCGGATGCTCTGTCTCCACATCACCAACTATTTTTTCCACCCCAATCGCGAGAAGGACAATTAAGATTATCCACTACCGTCAATGAGTATAGCCACGCTGGAGCCCGCGTTGGAGATGCCGCTGGAGCAGAATGCCAAATACAAGCAGTTATTTGACAAGTTGGATGTGCTGAAGCTGGGGAAAATCTCGTTTGAAGATTTCGAGAAGGCATTGGCTCGGCTCAACCACCCTATCCACGACGACCCCGCGATGGTTAAAACGGTGTTCCAGGCATTTGATTGCAACAATGACAAGGTGATTGATTTCAGTGACCTAGAGAACTATCTACAAACCACTGATGAGCAGATCCGCGCCGGGTTTATGAAGATTGACCGTGATCAAGACGGCAAGCTCAACCGAGACGACTTTACCAACTATTTGCGCAATACCCTAGCTCTTGAGCCGACGCCAGAAGAAGTCAACTTTGTTTTTGAACAGATCGATACCGCGAATCAAGGGTATATCACCTACGATGAATTCCGTGACTTTTTGTTACTTATGCCTCGACTAGACGGGTCGCGGGTGAAGACAGCATTTACATTTATGGCCGAAGAACTTGATCTTTCTCTGGATGGTGAAGTTACTCTAATAAATCACTTCTTGAACGGGTTTGGCTATTTTTTGGCTGGTGGGCTTGCCGGGGTGGTGCTGAGAACGGCAACGGCACCATTCGACCGTATCAAAGTGTTTTTAATTGCTCGTACTGATTTACTGTCAACTGTATTACACTCAAAACTGGAAATTGAGAATACAGCTGCGAAGCTGACACTGATGCTCAAAGAAGCTCGCAAACGCTTGAGTCAATCACAAGGACTCAATATTTCTCTGGTTCAAGAGCACCCCCACAAGAAAACAATAAGATCACCGATGATTCAGGCAGCCCGTACTATCTGGAAACAGAGTGGATTCCGCGGATTCTACGTGGGGAATGGGTTAAACGTTTTTAAAGTGTTCCCGGAACTGGCAATGAAGTTTGGTCTGTTTGAAGCTACTAAACGAGTTTTCGCTCGAGCTTTGGGCCTTGAAGATACCCTGCAGTTGTCCAAGTTTTACACGTACTTGGCAGGGGGTATCGGTGGGGTGTGTGGTCAATTTACGGTGTACCCTATAGATACCCTTAAGTTCAGAATTCAATGCTCCAAGCTTGATTCGAGAATCCTGGGCCATAAACTACTTATTAAGACGGCCTCTGACATGTACAAAGAAGGGGGCATTCGGATTTTCTACCGGGGCATTTTGGCGGGGGTGTCAGGCATTTTCCCTTACGCCGCGCTTGACTTGGGAACATTCACCACAACAAAGCGCTGGCTTATTGCCCGACAAGCTCGTAAAGAAGGTATTTCTGCTGAGGAGGTGAAATTGCCTAACTACATGGTGTTGTCGTTAGGGGCGGCCCTGGGGTCGTTTGGTGCGACGGTGGTATATCCGATCAACTTGTTACGAACAAGATTGCAGGCTCAGGGGACCTATGCTCATCCGTACACGTATGATGGGTTTTTCGACGTTTTGAGAAAAACATTAGCTCGTGAAGGTGTACCTGGGCTCTATAAGGGGTTGGTGCCTAACTTAGCTAAAGTGGCTCCTGCGGTTCTGATCTCGTACTTCATGTACGAAAACTTGACTAAATTATTTGGTCTCAAAACCACCAACTGAGATACTCTCCCATCATATGCATATTTTTCCTACGAATGGCAAACAATTACTCATTTAGCATAATCTACTATTTTTAGAATTTCAATCAAGATTGTAATCATACCTGATGAATGATGATCTCGAGTAAATACAAAAGTTGTCACAGTCTTAGTCTAAATTTAATGGCGGTACTCGCGGCAGCTTTGACTACCATTAGAGGCGAGCTGACAATTTTCGGGTGCGCACCATGACAGATAAGATCATCGCCCAGGCCCAGGAATGGCTACCCAATATACCCCTCACTGTGGTTTCCCAAGGTGCCGAGGCCATTGTGTTTGCTACCGATACTCATCCTTACTCCGGTGATAAGCCGTTGATCATCAAGTACCGCCCCAAAAAGTCATATCGTCACGCGAAGATTGATGCACAGATCACACGTTTACGAAGCACTGGCGAGGCCCGTTTCATGTATAAGTTGAATAAGCTTGGAGTACCAGCTCCTATGCTCGTGGCATGCGATTTTGATCACGGAATCATTTGGATGGAGAAGGTAGGAGGCAGGTTACCTCTGGGCGAGGCCAGCTCGTTGAAGAATTGGTTGTGGCATTTAGAACGTCTGGGAAGCAATTGTGTCGATGAAGATGTGGCGCAAGTGCTTAATGAGGTTGGTGAACTTGTGGGGAAGCTTCACTTGAACGACATGGTGCATGGAGATCTTACCACTTCAAACGTGATGTTAGACAATGGCCATCCGTGTCTCATTGATTTCGGTCTTGGAGATCATCTGAGTTTAGCCGAAGACCGTGCTGTGGATCTTTACGTGTTGGAACGGGCGGTCAATAGCACGCACTCAGTTTATGCTGAGCAATATAATCAGTGGTTTCACCAAGGGTACGAAAGAATTCACACCGAGGAGAAGTATCGGAAAGGATCAGCAAAGCGGTTCAAGGAGACGATGCGCAAATTAGAAGATGTTCGACTTCGTGGACGTAAGCGAAGCATGATTGGTTGATTTTGGAAGAATGACAAGATATTACAGTCTTTATGTTTATTTCCCCATATGGTTTCGACAATGATATAACTATATCCTACTTTGTGCCTCAAACCCTGCAACTTTGAGCGTGACAGTTGATCGCGTTCAAATTTATTTGATCCAAAGTATATGTATTTTCAACCACTTTTTGGTTTGCTCAATCCCGACCATCACTTCAATTGATTCTATACTAATTTTAAGTGCATTATTACTCGAAGTATCCACAAATATCAACATTGTATGACGTCAATTTTGGCGATAGTTCGGTCAGCATCTTTTTCATTACGAACGATTCCGCTATAAGATTCATATTACTCGACGAAAGTACGAAAATTTACGGGAGTTGATAACCTACACTTGAAGGCTGAATGCCATTTAATTGCATTATTTGAAGTACTAGTGTTTGGTACAACTTCGAGAAATACGTGTTGCCACGAAAAGTCATTATTTGTGGTGACAATTAACATTAAAATTAAAAAAATACTGGTACGTACAACGTAAGAGCAGGCTTAAGACGACACAAAATGGATGATGTTCACCGATCCATTCTGTCAGCGCCCTGGTTGGCCAATTGATCAGCTCTGTTGTTGCCGTAATTGTCCAGATGACCTTGGACTTTGGTGAATTGCGCCTTTCCCCAACCCTTTTCACCGTAAGATTGATTGATGGAATCCAATTGACGCGACATCGGTTCAATCAAGTCCCGATTTTTAATCGGCTCGCCGGTTGACGATTGCCAACCATTACTCTTCCAATTGTCCCGCCAATTCGTCATGCTGCCAATCGAATACAGCGAGTCGGAGTGAATGTTGATCGGTCCCTTCGAGCTGCCATCTCTCAAAGATCTGGCTTCGTTGTCCAACGCATGCTTTACAGCATGGAGTTCCGCTCGTTGGTTAGTGTATCTGCCAGAATTGTCAACTTCCGAGAGAGGTTTCGACACGTTACGGGAGTCGTTTTCACCATAGTAAACACCATAACCACTGGCAGCAGATCTCGATTGACCGTTGCCCCGGCAAGCGCCATCGGTGTAAACATTGTTTGATGATTTCGAAGAGGTGTAAGACCCTCGGCTGGAGCTCAGACGTCCCGAGGAAGATCTGCTACCAGAGTAGGAGCCGCCACCAGAGTAGGAGCCGCCACCAGAGTAGGAGCTACCACCAGAGTAAGAATTGCCACCAGAATAGGAACTGCCACCAGAATAGGAGCTGCTGCCACTACCAGAGTTAGCAAAAGCAGCTGCTTCCAGCTTGGAAGAAAACTTCTGGAACTTCGCTCCCGAGTACCCTTTCACCTGGGACTCACAAGCACCCCAATTGTCGTAAACACCGGTGGACCGGCCATCAGCCACAGCGTAGTAATACTTTCTAGCCATCAGAAAATTCGAGGGGTCAAGGGGTATGCGTGAGCGTCCATGATCCTTTATATTTAAGAGGTTATCAAATTTAGATTCTGGACACAAAGTTACCGGCTAATTTCACCCTTAAATTTCATCAGTCGACTTGTCAACGACAATTTTTACTGCCGAATGTCTATCAATGGCTGCTACTTGATGAAACCAGACCTTACAATTGATTCAACGAGAACGAGTCAAGGCGACTATAAGCTGGCAAATTGAGCAAGTTTTTTCATTTTGTTCAGATACTCAATTGACAGGTTTCAATCGTACTGCACAGTCTGAATTTCTGGTAATGGTTTTTAGTGGACTTTAAGACGCGTCCGCGTGTGATTTTTTTTCAAGTGACTGCCTTTTTCGACTGCATAATGGTTTACGAAGAAAGTGATGGCGACAAAATGGAATACAGTGCCAGACCAACAGCCACGCCGCTACTCCAAATATGATCAGACGCTGGGAAATATTATCATGGGCTATTTCGTTAATGAAAATCCTGTCTTTAGAGTGGTAGTTTTCGACGTGATTTAACGATCAAATAACGTTCTGATTAGGGGGATATACAATTTTCTATAACGTATTTCAACACTTAGCTCCATGAGAAGTTCGGCCGAAACTTGTGCTAATTATATTGAGAGCTGTATAGGCAGTAAAAATCGTTTACCACACCGTATTCCGAATTTATATACTAGTACTCGGTGTAAATTCATGGAAAAAATCAATGCTTATGCCATTGGCTTCGGCATTAGGCGAGGACGTGAGGCAACGAGTCCCCTTTAATATAATTGTTTTGCCTTCGCTTCTTTCTGTTAGCAACAGTTTCTTTAATATATTGAGTACGGGGATAGCTGCAGGGGTCCATCTCCAGAAGATATAGTTGCCGCGCACACCCCCACACACGGTTCAAGAAATTTTGGACGACCCCACTTTTTGTTTTGCGAAAACACTATGAACACAATGCTCCCCCATCCTTTCACCCCCACTTCCACCACCCCCACAAACACAATGCTTAACCCCACCGTGAAGGTTATAGCATGAGAAGCGGTGCAGCGGCAACAGTTACCCCATACGGAATGCGGCCAGGGTCCAGTCTACCAGCAATTGAGCCTAGTGGCAAATGCGCCGAACAGAAGCTTAGTGGCAAATGCATTATGAACGTGGGTTATATTCTATCTATGTCGTTCCATTCCCAGTGCAAGAGCAAATCGAAGCAGGGTTTGTTTTGTTTCCAGTAGCGCTTCAAGTAGCGCTTAGTGCGCCCGCCGACCTGTTCCGAGTGGAGAATGAGGCTGCGCTGGTAGGGATTAATGGTGGCGAGGCCCGCTACTAAAAGGCACATGGGAGGAATCCCGTGGCACTTTTCGTGGACGAGCTCGCGGAGGATGGTTCCCACCCACCGTTGTACCGGTTCCAGCATCAGGGCGAGCGCCAGGTTCTGGATTTTGGCGACGATGATGGCGCCGGCGCTAATAATTACCATCATCAGCGCGAGATGGGCGCGGAGCTCGCGGTAGCGCAGGTACTCGCGCACCTTCAACTGGTCGAGCTGGTGCTCGGTGGCGATGCCCGCCTGTTCCAACTGGCGGAGATGGTGGGCGAGATCACTCCACGAATAGGCGCCGGGGGCCAGCGACCCGGCCCACGCCACCAGGGCGAGGGCTTCGTACGCGACAAACACCAGCGGCGGCCGCGCCTGGGGCCGCCGGCTGAGCCAGCGCCGCGCTTCAGTGAACACCGTCGGGGGCGCCGCGAGGGCGACGTCGGCGGTGGCCGCCTGCGGCCACCACGACACGGTGCAGGTGTAGCAATAGACAAACGCCTCCACCACCGCCTGGTCCTCCTCCAGGCGCGCGTGTTGTTTGTGGCGGAGGAGGTGCCAGGCGATGTCGAGATAGCGGGCGCCGGTGGTGTGGATCCAGTGGTCGCGCCAGCACCAGATGAGGGCGACGGCGACGAGCCACCACGCGCTCGGGTCAAACGTCCCTTGGGCGACGGCGGCGGCGACCATGGCGGCGGCGCGCCGCTGTTTATCGGCGGCGACGGCGTGGGCGCCAATATAGGTGGCGCCACAGCTCATCATCACCTCGCAGAGCACCGGCGGCACCTGGGCGGCGCTCCAGAGGCGCCCGAGCAGCGGTAGCAGCAGGGCGACCTCGGGCAAGAAGTGGTGGTGGAACAGGCGGAGGAGCTCGCTGTCGGTGGTGGCGCTGGCGGGGACGTCGCCTGCGCCGGTGGGGGGCGCCACCAGCGCCGGTGGCGTCCACGGCCGCTCGAACTCGGCGACAAGGAGGCGGCTGGCGTCATCGCCAGAGTCGGCGGCGACGAGTGATGGGGGCGCCGCCGAGGCTGCCGCCATCGTCATTGTTTCAGGTCGTCAAAATGGTCCAACGGAAACAGGGGGGGGGTAGCAGTGAGGGGTAACTGGCGGCAGACACACCCAGGGACGCCGCGGGTTTTTAACCAGAGAGCGATGAATCGTTTGAGGGTTATGTGGTTATGGTGACATAAGCGTGCGCTCGCAACCGGGGATGTCTCGGCGGATATAGGCGCATCAAATCTCGCCTGGCCGCTGCGGGATAGCGCCGAGTCGAATCCCCGGAGCGACATCGGCACCGAGTCACCCCCACTCCAAGGTATTTCGCCGTAGCAATAATAGTGGCCAATGGTGGCTCTTTTACAATAGCCAATCAATATAGGACGATTGAGAGATTTGTTAGTTATACTGGTCTTGTTTGTCGGCGGTAGTGGTGACGAATGGTGGTAGTACTAAGATTTCTAAGGCTTAACGCCGAGCGCGCAAAACGCCACAAGCAGGCTTAAGGTAGTAGTGTCGGCCGGGAGTTTCGCGATGCCCCCAACGACATTTTGCGTTTTTCAACACGGTAAACAATGAAGTGATTGAGGTGTTAAAAACGTCATTATTATTATTTTTTTTTTTTTTGGTAAGGAGGCCCCCTCCGAAGAGGGGAACACAGAGCTCATTTAGGTGACATCCTCAAAATTTGCGCGTCCCAATCGGGAAGCCGCCGTGCCCCCCGATGCCCTCTTTCACTAAAAAGCGCCCGGCTATAGGTGGAAGTGTCCTTCCCCCCCGACATTACCCATCCGTGGGGCACAAACGGCGCCGCAGCGACATGGCTCCAACGGCAAACAAACATGCCCGCTGCGCTACGACGTTGTGCCGTGTGCCTCCCCCGCTCACGGCTTCTCAAATCCATTATTCTCCATTAATAGTGCTGGTGTGGGTGGGTCTGGACTCCTCCGGGGTTTACCGCCACCGCAATCGTCTGATCTCTATCTCCGTAGACGAGGAACATGCCATAACCAATTCCGTCGGGTCAGTGACACATGTCTACGCCATAAAAACATAAAGCCGAGGTAGGGAAAGGAAGCCCGCCCCCGTGAGGCAACGCCAAGGCGCTTCGGGGAATCGTGGCTAGCGGCGCCCGTTATGCGCCGTGACGGTGTGCCTTGTCCTCATGCATCGCCAGCAGCGATCCACGTCTGCGATGGTGGTAAACCAGGGTTTTAATGGTTTAACCGTTTCAGGCGTAGTTTTAAATTGTAATGATTGGATGTTACTAATCATTTTTATCTCAATTTGTTTCTGATAGGTGATAGTCTTTTTTTTTTCAGTAATTTGCTATCAAATTTTGGTTCCACGGAGACGCTTCGCTTAGCGCCGAAAATATACGTACACTTACCAATTGTCAAAACCAGTAAGGATGAGTGTCTAGAATGTTTTCTATAACCGGTGGCGTTAGCCCCGACAACAAACGCCAATGGCACCGAACCAAAACACGACTACACAGCAAAGTAAGTCCGAGGGTTCCGTTTGCTTGCTGTGGGGTTAAGGTGCTTGACCCCGTGATCGCCACATAGTGGAATAGTGGAGGAGCCCCGTGAAGACTTTGCTAGCTTTTCTCCCTGGTAGTGCGAACTATCGCACGAATCTTGCCAAAGTCGCACTACCACCACCACCAAGGATAGCAAATCAATGATGATCGGGATTCGCCGTTTCGTGGGGATGCGCTCGCCGGCGACGACGTTCGTCCGGCGGGTCCAGACGTACATCAGCAACGACCAAGTATACGTCCACGACTTGGGCAACGACCGCTACGGGTACCTGTTTTCCGCCGACCCTAGCGCGATGCTCATGGGCACCAAAGTCGGGGGCACCCCGCACGCCATCGACCCCGAGCAGTTTGAGGAAAACAAGCAGTTTGTCGACTTCCTCCACCTGATGTTCAAAGACCACATCACCGACGACTTCGCCTTCATCTGCGAGGCCGGCACCCAGGCGGACTCGTTCATGCCCATCTGGGATTTCCGCGAGGTGCCGCGGTTCTCGCGCACCCCGAACCCGGACCTGGTGTTTGGCTACGTCATGGTCGACAAGGAAGGGAAAATGGTGCCCAAGAGCTACGACCGCAACCACATGTATCGGGTGTGCAACAAGGACGGGTTGACCAAGTTGTCCGACCACATGCACCAGGCGGTTAAGGAAGCCCTCGAAGCACAAAAGTAACGAAGAAATGAACAACTACTATTAGGCTCTCAGTATCCAACCACTCTGGCTCTAGCAATATTGGCACTACTGTCTCATTATTAATCAATATTCTATGAATTATAGCCGCTAGTCTTTTCAATACCAGTCAATTTCTTTTCAAAGGCGTGATGGGGGGTCTTCTTGTCCTTTCACTTTGTCGTACGAAAAAAAACTTCATTGTTTTTTTTCTTACACGATTGTTCACTAGGGCATTGTTTTATTTATTGTCACTGCTACCCATTGTTATAGGCCAGATTTTATACCTCCTTTAGGAGGCTTTTCAAACCATGACACCAAAAAAAAAAAACAGAATTATCAACCACTTCCAAAATGTTCAACCGTGTTTCTGTTTACGGGAAACATCGATCGGGGGAGCGTGGCTGGACCAGCCATGCTCGCCTATGCACGCTCTTTACCGATGCGGCGAAAACATAAATACTCCATCCCGCGCGCCTCCATAAAAAATGAAGTCTCGACGGGGGTGTGATGTCCCAAGCACTGCCCCCCTACATCCCCCCCCTCATCTTACATCTCCCTAACCAAAAACTCTACCCATAAACAAATACTTTGATCAATACAACTCCTCCTCCCCACATTCCCCTACCACCACGTCTCCCAATTCTATCAGCCACTGCCACCGCCGCGCACGCGATCGTATCCCCCCCAACCATTACCCTTCTCATCCGTGCGAAATCCCACTACCGTTTGTCTCATGCCATGGACTTGCTCGGTCCCGTGTACCTTGGCCGCGTCCTCCGGTTGTGCCAGTTCGTGTTCACCATCATCGCCATGGGGCTCGCCCTCGGCATCGACCTGGGGCTCGCCCACCCGCACACCACGTTCGTGTTTGCCGTCACCATCCTCACCTACGTGTGGATCATCCCCATGTGGTTTGCCACGATTATCCGGTACTACCCGGCCCACGTCATCTTTGTCGGCGAGGTGCTCATGCTGATATTCTGGCTCTGTGCCATGGCGATAAGCTTACTGGACTACGCTAGCAAAAGCTGTACTGTGGTCAATACTGTGGGAGATGCCACCTATACGGAAACCGATTCCAAGTGCGAGATCGGTAAAGCCCTTGCCGGTTTCGCCACCGTGGTGTGGGTGTTTTTCCTCGTCACGCTAGCGCTCGTCGTCACGTTTATCGTCTATCCAATCCTGTCGCAGGTGGGTCTCCCTGCGTTGTGGACACTGGTCACAGACAACGCATTCTACCCGGGCGGGGTGTTTTGTGGCGAGGTCTACGTGAAAACGCACCCGCCGATCGACGTCGAAGAGTAGCATTTGACGGTGTTTTGCACTTTACGCTTGCTTTGTTTCAGTTCTTCTGGTTAGGCTATTATTACCCCCACTAATATACTATCAATACGTTCCCGTTGCCATGTCTCCGTAGCCGCTGTCGGGCTTGATGACCATAACGCCAAGCTCGCGTCACTCCCTAAAGCTCACGTGAGCGAGGCGGCTAGCCCACAGCATGCATCGACATATTTACGAGTCCCCCCCACCCGATTAGACGTGACTACGGCAAGCCTTACCCTCTGATTCAGTGTCTTTAGTGAAATCATGCCATTGACCCACTAGATACTACCTTCCTCGTTGTGGTATCGGCCTTGTCCACCCCGAATTCCACATTCTTTGGCGCTATTTTCTCATGCGAGTCGCACCGTGTGAAACGCACCATAGCCGCCCTGAATATTGGGGGCTAGCGTCCCCCTCATATATCAGCCGCGCCCGACCCATATTTCCTTTCTCATACCCCGATAACAAAAAACTAATCAAAATGGTGTTGAACAAACTGCTTTACAGCAAAGTGATCCGAGGCTGCCAATTGGCCCTCTCCATCGTGTGCTTGGGGCTTGGCGCGAAGCTTGTGGACGAATTCCTGTGGGACTACAATAACCTCGTTGTCGCCACGCTGGTGATCTCGTTGGTGTGGCTCGTCGTCGTGTGCTTGCCCCAGTGGGTACCGTCGTTGTTGGTGGTTTTTGGTCGAGTTGGCGTCACTGCCATCGGCGAATTTGTCGTCATGGTGCTTTGGTTGGCGCTGTTTGGGGTGATGGCGGACCAGTTTGGGTCGGCCAGCTGCTCTCGGTTCTACACGACGTTTTGTGAGGTTGGTAAAGCCGCCATTGCCATGACCATCGTCCAATGGCTTCTCTTCGTGGCGTCGTTTGTGCTTTTCATCATGTTTTCCGTTGTCCCTGTCGTTCGTAATGCCGGTGCCGGTGCGTCGTTTAATCGCCAATTCGACTACTATTTCGGTAGTATCTTTGTCAGAGACGTCCCCTTGGCCTCCACCGTGCAAGTGGACCCCGAGAACCCCGAGAACCCCGTGGCTGTGGAATCGCTGATCTCCGCTGACGGCAAACAGGCGTCGTTGGTGGAACCTACGATCGATAAGATCCCTGACCCTGAACCTCAACCTACCAACTAAGTGTCTATGAAAAAACGCTAGTAACTTTTTGTCAGTACCCCTAATAATTTCGTGAGGACCCCTAATGATTTTGTGAGTAACTTTAATTGATATCATTGACTTCATTAGTGTAGAATGACCAACTTCCAGACATCATAGAGAATGGTTTCTGGACCAATTCTGTATAAATCTTGGTCGTGGTTGCTTAAATTACTGTCAAAGACAACCAGTAAAATAGTGTGGCTCCGTGAACCCTGTACTGGATTCCAGTTGTGGCTAAAGCACGTTGTGGCGATGATCTTTCTATAAAAGAGCCACCACTACCTGAATTTCCAAAACCATAACCACTCCCTATGTATCATCATTTCCTTCAGTTACCTCAATTCCCAATAAACGCTTGATCGCGGTGTCTGGTTCGGACCCTTCCCCTAAATAGGGGGTTTGCGGGGAACCTCCCTCCAGACACTGAATCCACCTTTTGAACCAAAAGGAAACTCAATCAAGGCCCAATATGCTTTCATTACTCCTACGATGGCTCTTGAGAACCAGGATTATCGTGTGGCGGTTGGTAGTAGTCCGAGGGATGCTCATCCCCTGGTACCTTGTGGCCAAGCGCCTGGGCCGCTACGAGCGGGCGATGGCGACGCTGGTGGTGCACAATGTTGTCTACGGCCGCTTTGCCAGCCTACTATATGTCGGGGTTGCGCTCCACGTGTGGCACATGGTGCCACTGACCCCGCTGGGCCTCCTTTGGCGGTGACCACAACCCCACCCCAAATCGGACCAATATTACGAAATTCCAAGACGCAGCACGCCCCTCAGACAATCGGAACGGCTCGGTTGCTCACGTGTTTGGCAGGGCAATGGTGTGCCCCCTTGCTGGTGCATCTTTGGCCGTTATGACCCAGCCAATGATGGCGACGCTCGCCTAGTGCTTATCACAGCGTCCATACCGCACGGCGGATATGGCTCGCTAAAAGTTGTTGCGTATGGTGCATCCCACATGGCTACGGCACTTCTACGGCACCCTATTGTTTGCCAACGTGGGGCCTCATCCCCAGCGGGCTCCACTGAGAGAAAACTAGAGGAAAATCCCTTGATAAATTTACCCCGACAGTATAACTAGGTGTTTTTAAACGGTGATTTCCCACTTATTTGCTTGATTTTACCTCACTTACCGTGGGGTTGGTGGCTGATGTTCACCGACTGAATTAAGTCACCCACGTTGGGTCCTGCAACTATATGCAGGGCTAGTTCCAGGCACCACGCGCGCGCGCGCCAAAGGAGGCAAGCGTCACAACGTGCCGAATACCCGCTCGCCGTTTCCCAATTTCCGCCTTTCCTTCCTCCCGTTCACTACTTAAACTGCAGATTATCCCGTGGCCAATGGTTGCCGCTCCCCTCGTTGTTATTATCATGCTCAAACTGGCACTTGTGCTCTCGCTTTCCACCCAGGCGGTGCTTGGTGGCGTCGTCCGCGACCTCGCTTCCAACGGGCCCCAGTGTCCTGCCGACCCGCCGTTGCTGTGTACCAACTCCAATTCCGATGTCGACACCTGCTGCTTTGAAACCCCCGGCGGCGTGCTTTTGCAGACGCAATTCTGGGACTACTCGCCTTCGGTAGGCGCCGAGGACGAGTGGACGTTGCACGGGTTGTGGCCCGACAACTGCGACGGCTCCTACGAGCAGTTCTGCGACTCGAGCTTGAACATCGACGGCACCGTCGAGCTGATCATCGTCGGCCAGTTCGGCGACTCCGAGTTGTACGACTACATGACGAAGACGTGGAAGGACTACAAGGGCGACGACGAGAACTTGTGGGTGCACGAGTTCAACAAGCACGGCACCTGCATCCTGACGCTCAAGCCCAAGTGCTACACCAACCCCACCCACAACCAGAACATTTACGACTACTTTAAGATCGCCGTCGACTTGTTCAAAAAGTACCCCACTTACGACTTCTTGACCGCTGAAGGCATTACCCCTTCCACCACCAAGACTTACACTAAGCAGCAGATTCAGGACGCCTTGGACAAGCATTTCGGCGGCAACAAGGTCTACTTCAAGTGCGACAGCAACAACGCCTTAAACGAAGTGTGGTACTTCCACCACTTGAAGGGGTCGATCTTGGGCGAGCAATTTGTCCCCATCGACGCTCTCTCCAACCTGGGATGCCCTGCTTCGGGTATCAAGTGGGTCCCTAAGGGCAAATCGTCTCAACCCACTACTACTGGTGGCGGTAGCCCTAGCCCTACCGGTACCCCTTCTAAGGGATCGATTAAGGCTGATGGTAAAGCCGGGTGCTTGATCAGCAACGGCAAATACTACGAACTGGGTACCTGTGCCACGTTCCTGTTCGCGGAAGCTGAATACGGTGGGCTGAACATCAAGTCGTCCAAGGGCTACTGCGGTCTCGACGCCACCGGGGCGTTCGCCTGTGGCTCGCTGTTCCAACCATCTGACTTCCAATTCAACCGTGGCAGCGACGGCAAGCTCGGCTACGGCAACAACTTCAACTGGTGCTTGGGTCTGCTGGAAGGCAGCCCCCCGCAAACCTACGTGCTCAACGCTGGTAACGGCAAGTGCGACGGTAAATCCACCTTCGCCTTGCTCTCGTGAGCCGTCCTTATGCAGATAGATGTCATAGATTTTGATAAAATTATCATCAGTCGAGAACATGGTTGTAAGTGTCATCTAGCTCGTAATGAATTATAGTTGTTGAGCGCAAGGTTCCTGACGTTCTAGTTGCAACTAATCCCGATTTCTGAAATGCCAATTCATTATAGTCTTCACTTGTCGGAGCTACATCTATCTGCCACACGAGTCGAGGCCTAATTCGAGTGGACTTTCGGAAAATTCGAAATGTAAATTTTTCACAGCCTCGACTGAAGGTCGGTGCAGGCACTCCCGTAAAGAAAGAATTTTTGCTCAAAACAAAACCGAACAGTGTGGTTCATGATCCTAGTAAAAAGGGTTCCGACTTCAGATTTACATGATACACTTTTCGCTTGAAGATGGTGACTGCGATTGATACCAAACTAATAAACCTTACCAACATCGAAATTTAAGGCAAACCCCTTCTATATGTTATTACAAGCAACCCATTTATCTCGATAATCAAATGCATTTGCTTCGTTTTGACGTCGCAAATTTTGGTCATAAACGGTTCCGTCAATAACGCCGCGCGCCCATTCACATATAACGTCCGCAATCAAGTATGTAACAATACCCACTTGTGAATTATCAATACCCGGAGCTACCAAACAAAATGACTGAGTGATGGCAAACTTACACCCCAAATCCTAGCTATACTATCAATAGCTAAAGAGTGGAACTGATGGAACAGATACTGCACGCCGATGTACCATTATTGCGAGAGCCAAGACCCAAGGCTTAGGTGACGAGCTACAGGGGGTTTTGTCGACCACTTAAATAGCATCGTTGATGCTATTGAACCCTTCCAAAAAGCATGCCGTACGCAACTTCGAGGCTGACCGATTTTATGGTCAAAAAGATCAAGATCTTACTGAGCCAGTACAAACACCCGGTGGCTCGGATTGCGTTCTTCTTTGGCATCTTTCTCGTTGCCTACTCGTTTCGGCTCGAACGAACGATGCATTCGGTGTACCAAGCGATGGCAGCGCTGTCGTATCGCACCCATTCCCTCTACGCTACCGTGAATGTAGTTCGCGGGGTGGTGGCGGCGGTGGCCCAGTTGATGTTTGCGAGATTGTCAGACACGTTCGGCCGTCTCCAGTTGCTTGTGGTGCTGATTATCCTTTACGTTGTGGATTCATTATAGTTAGTCGTCCTGCATATAAACATCACCAAATATGCGACGACCGTACCAACCACCACCATGTCAGCCATCGTCGGCGGGCTCGCGTGCCAGCGGGACCTGTTTCTCCGCTCGCTCAAAACCACGGTCACCGCCTCGACCAAGTACCCGCTTTCCAAAACCACGAGTGGCTACGCCGTCGAGCTCAAGGACACGGTGCTTTTCCCCGAAGGCGGCGGCCAGCCGTGCGACCACGGCACCCTCACCATGTCCCCAAACAAGACCGTCGCCGTCGACAGCGTCATCCGCGACAAACTCAAGGCGCTCCACATCACCAAGGAACCGTTGGACGTCGGCGCCGAGGTCGTCGTCGCCGTCAACTGGCGCCGCCGCCTCGACATCATGCAACAGCACACCGGCCAGCACCTCTTGTCGGCGGTGCTTGACAAACACCAGCTCCCCACCTTGAGCTGGTCGATGGGAGACACGATCAACTACCTTGAGGTCGAGCGGCCGCTTGACGACGCGTTGGTGGCCAAAGTGAGCGACGAAGTCAACCAGGCGATTTTCGACGCCCTCCCCATCCGGGTGGTCACCGGCGACGAGCTCGACAATGTCGACACCAGTAAAGTGCCCGACGACTACGATCAGGCGGAGGGGATCATCCGGGTGGTGACAATCGGCGACCTCGACGCCAACCCGTGCTGCGGCACCCATCTCGCCAACACGAGCCAGATCCAGAGCGTCGCCCTTTTGCACCAGACCAACGTCCGCGGGGGTCACTCGCGCCTCCACTTTGTCTGCGGCGGGCGGGTGGCGTCGTGCTTACGCGACGAGCACACCACGTTGAAGGCGGTGGGGGCCGAGTTGTCGGCGCCGCTCGACGGGTTGCACGATAAAGCCGTCCAGACCAACCAGTTGCTTAAGAAGCTGGTGGCGCGCGAGCTGGCCCTCTTGAAGGAGTTGGCCGCCAACGAAGCCACCCGCATCCTCGCCACGTTGGCCACGGCGGACGCCGTCTACACTTACCGCGCCGACAATGACGGGCAATTTTTCCAAGCATTACAGCGGGAGCTTACCACTCACGCCAAAAGCCACGCCTTCCAGTTGGCGGAGAAAACGGTGGTGATGATCAACGGCGAATACGCCAACGGGTTGGGGGGCCAAGTGAAGATCATGGGCCCCCGGTGCGAAGAATTGGCGGCGAAGATGAAGCAGACGCTCTCCAACATCAAGGGCGGCGGCAAAGGGGCCAACTTCCAGGGGAAAATCCCCAAATACCTCAAGGGCGAACTCGAAGCCACCCTCGCGTGGTTGCAACACCTCTGAACAAAACGGCGTACTGCAAACTAGAAAAGCCAGACGATATATGAGGAGTTTGGTCCTTTTTTGAGGATCCGAAGCTAGCGAAATCCATGAATGAATGCCCGACAAACTGTATCCATGGTAGAAAATGCCAGGTACCCGTAGATCGACAAAAACACCCTAGCTATACGAGGAAAGTAACTATCACTCACAACTTGAGCAAGAACGATTGCGGGAAAATTGAGTCAAATGGCAGAGCAGGCTTTTGCAAACTCTGATGTCGAAGTGGTGAACGTTCTGTTTCAATCAATTACGTCTGAATGTCCTCTACGTAATTAGGGTTACTGGGAATATTTACCTTTGTCTATATGGAAGTTGTACCGTTACTCACCAGATTGTTGAAATAAAGAGTTTGTTCATCAGTATTTTCATGTCCAGAAGGTCTGCCTAGTCCGGTGTCTACAACTCATTGTCATCGCTGTTTGTCGTTGTCAGGAAACTCCAATGGGAAATAATCCACTCACTTTAATGGGGTTACGGTTGATGGTGCGTTACCAGTCCTTGCGGACTGGTTAGGATTGTTAGCGTCATTGTCAATATCATCGGATTCGTCTATAAAGCTTATCGTACATACACGAGGGTCATCACGAAGGCGGGGCGAGGGCCACGACCTTTTCCGCGGCGGGGTCCAAGTCCTCGAACGGGTACAACTTGAGCCCCGACTCCTGGATCATCTGCTTGGCCTTTTGCATGTTGGTGCCTTGCAATCTCACCACGACGGGGATGTCGAGGTTGAGCTTTTTCGACGCCCCGATCAACCCTTCGGCGACGTAGTCGCAGCGGACAATGCCGCCAAAGATGTTGACCAAGATGGCGTTGACCGACGGTTCTCTCAATATGAGTTCAAACGCCTTCTCGATGGTTTCCGGGGTGGCGGTGCCGCCGCAGTCCAAGAAGTTGGCGGGCTTGCCCCCGTACAACTTGATGATGTCCATGGTGGCCATGGCAAGCCCGGCGCCGTTGACGATGTTGGCGATGTTGCCGTCCAACTTGATGAAGTTGAGCCCGTACAGCGCCGCCTCGACCTCGTCGGGGTCTTCCTGGGTGGGGTCGCGCCACGAGAACACCTCTTCCTGGCGGAAGGCGGCGTTGTCGTCAAAGTTGAGCTTGGCGTCCATCGCCATCACCTGGTGGTCAGGAGTCTCCGTCAACGGGTTGATTTCCACCTGGGTCGAGTCACGCTCAATGAACAATTTGTACAAGTTTTGCACCGCCGCCGCCGCTTGCGCCTGGGCTTCGGGGGAGTACCCCAACACCAGGGCGATTTCCTTGGCCTGGTCGTCGGGGACGCCGTCAAACGAGTGGATGGTGAACGTCTTGATGGCGTCGGGGTTTTCTGCGGCGACGCCCTCGATGTCCATCCCCCCCTGGGCCAGGGCGATGATCAACGGCTTCTGCAGCGCCCGGTCAAACATGATGGCGAGGTAGGCCTCGGTCAACGTGCCTTCCTTTTCCACCACGTACACCGCCAGCACCGTCTTGCCGCCGGCGCCGGTCTGCTTGGTGACGAGCTTGGAGCCGATCATGGCGTCGGCCAACTTCAGCGCCTCCTCGGCACTCAGCACCAGGCGCACCCCGTTCAACTCCGGGTGGTTCAAAAAGTGGCCTTTGCCCCGGCCACCCGACAACACCTGGGCCTTGACCATGACGTCCGGTTTCCCCGTTTCCTGTTGCAAGGTTTTCACCGCTTTGGCGGCGTCGGCACCGTCAAACGCCGGCACCCCACGGGGGACGCCGACGCCGTACTGCTTCAACAACTGCGCCAGCCGGAACTCCTGGAGGTTCAAATGACGCTTAAATGTCTATCGTTAGTAATGGGTAATAATCATAGCTTTTCTCGGGGGGATTCTGCTTACTCTTTGCACGCAAGATCTCAACATAGTAGGGGGGGAAGCTACGGCGGCACTGCGTGGCGGTGAAAAGTGTATTTATACAGAGCGGGGGGCCGCCGTCCATGGGTAGGGTGCTTGTATACAGGTGGGGAAATAGAGCCAAAGAGGGGTTGCTGCACCGCAGCATACTGTGGGCCGCTGCCACTAACGGCCACCCGAGGGTGCGTAGGCGTCGGAGGGCGATCCTCGGTGCTGTCTGCTCCGAACACCTCCGGCCCCCGCGGACCACGCTACAAATCAATTGGCTACTCCTAATCAATTGGCTATTACTGGTCAATTGGCTACTACTGGTCAATTGAGTTCCATTACTGCTAGAATTGTTTATTATAATCCTGTGGTTCTGCTAGTGTTGTGGGTGGGGGGGGGGACCCGCTCGCCGCGGTGGTTGACGTCTTCCCCTCTCTGCACGTGCACCTCTGCCCAGCGGAGAGCGGTGCGGGTTTTTCCACGAGTGGGGCACCACCACCACTACCACTGAACCAGCTATCAACCAGACAATTGAGGCTAATGAGAGGTATGTAGCGGTCGTCCATTGACGAGATTAGGACCAGACATAGCGTATCTAGCCACGGAGTCGTGATCCCGCGTCGTGGCCCCGCGTTTAGGGGGGGTGGTCGGGTGTCTATCGTATGGTATTATGGGTGCGCCCGGGGGTTGCCGCACCCCTACTGAGGCGCTTGAAGAGACTATGACAAGTGGTCGCTACACTATTACACGGAGGGGGCCGCCGGCAATTGGCACTAGCTAGGGGTGTGGGTCAGTGGTGGTTATTCCCCGTTGGTACTTACACTTTGGAGGCCGTGTGGAGGCCGTTTGGAGGGCGCTAGAACCGCCGAGGATAATAGCCCCCGGAGCCGCAGGCTGGGGTGAGTGCCGGAGGGTCCCGGGGGGCTCTAGGGGAAGTTTCCGTGTCGTGGCGAGATTCGGACGAGAGCGCTCGCGGCGAGCGTGCGGTGGGGTGGTGCGGAACCCGCTTCCGAATACCGCCACACTTAGCGACACCTGGCGAAGACACCCCTAGCGACCCTTAGCAAAGACACCCCGGGGACAGCGGCCCCATAGTATTGACAGAGTCACCTGTAGTACCAATGTATTAAGCAGAGAGTCACTAATAGCCCTGGGCAGAGAGTCACCTGGGTGTCTACTGTGTATCTCTCATCGTAATCGTGTCTTTGATGGTGTTATTTCTTTGGCGCTTTTTTCGGTGGATTTGGTGCGGTTGGTGCGGTTGGTGCGGCGACGGGGGCGCTTTTGGTGATGGTGGTGCGGCGCGCCATGAGATGAGCATGAAGCGAGTGACGCCGCAAAAGTACCACGACGCCAGCGACGACGACGACGACCTACGGTTTGCGCCGCCGTCGTCGGAGGGCGACGGCGACGACGACATGGCCACGCTTTCGTTTGGTGCCCTCAACACCGCCCGCAAGCAGCTAGCGCCACCGCGGCGCCGCGGCGGCGCCAGCGCTAACGACTCATCCCACGACGACGACAGCGACAGCGACAGCGACGCGCCCCCGGAGGAGCTGACGTCGGCGCTGTCGCTGGCGCTGTCGCTGGCGCTGGCGCTGGCGCTGAGAAAGCGCCACAAGCACGCCCCCGCCCGCCTGCTGACGAAGAAGAAAGTGTCGGTGGTGCGCCCGATCCACGGCCTCGACATCAACCCCAAATACAACCCGAGCAAGCTCTACCAGGATATCCGGTTTGACGCTGCCTATGGCAAGGCCGACGCGGCGCAGGCGCGCGCCAACTACGCGTTTCTTGACGAGTATCGTGAATCAGAAATTGCCGAGGTGAAACGGCTTTTGAAACAACCACCGGGGGCGCTTGCCGACTACGACCGCCGCCAGCTCGAGTACCAGGCGAAATCGCTCCAGCTGCGCCTCGACTCGTTACGTGCCAAAGACCGCGACCGCCAGGTGCTCCGTGAATTTAAGCTGCGGGTGCTGAAACAAGGCGAGGGGCTGAAACCGTTTTACCTTAAAAATAGCGATAAGCGTAAGCTCTTACAGAAAGCCCGCTTCGAGCAAATGACGCCGAAACAACGGGAAAAGGCGGTGGAACGCAAACGCAAACGGCGGTTGGGTCAAGAGATGCGGGCGCTCGAAGGCGACGGGTTCAAATAGGCTCTCGGGTTTAAGTGTTTTCTTTTTTATGGTATGATCATGATTAGCTATTAACAAGGTATGTTTATATACGACGGCCGCCGCGGTTCACGCCAGCGACGACTGGTTCTCGTGGGCGACCCAGTCCTCCCAGGAGCCGACGTAGTTGGCGCGGTGCTTGTAGCCAAACGTGTCGGCCAACTCCTCCGCCGCCGTCAGCCGCACGCCGCCGAGACAGTAGAACACCAAGAGGTCGTTGGCGTCGGGCTTGTTAAAGCCGAAGGCGTCGAGAAAGTCGTCGGGGGACAACCCCAACGCCCCCGGCGACAGCTTGAACGGCAAGTTGACGGCGCCGGGGATGTGGCCCTCCTCGTACTCGACGGGCTCGCGCACGTCGACCAACACCGTGTGCGGGTCCGGGTGGGTCGCCAACCGCTTCACCTGGTCGTAGTGGTAGACCTCGGCTTCGGGGCTGGCGCTAATCACCGAGTACCCCCGCCGCCACTGAACGGGCGCCGCCGCCGGCAGCGCCATCATCCGCAGCGCCACCATCCGCGGCGCCGTCGCCACCACCCTCAGCGCCATCGTCGTCATTGCCACCACCGCCCGGGTGCGCGGGACCATACCCGCCAATCCTCTGCCAGCGCGGAACATTGTGTATATATAGGGTCAATCAAAGCTGAGCACGGCCAACGGAAAGCGTGTTCTGTTAACCAAACAAAGTTGTGTTTTTTTTTTTTCCGTCGAGATCATTCCCGCATTTATGTTCGCCCCGTGG